TGCATCGTACACTAACGTAGTATGGAGAATAAAGAGAGTTAAGACCTTAGGTGTTTCCGTTTCTCTAGAAAATAGAGGTTTTATATGGGTTAATCCACTTATTATGTGGTATATGCAATTTAAATAAATTATTAATTGGAAATTAGGAATGATGCTACGTACCATGAAAATAATTTTAGCATGCATATATATAAATTTTGAGTGTGGTTAGGTTTTTTTTTAAACCACTAAAAAGGGTAAATAGTATATATATTATTTATCGTAAAATTCAACATTTTCATAGGGATAAACCCACATATTTTAAGATAAATTATAAAATATTGAAATTTTGTATTAATGCATAGATGCATCATGCACTAGTGTATTATGAAGATTAAATATGTTTGAGATCGTAGATGTTCTCATTTCTCCAAAAAGATATAGACTTTATAGGGGTTAGTACACTAATTAGATCGTATATCAAGTTTAAGAAAAAATATTCGTTGGAAAATTAGAAATTCTGCCCGAGTACCATGAAAATATGTTTAACATACATTAATATGCATTAGAGTTTAGTTATTTTACAAAAACAAATATTAATGAGGATAAACTTTAATATTTATAAGATTTATTGGAAAAAAACTCGATCATTTTGTAAGATAAATTAGATAATATGGTATTTTTGTTTTAATGCATAATTTCATCAATAGTTTCATCATGCAGTGACATGTGATGAAATTAAAGAGGTCTGGGATTGTTTTTCCGTGTTTCTATAGAAATTATATTTTTTTATAAGGGTTAGTCCACATAATTAGGTGAAATAAGAAGTTTTTTAGAATTAATCATTAAAATATTAGAAATGATGTCCATATATCATGAAAATAAGTTTAAAATACATTAATAAAAATGTATAATGTGATTACGTATTTTTTAATCAACATGAAATAGCTTAAATTTCAGTACATAGAATTTACTCGATCTTTTTGTAGGGGTTAACCCACATATTTCAAGATATATTAGAAAATACGGTATTTTTATTCTAATGCATAGATGAATCCGGCATAGATATAGGATAAAGATTAAGTCTATCTGCTACCTTTGTTGTCCCATTTTCTCTAGAATACATAGATTTCATTGGGTTTAGTTTTTTTATTTACGTGGTATATGAAGTTTTATTAAATTATTCGTTGAAAAATCATAACTGATCCCATGTACCATGAAAATAAATTTAGAATACATTAGTATAAATTTAATGTTGTTAGATATTTTAAACGGCACTAAAGAGGCTAAACATAAGTACAAATAGTATTTATCAGAAAACTTTGATCTTTTCGTAGGTGTTAATCCACATATTTCAAAATAAAGTAGAAAATATGAAATTTTGTATTTATGCATAGCTCCATCCAACCCTGAACAAATTTCTATATATGATGAATAGTAAAGAGTTTGGATACCTTAGTTGTCCAAATTTCTATAGAAAATAGATATTTTATTGGGTTTAGTTCATTGATTTTGGTGATATATGAATTTTTATTATAGTGGTTAGGTATTTTTGAACAAAAATAAAGAGGCATATATATAGCATTGATCGAAAAAACTCAATATTTTTGTAGGGGTTAATTCACATATTTTAATATAAATTAGAAATCTCATTTTTAATGAATTTTTGCATCAATACTGACATGGTATGAAGTATAAAGTGGGTTGAGACCTTAGGTGTTCATGTTTCTCTAGAAAATAGAGGTTTTATAGGGATTAGTCCATTTATTAGGTGATATATGAAGTTTAAATAAATTACTCATTGGAAAATTAGAAATGATGACATGTACCATGAAAATAAGTTTAGCATACATATATATCTATATATTTGGAGTGTTGTTAGGTGTTTTAAACAACACTAAAGATGCTAAAAAGTATAGATAATATTTATCGAAAAAATTCATATTTTCGTAGGGTTTGTCCACATATTTAGAGATCAGTTAGAAAATATAAAGTTTTTGTTTTAATGCATAGATGCATCATGCATTGCCATAGTATGAAGATTAAATATGTTTGATACCTTAGGTGTTCTCATTATTCAGAAAATAGAAAATTTATAGGAGTTAGTACACTAATTAGATCGTATATGAAGTTTAAAAAAATTATCCGTTGGGAAATTAGAAATACTGTCCATTTACGATGGAAATATGTTTAACATACATATTAATGAATTAGACTGTGGTTATTTATTTTTGAAATATATTAATGAGGCTAAACTTTAGTATATATAATATTTATTGAAAACAAAATCGATCTTTTCGTAACATAAATTAGAAAATATGATATTTTGTTTTAATGCATGATTTCATCATATAGTGACATATGATGAAAATTAAAGAGGTTTGAGACCTTGTTTGTCCATATTTTCTTATAGAAATTACATTTTTATAGGAGTTAATCCGCATAATTAGGTGGAATATGAAGTTTTATTAAATTACTCATTAAAATGATAGATATGATGTCCATTTATTATAAAAATAAGTTAACATACATTAATAAAAATGTATAATGTGATTAGATATTTTTTTTTTTAATCAACATGAAATAGATTAAATTTCAATATGTAACATTTATCAGAAAACTCCATTTTTTTGTAGGGGTTAAGCCACAATTTTCAAGATAAATTAAAAAATACGGTATTTTTTAATGCATAGATGCATTGCGCACAGATATAAAATGAAGATTAAAATTTCTGACACCTTTGTTTTCTCAATTTCTCTAGAATTTCTAGATTTCATAATGTTTAGTTCTTTGATTTACAAGGTATATGAAGTTTTATTAAATTATTCGTTAGAAAATTATATATGATGCCCATGTATAATGAAAATAAATTTAGAATACATTTAGTATAAATTTTTTAATGTGGTTAGATATTTTAAATAATACAAAATTTCTAATCTTAAGGACAAAGATAATTTATCGAAAAAAACACGATCTTTTCATAGGGATTATCTCATATATAAATTAGAAAATAATGAATTTTTGTATTTATGCATAGGTGTATCTAGCAGTGATATATGATGCATAGAAAAAATTGATCTTTTAATTGATTAAATTTCTCTAGAAATTAGATATTTCATAACTGAATAACCGCGTCGATCACTGATATAAGAAAAATATGATTTTATAAAAGATACAGATAATAATGACAAAAATGTGTAGTTTACTAAAAAAATCATATTAATAGAATAGATCTGTTAATGTTGCAATGTAATCATATTTTAAATATACATATATCTTTATATGGTTTCAAATAAATTATGAATGTCATACTTATCATTATAATTTACTTTTTCGTTTATTAAATTATTAGGTTTAAATGTGTTTGTTTCTTTTATTTAGTTATAAATATATTAAATTGTATTTTTAATTTCAAATAACTTACAAAATAATAATAAGTTTAAACACACACACATATATATATATATATATATAAATTAGTATTTTCATATTAACTTGAATTATAATCTAAAATTAAAAACTAATATAAATTTTTAATAGTATCTATAAATGAATGTAAACACATAATCTATTACATGGTAGACATGTTAAAGTACTTGGCTGAAAAAAACTAAATGAATCTCGTGCGATCATACGGATTATTTACCTAGTTTATATAATAACTGCTATAGGGATTATTTACCTAGTTTATACAATAGTTGTAATTAAATTGAGATTTTTGAGAGAATTTTTTTTGAAAGATTTAGTATTTAATATATTTCATGTATTAATTTAAAAAAAATAAGTTAACATACATTCATAAAAATGTATAATGTGATTAGATATTTTTTAATCAACATGAAATAGATTAAATTTCAGTATGTAACATTTATCGGAAAACTCAATTTTTTGGTAGGAGTTAACCCACAGATTTCAAGATAAATTAAAAATACGCTATTTTTTAATGCATAGATGCATTCCGCACAGATATAAAATGAATATTAAGAATTTCTGACACTTTTGTTTTCTCAATTTCTCTAGAATTTCTAGATTTCATATGATTTAGTTCTTTGATTTATAAGGTATATGAAGTTTTATTAAATTATTCATTTGAAAATTATATATGATGCCCATGTATAATGAAAATAAATTTAGAATACATTTAGTATAAATTTTTTATGTGGTTAGATATTTTAAATAATACTAAAATGCTAATCTTAAGAACAAATATAATTTATCGAAAAAAACTCAATCTTTTCATAGGGATTATCACACATATAAATTAGAAAAATATGAAATTTTTGTATTTATGTATAGGTGTATCTAGCATTGATATATGATGCATATGAAAAAAAATTCATCTCTTAATTGTTCAAATTTCTCTAGAAAATAGAAATTTCATAGCTTTACTAATGAAATAAGAAAAATAATAATGAACAAAATGTGTAATTTACTAAAAAATCATGTTAATAGAATAGATCTGCTAACGTGGCAATGTAATCATATTTTAACTATACATATATTTTTATATGGTTTCAAATAAATTATGAATGTCATACTTATCATTATAATCTACTTTTTGGTTTATTAAATTATTAGATTTAAATGTGTTTGTTTCTTTTATTTAGTTATAAATATATTAAATTGTATTTATAATTTCAAATATCTTATAAAATAATAATATTTCTATATATATATAAATTTAAATTGGTATTTTCATACTAACTTGAGTTATAATCTAAAATTATAAAAATAATATAAAATTTTAATAGTATCTATAAATGAATGTAAACACATATAATCTACATGGTACATATGTTAAATTAGTTACCTAGTTTATACAATAGCTGCTACAGGATTAATTAAATTGAGATTTTTGAGAAATATGTATTTTCGATCTGATTATTTTGAGATTTCATATTGTTAAAATAAAGGGCTTTACACTAGGCCCATGATACTCGTATCCCCAACACACAAAGAAGACAATCCTACTAGAAAGCAAAAAGCATTGTGTCAAAAATTCACTATAGTAAACAAGAAAATCAATCTTGCCATGGATCACTCTCTGCCCTAACTTCAGATGGTTCAATTACTTCTGCTTCTCCATCTTTTGTGTCATCTCCTTCATTCACACTCGAGCTTCCTTCTTCTGCAACCTCTTCTTCAACTCGTCCCCATCTTCCTCCAACAGCCATAGCCATCATCTCATAAATCTTGTTCCCAAGCTCAGCCGGGCTATCAGGCTGTGCTCAACAACACACATCAAAAAGTGAGGAAAACAATCCAAAACACTACTCAGAAAACATGAAAGTCAAAGCACTTTGTTAGATTTCTTACAGTGAAACCACTTGAAATTATAGCAGTGTCATATAAGAGATCAACCACTCTTGTTGCTTCACTGCTCTCAGGTGCATTCTTACATGCAGCCTTCACAAAATATGCAAAACACACAAACACAAGAATCAATAAGCTTTAATCTTCTTGTGACAAGAGACTTTAGAGGGGAGATGACACACTTACATTCAAGTCTTTGATGATAGGATGATCTGGATTGATCTCTAGTATTCTCCTACCTTTCATGAACTCCAAACTTGAAGTGTCTCCAAGAGCTTGTGCCTTCATTAACCTTTCACCATAACCAAACCAGTTTAAGTTTCATTTGGTTTATAAAATTCTTCTTTTAGAGCTGCTAAAAAGGTACTAACCTTTCCATATTAGCTGACCAACCAAACTTGCCTGAGACAAGCACACAAGGAGAAGAGCTCAAACGGTTTGAGACTTGGACTTTGGCAACTTTGTCACCAAGCTGCTGCTTTATCCAATCACAAAGAAGATTGAATTCTTGTTTAGCTTCCCTATCCTTCACTTCATCTTCATCACCTGCCAAAAATGATGCCAATCTTTGTTAGAACGAAAAACTTCACTCATTGCAGTAAGACTTGCTGACAAAATGTACCAAGTTCCAAATCTTCCTTGCTGATATCAACGAACTTCTTTTCTTTGTAGGTTTGTAAATTCTGAATCGCAACTTCATCAATCGGTTCAACCAAGTAAAGAACCTGTAGTTAATGAAAATCAAATCAGAATCAAGAACCAAGCAAAACAAGTTTGCAAGTTGAGAAACTATCTTGAATCATATACTACCTCAATATCTTTTTGAATCAGTTTCTCCAAGAAGGGAGCAGACTTGGCACTTTTCAGACTATCAGTGGCAAGGTAGTAGATAGCCTTCTGGTTCTCACCCATGTTCTCAATATATTCATCCAAACTCGTCAGCTCCTCTTCATTCTTGGAAGAGTAGAATCTAAGCAACGGTGTAATACGCTTGTGGTTACCAGTGTCTTCAATACAACCCAGCTTAATGAATTTACCAAAATTCTCCCAGAACTTCTTGTAGTCCTGAATTAAAAAAACCAACAAAATGAATATCTTGGGAGGGTCTTGGAATGAGCTTAAGAGAGAACAAGATTGGTCTAGTGAGTAGATACAGACCTCTTTGTTTTCACTTTCAGAAATTTCTTGTATCATGTCGAAAGTCTTCCTAATGAGCCTCTTTCTCATGATTCTCACCTGATTGTTATTACAAGGATGAGTATTATTATGGAGTGTGTGATTCCAAATAAAGAGTTGTATCCACTAACTGAGGTCATCACTTACGATTCTGCTTTCTTGAAGAATTTCACGTGAAACATTAAGTGGAAGATCGTTTGAGTCCACAACACCCTTCACAAAGCTCAAGTATCTCGGGAACTGCAAACAGAGAGTGAAGCATGTTACAAGATGGAACCAGAGCTAGTATATGTCGTCAGAGAGACTCACCAGCTCTCCATCAAAGTCATCAGAGATAAACACACGCTTCACGTGGAGACGAATGTTCTTTGTTTTCGGGTTTGTAACGTCCTCATTGTTAAGAGGACCCATCCCAGGGATGTATAGAATGCTCCTGAACTCAACCTCGCCCTTTGAGAAACATTAATATTACAAAGGATAAGAATAAAGTCAAAGGAATGATAAGGCTATATGTATAACGAGAAGTATAAGCACCTCTGTTGTGAAGTGTGTGTGTGCAAGTGGATCCAAGAACTCATTGAAGGCCTTCTTGTAAAACTCGTTGTACTCTTCTTTTTCCACTTCTTTCGGACTACGCATCTATTCGGAGACAAAACCATAACCAAGTGAGTAAATAAACCACCATAAAGGATGAAGACAAAACACTGAAAGCTCTCAGCTCACCCATAACGGTTTTGTTTCATTGGCTAGTTCCCAATCCCAATACTTCTCAGTTTTAGTAGTCTTCTTCGTCTTCTTAGGCTCACCCTATAATCAAACAATTAACAAGGTTATACCAGCGAACAGGAGAAGTGTTTGTTTTCAGACAAAAATTAAAACCACAAGATTTTACCTCTTTCTCTTCTTCTCCTTCCTTAGATGGTTCTTCCTCCTCAACCTACAATGAGTTACAGAATTTCAGACAAAGTTAATAATGATAACACACTCTTTCTAATTGCAATAACAGGCAACCGTGTTATCCTCACCTCTACAGTTCTTGATTTCTCCTGCCATGTATAGATGGGAAACCCAACGAACTGAGAGTAGTTCTTAACAAGGTTCTTGATTCTCGTAGACTCCGCAAATTCGTATTTATCATCCTCCTGCAGTCAGTAATAAGCAGTAAAATAAACTAGAAAAGATCTCATAATGATTGAATATAGAAACATACCCTTAGATACAGAGTTATTTGCGTTCCACGGCGAAGAAAGTTCTCAGGGTCTGTTTCTTCTCTGATCACATATGAGCTACTGTCAGCTACAGATTCCCAAACATACTGCTTGTCAGATTTTGGGCTCTTTGTGGACACAACAACCTGAAAGAAGAGAGAACTATAAGTCCACTCCTCTTCGAATACAGAATAACTATAATTCACAGACACTAAAGGACTTCACCTTCTCAGCAACTAAGAAAGCAGAGTAGAACCCAACACCAAACTGTCCTATCAAACTGTTGTCGGCACCAAGGTCCTTGTTCTCCTGAAATAAAGAGAAACATTTATAAGCAAATGATTCTAAACATTAATATTGATTTGCTAGCAACTAAATTTAAGAAAGAGGAGAAAGTAAAAAGACCTTAAGAGCCTTCAAGAATTTGGAAGTACCACTCTGAGCAATAGTTCCAAGACAGTCTATAAGTTCTTCCTTAGTCATTCCAATTCCAGTATCACTGCAAATTCACATCAATCTCTTCTCTTTTAATTAATCATTCTAAAAAAACTGTGTATACTCAAACTTAGAAGAAAAAAATAAGAACTCTCTCATTACGTTATGGTGATAGTGCCGTTATCAGGATCAGGCTTGATCCTAATCTCAAGATCTCCACCATCTCCAAGCAAAGCAGGCTCTGTCACACTCAAGAACCTCAGCTTATCCAAAGCATCACTTGCATTACTGAACATAAACACACAAACAAACTCAAATCAATTCTTCACATAAACACACACACACAAGTCAATTCTGAATATGTATAAGCTATAGTCTGCTGTGATACATAAAACATAACAAGTCAATTCTGAATATGCCACTATATAAGCTATAATACAGTGATACATAAAAACACATACAAATCAAATTCTGAACATGTGACTGTATAACCTATAGTTTACAGTGATACATAAAAAAAAAAACACAAACAAATCAAAAACCAATTAATATCACAAACATACCTAACAAGCTCCCTGAGGAAAACCTCCTTGTGACTGTACAAGCTATGAACAATCAAATCCAACAACCTACTAACCTGCCAAATACAAAAAAAAAAAAAACTCAATCTTTCAACAAACATACAACAACCCATGATTAAAAATCCAAACTTTACGCTAGAAAACACACACCTCTGCTTGGTACTCGAACTTCTCACCAGACCCTTCTTCAACCGTCTCCTTCTCCGCCACAGCAGCGTCACACTTAACAGCGAAGCGACTACATCTCTTCTCGAGGCTCCACCTACACGAAACGCCGGTTCTCAAACCACCAACACCGCGAGGGAGAAACGCGGTTGTGAGATTAGAGAGACGAGTGGGAGTGATTGGAACTGAAGTGAGAGGAGCCGTGTAGAGGCTTCGACTCAAAGCAGGAGCCATTTTAGGTTTCTCTTATCTTCTAGAGAGAGAAGGGAGTTGTTGTTGTTGTGTTGTGTAGTTGAAGAAATGAAAACCCTTTTTCGAGGTTTAAGGAGAGTGAGAAGAGGTTTCTAGAAGAAGGTACAAAGAGAGCTTGTTTTTGTGACTTGTGAGGTCTACGAGTCTCGTATTATCCGTTTGAATTACACGCGCGTAATGTGGGCGAGTATGTGTAATTGTAAACTTGAAGGAAAAAGGCCTATTGGGCTAGTAGGGATAACCCATTACAGCCCTTAGAAAGCCTGTTGGGCCATGTTTTAGGATAAGCCATTACGGCCCTTATAAAGGTTAAAAAGAAATGTGTGACTGAAAGATTTATTTGAACTGTAAACTCGTTTTGCTTATTCAATAAAATAAAACAAGGATAAGACACACGCCTTGCGCGAAATGAAGTTATTATATTTTGGAAAATGAAACAAAAGTTCGGTTTCATTTAGATTAATGATGTTCAATCTGGATATCGGGTTTCATTATTTTGGTTATTAAAATATAACTACTATGCTAAATTCATATTTACTTCAGTTTGATTTGATTTATATATTGGTTTTCAGTTTATTCAATTTTATACCCAAGTACATCATTATTTAGTTTGAAATCATATTATATATTATAAAAATAAATAATTGATCATATTTAGAGTCATATTATCAAAAGGTCATTTACTAAAAAATATATTATATATTTAACTAAAAGAATAAAAAACAAAAAAAAGCTTCTATGATCTAATAAAATGATCAAATCCAGAATTAATATCAAATCTCTAAATTTTGAAAATAAAAATAAAAACAAAACAGAAGCATGAAAGAAAAGTTTTTATATTCTTCCATATTTAGTGTTCATCAAATTAATATGTCTTCGATTGAACACAACTCTGTTTTTTTAAGATTAAAAAAAATTGTAAAGAATTTCAACTAATTGTTGTCCATCAAATTTATAATTTTTACTTCAATTTAGTTTTTATTAAAAAAAGGAAAAAAATAAAAAAAAAGACGAAGAAAATAAGAAGCCTCAGTTGCATTAAATTTTTAGTTAATTATATTTCAAGTGATTCAAGTGATTTACAAATCATAATTATAGTTCAACTCATGTAACAAATAGATATACATATTTACATGTTTCAGTTTAATTGATTATAAATCAAACCATATCCAAATCTTACGGTTTTTATAAAATCACATACATTTGGTTTGTATGGTATATACCAAAAATAACCATATTATCGATTCTGCTAATATCTTTAAAAATAAAAAATTAAAAAAAAAGAACTAATATATTTAAATCATTGATAACAAAAAATTTCAATGTGAAAAATTTAATACGTTTATAATTTATAAATGTTCTTGAAAATTCATTGAAATTTTTGAAATTAAAATAAGTATGTAATCTTATATGGTACATAGTTTAATCTATATATATATATATATTTATTATTGAATGATACTTTTTACTCATATGGTTTTAAAATCATGTGTATCTTTTTATAATAAAAATGTTAAACTATTGATCATTAATTTTTAACATAATAATTTTAATAGTTTTAGTCATCTATTCTTGGTTTTTTAAATTTCAAAATATAACATATACGAAAAAAATCTAAAGTTTAATTTTATAGCTAATTTGATTGTTTGATTTATTTTAATAATATAAAATTAAAGAAAAATGATGGAGGAGATACAAATTGTTATCAAATATTTATTATTAGAAACATAAATTGTCATATATATATATATATATATATTTTGTCATTTATGGTAATTCCGTAGCTTTTATTTAAGGAAAGAAAATAAAATAGTAATTATATCTAGCAGGACCATCATAAATGCTTCTATCATAAATATCATATCATATAGTTTGACCAACAAATATATCTAGGGACATATAAAAATCGAATGTGAACCTACTTATTTTTTAATTGAATATAATTGACTATCTAATTGAGTGACACGTAAACATGAGCTCTTTTTTAATTATTACAAAATTGAGGTTACAATTTTTTTAATATTTCTCAATTAATATATAGGGATTTCGTAGTACTTGGTGAAGAGAGAAATGTGCATGGGAGTTTTTTTTATAGCTTTATGAAACAAGACATAGATGAAAATTTTAGTCGTTTGGAATAAATGCACTATAAAGAAAATACTTACTGCTAAGGGCTAACTTAAGAACGAGAACTAGCATATCCCAGTTTCCCTTTTACTAAATTGTAAACTTTCATTAATGGAAATGAAAGGATACAAGTTTTTTAAGATCCAAGAACGTGAAAAATCTTAAAATGACAACCATTAGGATTAAAACTACAACAGTCTTAATGCTAAAAACATGATCTACAACAGTGAATACGTCTAGGAAATACGAACCCTAACCCTAATCTATATATGAAAATTATTTCAGAAATATAGTATAGAAAAATAAATTTATATTTTTGATTGAATTAATATTTTTGGCCCATAAATATTTTTTTAAAAAAATTGTTGGTTAATTACAAAAAAAAAATTATTGATGAGCGGATCTCATTTTAAAAAAAAATATTTTAGGTTAAAAAATCACTTATCACATAAGAACTTAACATTTAGGACAAAGAATCTCACGCATACTATTTGTTTACAATTGAAACTATGTCAGCTCGATTTTATATCATGATTTAGCAATTTAAAGGTTAATTATGGTTATCAGAAGTTTACGTTCACGTGTCAATCCTAACTATCTTCAATATTTTTATCTCTTTTTGTAGTTTTTTCATTTTGGTTATTGTTTGATATGAATATTTATTTTTGAGTTTATTCTAATTGCATTTTTTTGTCTTAGATTTAGAAAATGTATAAGAATTAAAATTATTAAAGAGATATATACTTAGGTTAAGATTTGTGTCTTATGTAGAATAAATATTTTATATTTATTAATTATTTTATGTTTTTAAAATATTATGAAATAATAAATAATAATTATATATTAAGTAACTAAGAAATCAGTTAGTATTATATAATAAAATGACGTGCTCATATAAATCAAACGACTGCTCTTATTTATGCACAATCATTTTAGGGTAAATAAATTAAAACAATCAATCTTATCTATCGTATTTGATACACAATTAAATTTAAATATATTAACATAGATATATAGTATATTTTTAATATGTATATTTATTAATTGAGGTTTCTACTCATATGATTTTATGATTATTTGCATATTTATGTAACAAAAGTTTTACACCAACGAAAATTTTTTAATGTGGAATTTTTAGTGGTATCAACAATTTTAATCTAAAAAACAATGAATATTTCAATATATGTTCAATGAAAATTAATATATTAAATTTCCAATATATGTTCAAAGTAATATCAAAATATAAGTACGTATTTTCATATGATGTATAGTTTAATTTAAACGATATGAAATATATATTAACATAAACACATATAAAATAAAATTATTTATTCCTATGATTTTATAATCATTGTATCTTATTATAGACAAAAATTTAAACTTCCATAACAAAGTGTATGTGAGATTTTTAATAGTTTTAGTAATTTATAATCGTTTTGAAAAATTCAAAATACAACATATACAAAAAAAATCTAAATTTTTATTATATGATTAATTTAAATGTGTGATTAATTTAAATGTGTAATTTATTTTAATAATAAAGAATTAAACAAAAATGATAAAAAAAAATATAGATTGTTAGCAAATCTTTATTATTTAGAATCATTAATTTTCATTTATATTTTAATCATATTAGGTAATTTTGTAGGTAATCATTAGGAAATAATATATAATAAACTTCAATTTGATAAATGAATGATCCATAATGGACATAATAATATATAATATAACATTTTCTAGCAAATTAATTTTGTGCTAACATAATTTTCAATTGATTCTCAAGCCGCCAAGAAAATAAAATTAGCATTTCAATTGCATGACAACTTAGCATAACATTTTTTAATTGGTACAAACTATAAATTATAACTTTTTAAATGTTTCTCTATTAATATAAGAGATATCAATAGGAAATATGCGTGTTTTTACTTAATTTGCTTTTTTAGTTTATTTGCTTACATGTAAACCCTTATTTTGAGAATGTGAAGTTTTTTTTTTGTCAACATTGTGAAGCTTTGTATGTATATGAGTAATGACATTTTATTAATATATTACACGGGATAATCACAAAACAGAATGTTGAACTTTAGAGCGAGTTGGTTAAAAACGAATACAACCACCTTGGAGAAATTGATTTTTTTTTTCTTTTAAAAAGAAAAAGCAAGCACACTGATGAATCTCACACAACCTGACAAACCTTTCTCTCCTGGAAACACCGAACCGCGTACATGAAATTCGCCAGCTGAGTCGGATGAAATGGATCAAAGAAAATATGAGAATCTGGCACCGTACACGCTGTCGAGTTTGACATGCAGCTTGTGTACGGCTTTCCATCATACACGTTAGGGCAACATGGGCTCGTCGAGTCTAGGAGATTCGAGCTAGCTTGATTGCTCGATGGTCCTCTAAGTCCCAACATGAAGTTGAAGTAATCTGAGTACAAGAAGGAAGTGCCGGATAACTTTTGCTTCAATGGAGTCAGGCCTTTTCTTAGCTTGGCGTTGAAAAGGGAAATCGCTTGGTTTATACCTTCGTTGCAACTTCCTCGTGGCACGGTAGAAGCTATAACGTTTGGGTAACATCCTAGTGGTTTAAGGTTGTTGACGAAGAACTTCCTTGCTCCTAATCTATGCAATCTCTGCACACACAAAAATCAAAAATCTTTAGTAGAATATTTATATATCTATAAAACAAGAAATACAAAAGTCTTTGCCTCTTTTATGAATCATTTTTTGATCATTTTCTTCTTAGAGGATTTTTTGTGACAAAAACTTCAAAAAATGGGTTATTTGAGAGAATTGTCTTTTAAACAATATACTATATTTGATTTAGTTTTGTCTAGAGTTTGAAAAAAAAAACTATTTTAACTATATTTCAGTTTTAAGATTAGTGACTAATGTAAGTGGTCAAGGAAAAAATGGTGGGAACCTAAAAAAAAGTTTTACCTTAATTTGTGACATATAATCATTGTGGAGCTTCTTTGCGAATTCTTTTGGATCGTCGGTTGTCTTATTAAAGGTGTAAGCGTAATCGTTAACTCCTATCGAGGTCATGAACAACGATTCAGCCAAGTGTTCACTGAGCTCTGACTCGGTCTTAAACCTGTTCTTCATATTCTGCTCGATGGTTTTCTCGAATAGATCAACTTGGACACCCAGTGAGAGACAGTGTCCCTTGTTCATAGAAAGAATCAAATAAAACTCATTAGATTTTTTTTTTTTTTTTCTCGGAACCTCCAAGAGCCTAAGGTCATTTTGAAGAATATTGAAACTTACCATTTTCGTTCCTGTCTCAGGAAAAACCCCACAGCTAGCAGAAGCGTAGTTAATACCAGTTGAGATATTGTTCTTTTGTTCTTCTGATAATCCCATGTAAGCTGGAGCCAGAGGAAGCCCATAATAAATAGCTGAAAAAAACATACAAGACAATTAGACAATACTCAATTTAACTATTTATATGTTCGCAACTACTATTTGTTTAGTTATTTTCTATTACTGGCCATATATACTTTTCGATATGATTATCAAAAAAACAAAAGAAAAAAAACAATTACTAACTAATATAATGTTATTTGCGTAATTCATTACACGACCTATAAACATAAAATCAGCAATAGTAATTCATTACTTTTCGTTTGCATGTTCTTACCAATGTAATCAGCAATAGTTTTGCCATTGCAAAAACGACCAGTAGGTTTGCCTCCTTCAAATTCAGAACCATAAGGCGCGAAATTCGATTTGACTTTCGTCTCAAGATTATTGTTGTTCCCTGCATCAACCAATGAGTCCCCTATAACATACAAAGCCTGAAACTTCCCATCAAAAAACACGGCTTCTTTTTCCAATGAATGCGAGATAATGGTGGAAACATTGAGAAGACAGAAGACAAAGAGCCAAAGAACGCATCGCTTTAGAGAAGACGAAGGCAACTCCATATATTTTTCTTTTTTTCTTGATTAGAGAAAAATAAAGAAGAAGAATCTAATGAATCTTGCAAATTTGAAACTACAACAATGGGAGTTTATATATAAGCGGTTTGGAAAGCATCGTACAGCTTTCATACTAAAAACGAACGGTAAAAACTATCATTAACTAATGTTAACTAATTAAGCCTATATATGACCTGAAAAGTAACTTTATCGACCATTTAAAAACAACTAAGCCTATATATGGAAACTAAAATTCATTCTTTTCGTTTTGTATATTCTTTATTATAAAAAGTAACTATATTCTTAGAGTTGAATTTAAATGTATTTCTCTATTCGCAGTTTTGAATGTTTACTATACTAGGTATTTCGCCTGTGCATGAAGACATAAACACTTTATAACTACTTATAAATATATGTATTACTAATTAAAAGATTATAATAATAAATGTTAATTTATGTTTCATTTGAAATTTTTTACATATTATAATCTTTTTTTTTTGAAAACTTCTTTGCATAATTTATTCATTTTTAATAAATAATTCTTAATTAGAAATCACTCACTATTCTATTTTCAATTATATAAAATTAATATTTTTACTTGATTAATATTTAGTTAAGGTTATATTTTGAATTTTTAATTTTTTGTTAAAAGATCTTTTAGGATACAATACAATTTATAAATGAATTATCTTTTTATTTCAAATATCTTTTTAGATAATTCTTAATATTATTAATTTTAAGCATTTATCTAATAAAATAAAATTTAAATCTCATTTTTATTTTTTTGGCTAATTTATTAATTTTATTCATTAAGGGTAAAATCGACTTTAACCGATATAACTTTGAGAAAATAGTTTTTTTAGACCAAAACCATTAGGAAGTTGTCCCTTTAATCTAATCCCATTTAGTTATTGTCCCATTAAGTTAATTTTTTCCTAAATGGCAATAATACCCTTAGAACAATTTAATAATTTGTAATAATAATTAGAAAATAATAATAAAATTATTATTTTTAATTAAAAATTGTATTAGAAATTGAAAAATAAAAATAAAATAAAAAAAAAACAAAAAAAACAATATATTTTCGATTTGATCAAAAAGTATATTCGAAATTAAAAAAAAAATTAAAACTTAAAAAACTAAAATAAGATATTTTCGATTTAATAAAAAAATTATAATTGAAAATAAAATAAAAAATAAAAAACCCATATTTGAAAACGGTTTTTTCTTTTATTATTTTTTTAAAAACGATTTTATAAATATGGAAACTGAATATTTGCAAAAAAATCGAATTTTCCTCTTTTTTTAAATCGAATTTCCTTTTAATAAAGTTTTTGCTTTTGAATTTTGCTTTTTTTTTTTAATCGAATTTTCCTCTTTTTAAAAAAAAAAATCGAATTTTCCTTTTTTTTTTAAAAAAAAATGGAGTTTTAAATTTGGTAACAGAATATTCTCTAAGATATTCTTGCTATATTTTCGGATCTAATAATATTTATCCGTAGAATTCAGATTCTACTAAACGTAGAACTGTGTAAAGAGATATGAAATCAGTTTCTACGTGTATTAGAACGTTGTGCGAATTTAGATTCTGACTTCTACTTGTCTTAGATTTACGTACGAATTTAGATTTCAACTTCTACTCTTTTTAGAACTATATGATAAGCGTGGAATGTGTATTCCAAACTATTTTAGATTCATGTTATCTCCGTAGAAAACATATTATGCAATTCGTAGAAATAGTGAAAAAAATAGATTCCGTATTCCAATCCGTAGAATACATATTCTAATTTCGGTAGAATAGATATATGAAATTATTATTTACATATTTTTAAAACAAGAAAAAAATATCACTATATAGATATAGAGATTTCATCATTATGTACTATTTTTTTAAAAAAATTTGCTTCATAAATCTATTTTTTTAATAATTTCGAAAATACATAAAGGGCATTAAAGTCAAAATTGGTACAAAATATAATTTAGCCTAAAGGGACAATATCCAAATCTATTTGGTCTAAAAAAACAGTTTCCCCTATAACTTTTAACGTGAGAGCTTGAACACGAAAAATCACTACGCGAACAATAATATAAATAGATAAAAAAAAAGATAGATAGATAGATAGATAGATAGATAGATATGATTAGTTAACAATATATCTCACATTATTTTTTATTATATCATTGGTACAGAACACTATATAATCAATCATAAAATTTATTATATAATATCTAGAAAATTAGGATATTTTGTTAATAGGTTCCAAAGATATCGGATAGTTGTGAGTGGTTCCAGATTTTGTGTAACAACAATGGCTATTTATAAATCCTTTTGAATAGAACAATCCCTGAAGGGAATTTCATCGAGTAACATTATTGTATCAGAGCACATACACTCCTGAACCGATTCTCTTCTCTTCTTCTAGTTATAATCTCACTTAGGCTTCTTCTTTTTCTTTTCAATTTTGAAAACTTGGTGAGACTATTTGAACCATTTAGCCGTTGACTCTATTATACTATCGAATCAAGATTTGGTATGTTTTTAAAAACATTACTAAATAAATAAAGGATAATAAAGCAGGATATATAAAAATAATTAACTCCATTGCTAAAGTAGAAACTCGAGTCAGTATATAACCCTAATTGGTGTTTAAAACATTATTTTTGGTGTACGGTAAATTTTAGATCAGTTTTCTAAAATAAAAATTAAAACAACAACTAATAGCATACTAAAAGCTAACAGACAGTATAAACAAGTTAACTAATTAGAAGAAGAAAAACAGATTCACCGAGAAATAAGCCTTGCTAAATGGGAAAAATTGTGGATAAACAACATATTTTTACGCCAGGTGTATCATATGGTAATAGTTACACAAAATCTTTTAACTTCATTCTAGTTCCATATATTAAAAGTATTAAAACTATGTTTCCAAGTCAGAAATATCAAAACTTATTCCGATAAATGAAGGTTTAGTTTAGTTTTAATGGTTTGAGGACGGATACCAAATTAGTATGTTTTGAACCGGTTTTAAAACCTAACCTAGAATCCAAATACAAACCTGACCCAGTGTACGAATTAAACTTTGGTAAATTTAAAAATCAGATTGTATCTATTCAATGAGGTTAGCCATTGATTTTGTATCAAAATTTAGAGTAGTAAACCGATCTAAATCAGATTGTGTGGATTTTAATTCATACTTAACATATTATAAAAATACTTGTTTCGATCTTTTGAATTAGGGAGAAACAGATTTTAAAATTTTATAATATGTGGAATTAGAATTAAGTTGGAAAATTGTATGTAACTATTACTATATGATATTTCTGTTGTGGAAATACGTCTTTTATCCAAAAATTGTCTCTGGCAAATCATAAAATCATGTTCGGTAGAATTCGGCTTGTCCTAAACATTATTCTGATAGATTTACACCATTGTCTTGCAATTTTACGAATTAACGACGGACAAATAACCCGATCATACCAACCACCACCACTAGTCAGAGAGGGTAACCGAGATTGAGTGACCTCTAGTCGTTGGAAACAAGTGTGTCACAACTGTGTGAGTCAATACAGTGGGATGCAAACGCAATGAGAGCTACATCTTTTTTGCTCTTTTAACCATGCAAAAGGACAAAACATATATATATATATATATATATATATATATATATATATATATATATATTCATTGTCCGAACAAACTGTACTCTCTTTACTTCACAGTCCATTCACACAACAAGAAACCATATTAAGCCATGTTTGAACTGGTCGATAAAATTCAAGGCTGGTCTTTGCGTGCTAGCTATACAATTTTTAAACCAGAAATTATGCATAGGTTTGCCATTTAATATTTACCCTAATGGTATAAAAGTCAGCAATCAGAATAAATTTGAGATAAGCTTCACGGGGCTCTAATAAATGCGATTGATCAACGATACACATTAACTTCCCACACACTTCCAGTTATGTTTTTCAGTTTAATGAACCCTAGTAATAGATTATGAGGGTGATTGGTTGGGTTGTAAGTAATGATTTTAGCTTTAATTTCTATCTACAACCATTTAAAGCACCAATTATGCTTTAAGTAGTTTTTAAATCTAAAGTCAAAAAATGGAAAAGTGGTTGTAGGAACCCTATTTTCTAAAGCAAAAAATTATTGCTGTAGGAGATTGTTGTAGAAATATCTTTCATTTTATATTTTTTTCACTTAATTTCTATAGCTACATTAGATACAACTACATCAAAAACATCTACAATCTAAATTCTACAGTAAAATTTCTAAATCTACAGTTCAACCAATCACCCCCTATATACTCCCTCTATTTCTTATTAAAAACATAATTTTTTATATTTTTTAAACAAAAACATCATTAATCATTTATTTAATCACAATCCAACCAATAACAAAATAGAAGATAAAGTATCATTGGTCATTCAACATTAATTGTTATTAAATTTTATATATAAATTTGAAAACATCATATATTTTGAAACAAAAAAGTTTTCTAGAACGTAAAGTATTAAGAAACGGAGGGACTCAGAAATTTATGAATGTTGCACCAAATGGATCAGTAAGACAGTGGCATTACCTTATTCCGCGAATCTGACGATTAAAATACACTATAAGACAAAGTCTTCAAGCACCAAAGTAGTGCTGGTGTTTGAGTTAAAGCTGCAAAAGAAAATGAGAACTTAGATGAATAAAAATGATGAATCATTCATGGTATCGGTATCAGTAAGTTGATACATGAATAAGCGGAAATATTAACAAAGGACAAGGAGATAACGATGGAATGAAGAAGAAAAATGAGTATAAATTAAAGCGGAAAAAGCCAAAATTTTAATTTGAAAGAGATCCACAGAGAAATTGTGGCTATTTGTTTATAAAATTAAGTTAGAAGAGTAGTTAATGTAATATAAGAGAAGAGAATACAATAGGAGAACAGAGAATGAGATGCAGACCAAATGGCTGAATTAGTAATGTGAGAGATAAACGAATTATCACGTTTGTTTTTTATAATGGGAGATAAACGTATTATCACGTTAGTTTATACTAATTCAACCATTTGGTCTGCATCTCATTCTCTGTTCTCCTATTGTATTATCTTTGCTTATATTACATTAACTACTCTTCTAATTTAATGTTATAACTAAATAGCCATAATTTCTCTGTGCATCTCCTTCAAATTAAAATGTTGGAACAGAGAATGAGATGCAGACCAAAGGTTGAATTAGTATTGTGGGAGACAAATGCATTATCACGTTTGTTAATATATAACTAGGGCTTAAATTAGTATCAAGAGAAAGAAGCTAATATACATTAACAAGACCTGTCTAGAATTTGAGGAATATGTTGTAATAATATTTATTGACTTGAACAAGATTACTTCCAATTGGTTTGATGATCCTCATAATAATTATTCCCGCCTTCAACGTAGAGCACTTTCAAAAATGGTGACAATGTTTTTTTTTTTTTTTGTGGGCACTGTGACAATATTTGTTATGCTCCCAAACCGAGGTACAGATAAGTTCTCCTATTTCAATCCCTTACCCCTACTTCCATATATAATTGCATTTTTGATTCTTCTCATCTAACTAGTGACACTTCCCTTCTTCTTTAAAGTTTCCCAAGTTTTGTCTCTCCTTTCTAAATTTTGAAAATTTATTTCAACTTTTGTAAGTGGGTTTGATTGTCATTATGTCAAACTATGGATTATGTGATAATCTGTTAGCTAGTTTCTCGTGACAAGTAGGCCACTTTTGCCTCTTTGCCTGAATCTACATTTTAAGTAGCCTTTCAACTCGATTTTAATTAAATCTCATTTGGAATTTTCTTTTAGATATCTATGATTTAATGTGTCTACTTGTACTTCCGATTCCTCTAACCAATATGTATAGACTGCTTATAATCAATTTACTAGCTAAACTGCGTAATTCAACCGAGACAGTATATATCATTAATGTACCATAGAAAAGATGTACCATTAAAAACTCTTTCTTTTTCAATTACTTTGCTTTGCTGCAGTGAACCTACGATTATATGATATAAATGTATACTTACTTTCTTTTTTTGCCAGTGTCATATTTAGTTAAGATTCTTTAGTCCAGTAACTGTAGAGAGTACTCTTGAGTCATATGGGCTCAATACTTTATGAATGTTATGTGTGGAATAAGACAAACAAATGCATGGTCACTGAGTTATCATCATTTTGTCCTCTTTGTGCTATTATTTATTTATTCATCCACATCTAATCATACACCAAACCAAGACCAAGTTGTATGATAAATCCAATCATATCCACATCCAGCAAGAAACAAAGCATAAAAATATCTGTCCACTTTTATTGTACTGTTAGGACAAACGTTAACCTTACTCATTATTCATTTGGTTTATATATATATATGAAAAGTCACTGCAAAAAGCATTCCGAGTTTGTTTACACACAAGAAACATGAAACCGATGTGATGATGAGATATAAATAGTAAAACAATAAAACGTCCAATACATTATAGCTAGTCGAATTATTTTCTATATGATGATCGTGAATTATATAGAGGTTAATGTTAATCTTTCATATTATAAAGCAGAAGTCAATTGACAAATTTGGAAGTGACAAGTGTCCTCTAACATTTAAAAAATAAAATCTTAGTTATCAAAAAAAATTTAGTTGCTTAAGAAAAAGAAAATTATTAGTAACCAATAATCGGTGGCAGTTACACACACCACGATCACGCCATTTATCGCTTTCCCCATTTATTTTTGGTTCCTCTAATCAACCATGTTCCATAATATTTGAGAAATAACTACGCCATCCAATGGAATCAATAAACATGGTGATCGCCATGACTAACACTATTCTCATTTAACAATCTACCAAATGTTATCAGGCCCTCAAATGCGTTCAAGTATTCTCATTTAACAATCTGAGGAGATACAACCATATCAGGTTTTTACTTTTTTTGCTCTCCTTTTCTTTTTCTAAAGTGTTTTAATTTTCAATTTCTATTCATTTGGAGATCTTTTATCTTCGTTTTATAAAACCAATTCATCTTCCTTTATTGTTTTGAAAAAAAAAATGTTAGACTACGCAATGTATGCAATGCCTATCACAATTCACAGTAACACTAAGACCAACACAAGAAACATGCATGTCTCATGCGAAAAAAAAAAAAAAATTATTTACCTATACATACTCTTTCTATTCATATTTGATATTTTGCACTTGAGGTTCATGGTTATTTGAAACTCTTTGTCAATCCATTCCCATGGTTGCCGTTAAGAATGAAAGAGTCTATGATTTTATCAAAATAATATTTCCTTTTTGCATTATTTTGATGTAAGTGAAATTCATATATTCATGTTTTTCTATCGTTCATAATCATTTCAGTGTATTTTTTAAGATGTAGAAGTTCATAATTAATCAAACCAAAGCCTTACTAGATAGTGGAGCGAATCTATTGATCTGTCACACTAAAGGTTCATGATTATTTCTCATTTTATTCATGTTTCGCACACGATTTCAATCCATTTAACATCTTCAAGTTTCCTACTGATGTAGTCTTGGATATAATTTTATCATTTATGTAATATTTTAAGTTTTTTGACAATCATCTTGCCCCTGCATAGCAGGGGCCATAATACTAGTGAATGAATAAATCGGTAGTCACAGAATAATTAACTAAAATATATAAAAATTTATCCTTTTTTTTTGAACACATATAAAAAGTTATCCATAATTCAATTATCGCCAATTGATTTTAAATTGTAAATCTATGATATCTTCAAATTTAACACAATATCAGATCTACCTAATATTAGACATTAGGTTGATGTTGTTTCTATACACTGTGTTTGGGGGAAATTATAAATAAATGAATGAAAATTTCATACTGGAAGTTGAAGAAATAAATAACTAATATATAAAAAATAAGGAAAATTACCAGAAATAACACTTTCAAGATACCACTTTTCAACTTTACACTAACCAACTTTACCTTTAAAATTTTAGTAGTTAAAATACTATTAGACTTTAGGGTTTAGGGTTTTGGGTTTAGGTTTGATAGTTTAGGATTTAGTGTTGATTTTTAGGGTTTATGGTCTACTTTTTAGGGTTTAGAGTTTAGGGTTTAAGGTTTAGAACTGATATTTTAGGGTTTAGGGTTGATTTTTAGGGTTTAGGGTTTACTTTTTAGGGTCTAGAGTTTAGAATTGATGTTTTAGGGTTTAGGGTTAATATTTTATTTAATATTTATTTTATATATATATAAAGAACAAAGATATAAGACTCTTTTATCCTTTAATAAAATGTGTATTTTTGAAAATGTTCTTTTGTTGATGATAAACATGAAAAGTGGTACCACCAAGTGGTATAATTGAAATTCTCCCAAAAAATAATGACCAATCAATTTATCATCAATTAGTTATAAGTTGGAAAAGCATGATAAATTCAAATTTAACACTAAATATTAGTAGTAAATTTGGTTATCTTTTGGATATATACTTTTACCATCGATTAAGGATGATAAAGGAACTGCCATACATTCAAAAGGTTTGGTCAATGTTAAAACTCTGTATATTGCCAAAGACAACAAGGTTTAGAAAAGTAATATATGAAACATTTACAAAAATAAGACGAGCAGTCAATGAAAAGGTAAGAAGAATATATATTGTCGAAGGCCAGATACATTCAACGTTGTTAAATGCAAAAAGTTTGGAAGCAAATCCTACATACATAAAACTCTAGAAAAGTATGAAATATGGTGAACTGATAAACTCTTTTAGTATTGTAAAAAACCTTGCAATAGTGTATTGCCTTCTTGGTAGTACATATAGAAGACGTACCACGTAAGAAAACGGAATGTTACGTTAATTTTGATGTTGTCTTTGTCGAAAGGACGGATATAAACAATGATAAACCCTACCCATAAATTGGGCCCTACTTTCAGTTTCATAGTTTTGTTGCGTCTAAAGTTGGTATGATTCTTTGAACTTTATACAAACGTTGGACATAACCTTATGGGATCAATGGATAATGCAGAAAAATGGGTCGATGATGATATGCCCATTTCGCTTTCTTCGCAGCTGTCTTCGTACCAAACCATTCCTTTGGGACCATATCACGCTTACGCTTTTACCACTTTCTCTTGTCTCTCTAACACTCATCAGAAAACCTAATAGATTGGACTAAAACTTAGGATATCTATGAATGGTAAAATGCTCCATGTGGCGGTTAGGCCGTATAACATAATTTAAACACCATTAATTACACATGATTATTATGATTTTTGAGTCTTATGCTATATTATTTCCTTAATTACCATATCTAAGAAACAATAACTTAACATGTTTATGTAACTAACAAATATCCCCTACTTAGCAAAAAAGGGTCATGAAAATGTGAAACGGACGTGCATGTGGCGTGTTTGATCTCATAATATTACATAATCAAGAAAAATATTTATTAATATGATCTATCTACTAACAATTTGTGAATGCCAATAGTTTAGTTAAACTTCACTATCTATAGTACTTTATAGATCATAGTTGAGCTATTTTTTTAATTTAATTTTTTTCATAGTTGATTGTTCTGATATTATTTTTCTACCCGTTTTTTGTATGTTATTCTATTACCACTGGTTCAAATTTTAACTCATGTTGGTTAATGCTTGGGCTAAAGTGTGGAATTTTAATTGACAATACATCGACTCACGAGAACGGCAATGGATTCGTTAAGTAAAAATGAAACCAAACATTGAAGAAGATTAATATTATATATAGATTATATTTATTTATAAGACAAGGCCAAGCTACAAGGACATACCAAAGAAAAAAACAGAAAAAGGTGACACCAAGGGGTAAAAAGAAAAAAAGAACATACAAAGAAGATCACAAAGAGAGGAGAAAACATATATTTACAAAATAGTAAAAAATAAATAAACAAACCCTTTTTTCACCATATATCGCTTGTGTTAAACCCAAACCTTCCAAACTTAACTAACCTTTTTTTACTACCATAGGACGCAAACAAGAAGTCTCCATAGATTCTATCTCTTTGTCTCTTTTTAACCTCCTCTCTCACGAGCTTTTATTTTTATACTATATGGTTTTCTCAAAACTGGCAAGAAGTGCCAAGTCTCTGTCTCTTACTCACCATAACCGTTTTGCGTTTAGCAAAAGCTGGTCCAAGCAACTCTTGGAACCTCTCCAAGAACATGACCCACTCCTCTTCTTTCATGTCTGCTACTTTCACAAAACTCCCACTCACTGGAAGCTGCTCGTTTGCGCTTTTGTGACCAAACGATGTGTTTTCAGATTTGCCTCTCGTTAAAGGCTTTGACATTGTTCCTCCCATGTTAAGATGTGTGTTCTTCATTGAAGTAGAAAGCTTTGAAAGAACGGTAGAACTTATCATTGGAACAGCATCTTCAGTACTGTCCTCTATTTCTTCGTCTTCATCTTCTTCTTCTTCAAGCTTTCCAAGTGAACAACGTCCATTAGAAAAAGGGTTTCTCATGAAGTAATCATCGGTTAGTTGTATCTCATCACAGTCTAAATCAAACTGAAACTCAGCTTCTCCTACACCATCAGACCTTGGAGAGAAAACATCTCGTTCAGTAACTAATCTCTTAGCTTCAATACACAAAACCTCAAGCTCACTAGGCTCCTCTTCACCTCCACGAAACTCTCTACTCATCATCTCACCAATCTCAGCAAGACACAGCCCAAAACTCGCAGCTTCCTTAAGAAAAACAGTGGAGACAACAAGTACTCTCAAACAAGCTTCTCTAATCATTGGCAACTCTCTTCTAAGCATCTCACAGTCTTTAAACGGATCAAGCTTCTGTATATACTCAACCTCTTCATCAGAGAAAGGTAAAGAAGCTTGAGGCCAATGAATCCACTCGAAGTAAGGATCCTCTAACGTCTCAGGCAAACAAAGTCCATGATCAATTGGGATAAGCTCAACTTCACCGAACGTCTTCACCTTTTTCACCAAAAGGTTCCCACCGTGACGGTCCGTGTTGAAGATCCTTACATCAAGTATCCCAATCCTGTGCACAGAAGCTACAGGGAAGCTTGAGGTTCCATGATCACTAGCGTCAAAGTCATGTTCCACAAACTTCTGAAAAGAAGCAATCTTACTAACAACAATCTTCTCCTCTCTTGGTGTCTTGTTCCCTTTCACATTATCATTGACGTTGAACACAGAGTGAGTGATCTTGACAAGAGCAGTGGGAGGGACATTAGCAAACCGGTTATAGTCCAGAAGGTAAGCTGCAACTTCTCTAAACCCGGTTTCTCCCACTCGTACCGATGATTTTAAACCGGGCTGTCCAAGTGCTCTCCCAACAAAGCCTTTTGGATTGTTAGGAGCAAACGGCTCTTCATCTGTGGGTTTCACAATAGCAACGCTCTCACCTTTCTTGTTTCTAAAATAGTAAGCTCCTCCAAGACCACTGTGTACAGGGAGAGGATCAACGCCAGCCTTCATCGCCTTCACAATGTCCTTCACCATTTGCTTCAGAACGGAAAAACACTCTGATTGGTTTAATATCTCAATAGGACCGCTTCTATCTTTCTGCTCAAGATCTCTCCCTGTAGGGGACAGACAAGGAGTAGAAGAGCTTCTATGCATTAAGTTACGTTTCAGGAGAAGTGGAGAATCATTCCTCACAGCGCTGAGATCGTTGGTTAGAACCATGTCACCGTAAGTTAAAGAGCTTTCTTCAGTGGGGAAGTTGAGAGCTATCTGAAGTCTTTTTTTAACTGTGTGAACGTTGTCGCTACGGTCTAGTTCCATCCCCAAAACACAACCGGTTTCTGTCTGGACAAAGACTCTTCTTCCTGAGGATTGTCTCTTTAGATGATGGTGATGATGTCTATGTTGTTTCCCTTCCATCTTGTTACCCCCGGAAAGTGGGGGTTTGAAGACCGCTACTGCCATTTGTGTCTGAACAGGACTGTCTAGGTTCCGAGACATGTAACGGAAGCAGTGTCTGAAACCAACACGACCCGGACAAAGCAGGAGTGGATAATACTTGAATCGATCATGAAACGTAGGAGAACCCAAATCGAGTTTTATTGCAAAAAGACTTGAGCTTTGAGAGAATGCTTCTACATCAGGTAAGCCATGTTTTGGACAGAACACGAGAAGACATCTGTAACAAAAAAAAAAGATGTCACCTTTCTATAACAGATCTAACGTAAATGATCTTGTAAACCCATAAGAGAGAATCAACAAAGATGATAACTTTAAATCATTTTCTGAACATATCAATCAAAAAGGTTTGATCTTTAAGAGAACTCACCAGAAAACAGAGATCTGAGAACAGAGTCAGAGACAGAGGAAGAATACGTCAATTCAAAGGCATCATCATCGTTTTTTTTTTTGAGAAACAAACGAACATGAAAGGGAGAATCTTTTATGAAGAGGGTTTCAATGGAGGTAAGGAATCAAGGGAAAGAGAATGTAAACTCAGTGAAGAAACACTGATCTTTGTATGTGTGTGTGTTTGTTTGTTGTCTCCTTCCTTGGTTTCACTTCTTTGTCTGAGGGAACGCTTTTTAACTTTGATCTTGAGTACGGACTCTGGTTAAGTTTTTAACCATGGTTGAGTAAAATATCTTTTCTGTAAGCTATTTATCAGGCAATAAAGTATAGAATTTATTCTTATGACACGTCATCTTATTGTTTTAATTAACATTATTAACTAGTTTAATACTCCACTAGATTATGATTTGGTGTTGACGTAGTTTTTACTTTTATTTTAGACTGACAAAAAAAAAATTATATATATATATATATATATACTGACATGTATGTTTTTTTTTTTTTTTTTTTTTTTGTTATACTGACATGTATGTTGTGTAGTTATACTGACATGTATGTTGTTGAAACGTATTAATTTATTTTGCTCTTCTTTACCAAATCCGAAAATATCTTTATTTCTTCGTTTGGCATCTCTAGCAAGGAAACTGTAATTTTACTATTATAATAAAGTATAACTTTTACTTGTGTAGTTTAGAAAAAAATTACTTGTGTAGTATAGTAGTATACAAACTTCAGAACTAAAAAAATAACTAAAAGACCAAGAAAAAATAGATCAAAAAAATAATGCAAAATAAATTGGTAAATAAATAGAGTGATAAATTGACAGGTAAAACAGTAATAAAATAAGAAGATTCATCATTGTCCCCATGTTTAGAAGAGTCTAGAACAGGCCAAGAGAGCCGTTCGATTAATAGATTCCTATAGAATCTTGACTGTCCGATGTGAGAACGGTACATGGCGATGGATGAGGATGCCGACGTGGTTAATAGTGACATTGACATACGGAATTGGGCCTCGCAACTTAAAGGCCATTATTAAACAATGAAGTAAAAATTAGGCAAATAGCAACTGACAAGTAGTTAAAAGCAAGTTTCTATTTTACAAATGATAATACATTGTCATAAAGTTGTTCATTAACTACAAAGAGTTGAATATTATCTCCCTGTTCAGCTTGAATCTTTAATCTTCTTAAAAAATAATTAGTTAAAAAAAGTTGTTTTGGGTTAAAACAAATGTATTTACATATTTCACCTGAATGTCCTCAAAAATAAAGATGATTATGAGATCCATTAGGTTTCAAATGAATAAAGTGACTACAAAAACACTTTTAAATCCACATGAGAGTAATAGAGAATGATAATAATAGAGAATGAGATTAAACAACTTTGGATATAAAGATCTTGTCACCATTATGCAACATTCAACTTTGGACAGTTATGACTATTTTAATGATTTAGTATTTTAAGAAGAAAAAAGTATATTAAGCATAAATTATACCGTACATGATCCTAAACCATGTGCAGTAGTGTCTTCCCATTAACTCGACTATTCATAGGAACACATGTCCATCCCCACATATGCTCATATTCTTTCTGATCCTAATGACTTCCCCCAAGCCAAAAGCCAAAGCTATTTTCTCGCTGTAATGTCTAAAGAATCCTCTATCAGTTCTCTTTCAAGATCTTGGATAGCTTCCATAATGTTTCCTAATTGACCTGAAGTAGTAGTACCTGGCTATGACCATTTCATCACATTCAATACATTTTGCTCGATACTGGTATGCGTTAAGTTGTGAAGAAGATCAAAATGGGATTTGATTTAGAGCAACTAAATTAAAACCTACTTGAGATAACAAAGACGAAAGAGCCAGTGACGTTTTATCTTAGATATATTAAAACAATTGTTCCAACGTCATAGTAGATATTCAGATGCATAATACTCTCTAAAAACCCCTCAAGTTAAAAATAAAACTAACAGAGAAGAGAGAGAGAGATCATCTTTGGAAGAGTGATAAGAAACTCTTTAGACAGCTTCTGGTTCAACGAACGGGTTAGCGATTTCTTCAGTGCCATCCGTTGGTGAGACGAGCATCACCGCAGTTCCACGGCAAACCTAAAACCAAAGATTAACACATACTGGTTTACAATCTAACGAGTTTGAACTATCAAACTCCATTACAAGTAAGATGTCAAGCTGTAACCACAGGAAACAATGCTCTTATCTGCATCACAAAAGAATAATACTTGTGATTGTGAAAAAAAGGGTAAAGGAGTCATACAATTAAACCAAGGCGTCTTGTCTGGTCAGTAGTCTTCAAAGGATCATCATGATCTGGTTCAACATCAGACAAGGAAATATCATGTAAATCAACAAGCCAACACAGCTCTTGATCATATAATGTGATGCCACTTTTATATGATTAAGCAGTACAAAAACCTCTTTTCCAACATATGTAATCAAGATTTATGTAAATTTCAGTGGCATAGATACAACATAAACATAGTGACAATGTATTTAGTAGAGTAAGATGGATACACATAGTGACATTGTATGTAACTTTCAATGTCACAATGATACTGTGTAAATCATAGAGACCAACTAAAATTTATATGACATAGGTACAACACACAGACAAGACTTAAACTACTCATCTCATGTTTTGCACTAATCATATACATAAAAAAGAGAGAGATACCTCGCACAGACTCAACTGCCCCATCAAGAACAAGGTTAAGCAATTGATCGTAGCCCTTAAGAGTTCCAGTAACTACACAAATCAACACCCATCAAAACTCAGCTGCAACTATAAACTAACTAATCAACTTTGCAGAACTGTATTAGAAAAAGCTATTATCTTAACCTTGTCTACCACCGGTGAGCTTAACTTGCACACCCTTATCCACAAACTTAGCCAAATCTAAAACAGTCTCCTTTCTTCCTGACTGTAACAAAAAAAAAAAAAAACAGAGTAAAGATTAAACCTTGAACTGACCTAATCGACTCAAATCATAATAAAGATTAAAACTTTGAATTTACTTACCATCTTAGAGCAGACCCTTTAACAAAAATTCCCAAACAAACTGTAAGAATATGGAAACAAACGTGAAAATCAAATTTGATTGATGAAAGTGTGAAGCTTGCTGCTTTATTCCAAGAGATTGATGTAGTAAACTCACCAGAGAGGGAAGATCTAAAATGGTCGGAGAGAAACAGAGACGATGATTATATATGAAGTCAGAGCGAGTCCGCTGAATAGTAAAGGACACTGGTTAAGATCTCTAACCGTGGTTTGAAGATTGGTTTTCTCAAGCACGAGTTCGGTTCGGTTAACCGTCTTAACCGTGTTGGTATCTCGATATATTAATCATCACAAATAAATGATTTTGCGATCGATTTTTTTTTTTTTGCCAGTCTCAGTTTCAAATGCAACTCTACTAAATAACACCAGATGTTTGTAATAATAGCAAAAATTAGAAAATATTCCACTTTTGAAAATATTTCCACATTTCCCGTTGAACAGTCCATAATTGCTCATATAGCTCCTCATCACTGCTCAAAATCGCGCCCCCATTATGTCTCATCATCACCTACTACTCTATCCATCATCTTCTTGCTTAAATCTTGTCCGAAAGTTTTTTTTATTTCATCGCAATTGAAATTGCCGTTGAGATTTTATGGAGAAAACAAAGAACACTTTGTTTCTCGTTAGTGAAACGTCAAGCCAGAAATTAACTTAAACACCGATATGTTTGGGACAGAACGAAATAATTTTCACCATGTGGTTGAACAACGTTAACAGAAGAAACACAAAACGAATTGATAACTTTTTCGGGAAAAAAACGTAAAACATAGTGGTTCCGATTGGTAACCATGACGGAATCGCAGAAATAATAGGTAAGTTGTGGAAAAATTTAAAATTTGCGGAATGGCGGAATGTATATTAAATTGATAAAAATATTTTATATGGTATTTAATTTGTTATAAAAACAACTAGTAATAATTAAACTAATTATTAACAAATGTGAAAACAACTAAAATTTATTAAAAACATTTTATTTTTATTATAGATATCTAACTTATTTTAAATATATTCTAATAATAGATCGACATTTTATAATATACAAATTATAATAGAATTTTATTTATAACATAATTATTTATCCTTAAAAATTCTTGATATGTATTTTCTATTTTAAGATAGTATTAGCATATTATTTAATAATATGAAAATATTAATTTGCAAATCTTTTCACCATAATCTACTAAAACTCATTTTTCCACTTAATACAATTTCTCTTTATAATTTTGTCAGCTAATTTGCGTTTTTACGTTTTTTTTTATTCCGTAACATTTTGTTGATTGGTAAAATTTTTGTGGAATCGCGTTTCATAAATCATTCCGCATGGTAAAGACGCAGAAGAGAGAAGAGAGAGAAGAGAGAGAAAGTAGATCTGAGTTATGTTTTCCGGCCGACGACGGTGGGCTTCCACAGACACGTCGTCGGTTGGGATTTGTGTGTTTGGATCTATTGTCGGGTTTTGTTGTAAGCTAGTCTTTTCGTTTTATTTTGGTTCCGTCGGCGCATCTTTCTTTCGGTGGCCGGTCGGCTTTGGTCTCCGTCGTTGCACCTATTATGTTAAGGTGGACGGTCGGCTTAAGTTTCTGGAGTGTGGAGGCTCTCTCAGCTCCGCGTCGCCGGCTTAGTCTCCGGGAGGTGGAGGCTCTCACAGCTCCATCGTCTCCGGCTTTGTCTCCGGGGGGCGAAGGCGTCCCTTGCTTTGCGTTGCTGGTTTTTTGTTTTCTAGATTTGCTCTAGGATGTAGTTTATTTCTTGTTTGCGTTTCTGTGGTCTCCGTTGAATTAGTTGGATGAGATCTCGTCGGAGGACGATGAAGCTCTTTGGTGGTATTGGTGTTTGTTGTGTGTGATGTTTTTCTCTTGGGTTGTTTGCGCTCAAAGCTAGAGGATGAGATCTCGCTATGGCGATTGATTCTCTCCGATCTTGGCCCCAATGAGTTTGAAAGTGATTTCGGTGAAGATTTGCGGAGTTTTAGAGCTCCGGTGTGGTCCGGTGTACTGAGGTTTGGTTCGTCGGTGGTAGCGAGTAGCGATGGTGACGCGACGGCCCTTGTGATGCGTGTCCCTCGGTGTCGAGGTTGGTTACACGTGTCCGGTTTGTTTCTTCTTCCAATTTGTGTGGCGGTCGTCGGCGTCTTACCTCCTTAGTTGCTAGGGTTTTCAATATTTGGGTTTAAGGCCCATTTGGATGGTTGTATTGAGCCCGATTTATGCGGATTTTGTAATTTGTTGGATTTTTGACCTTTTTAATATATTAAATTTCGAGGGAAAAAAAAAAAAAACCATTCCACATGGTTACTCAATGCAAGTAAGTTGTAAAACGGTCAAAAATGGCCTAAAACAATACAACACACTTATGACTTAGAATTTAAAGTATTCCATCTCAATGATGATTTACTTTGCTTGGAGAAGAGTAGGAAGAAAAACAGGATTATGTAAGATTTCTTCAAAAAAAAAATTAAATCTCGACAAATGAAAAAATCCAAAAAAAAAATAAAAGATTTAGATCTATCAGAAAAAGGACGTGCGGGTGACCTTGAGGTAACAGTTTCACTATAGAAACTTTCTGCATTTAGAAATTATAGACTTTGTTTTCTATTGCTTGCATTTAATTACTAGATGAACGTTGTGAAAATAATTAAAACTCTTGTTAAATTCTTTCTAAACTGAACTACGTTCCATTTGTTTATTGAAAATAGTATAGGCAACCACTCATGGGTTCAATCTGAAATCAATAAAAATCATTTTCACATTTCTTTTTGTCTTTCATTTTTGTTTTTCTGTATTCATGTGTGATTATGTACATAACTCAGTTTCAGACCTTCAAACAATTAAGTTACGTCTTTTTTCATTATAAATTTCAACACTGCGAATTTAGGTTCATACCTTGCTCTGTCTAAGCATAGAGATCTGTGCTTTATTGTTTGACTAGATATGTTTTGTTAATGATTTTGTCATTTATTGTTTTGTTTGATTAATCAATTTGTTGGAGTAAGTGTAATAGTTGACCGTGCGTTTGATATAACCCGTAACTAATATTAAACCACATGTTGAGAAGATGGTAAATATTATTTCATTCATAAACAGTATACTTCTGGTTGTTAAATCATATGTTTACGCGTCTTCTTAACAGTGAATCTAAACGTGTGATGAAACACTGATTGTTTTGTTTCTTTTTTTCAGCAATTGCCTTGTTCCTTTTATTAACAACTATGGACCACAGACTATGGAGTATTTTAAGAAAAGTTCACCTAACACCTCAAATAATTTAAAAAGCTATAATTTATATATTTCGTAGAATTAAATTTTTGTAAAGATCGCCTTTTCAGTTCATATATATTATATATTATTTTAACAATTACAGTGGTAAATGTTAAACCCATTAACATTTCAAAATTTTATTTGAATAATTTGATATGCTCTAATTTTTTTTTTAAAAAAATGTTATAGATTGATCCCAAGTATTCCCAACACAATAATTTGATATGCTCTAATTTTTTCAGTTAAAAAAAAAAAGATATGCTTAATTTTTTTTTTTTTAAATGTATCAAGAGTTCGAAAATGTGATGATTAATTCGAGCAACCGTTACCTTTTTCGAGGTGGGAAACAAAAAATAATTGACAGCTCACGTAGAAAATAGTATAATAAAATACTTTACTTATGTGACTCTTATATCATGATTATATATAAAATCACAGTTATTCGAGAACTGAACAAGCCAACTCTATAAATACATTGGTCTCTTCATCCAAATCTCTCGTACAGAATAAAATGGACTCTAAAACATCATTTCTCACATTTCTTCTCTTTATGTTCCTTTTCTCTCATATTCCCCTCTCTGATTCCACATTTATCATAAACGACCCTTTGCCGACTCTAGCAGCGGAGAGGTTAATCAAAAGTTTCAATCTAAAGCCTGCACGTGACGTCAATGTCATCCCTGAAGACGGTTATGAGGCTCCTAAACTCGTTGAGAGAGAATTTAACTTGCCGGCGGCTATTGACTCTGCCCGTTCTCCTTCACTTCAAGATCTTAGTCACCATGCTGGTTACTACAAACTTCCTAATTCAAAAGCAGCTAGGTAACTTCTGATATTGTTGTAAACGGTAAACCCTAACTTGAAGCAGTTCAACCAAATCGGTTTAGTTTAGTTTTTCTTTTGAACCGTTCTACCCTGATGTATACCGGTTTAGGTTTTTTATACTAAATCTACTCTCAAATTTGTTACAAATGAAAACCAATCCGGTTTATTTTTTTATGTTATATTTTGATCGTTGTGCCTTTTTACCATGCTACGAACAGGATGTTCTATTTCTTCTTCGAATCAAGAAGCAGCAAAGCCGATCCTGTGGTGATTTGGTTAACCGGTGGGCCCGGTTGCGGCAGCGAACTAGCTATGTTCTATGAGAACGGGCCTTTCACCATCTCCAACGACTCATCTCTTGCTTGGAACGATTTCGGTTGGGACAAGGTTGGTTAGGAAAATGGTCAACTAAAATACTTTTTTTTTCTCATCCCAACAAGATACCATTAATATCAGCTGCTTCTTTAAACTCCTTTAAAATTTTAATATTTAGCTTCTTTTAATATAATATTTAGGCCTCCAATATAATCTACGTGGACCAACCGGTCGGGACTGGTTTTAGTTACACATCGGACAAAAGTGATCTCCGACATGACGAGGATGGTGTCAGTAATGACCTTTACGATTTCTTACTGGTTCGGTTTTAATACTTTTTCTGTTTCATCACATAAAACGTGTTTTGTATTTTTTTTTTTCACTTTTTGCTAAAGTGTTCCTGAAATCGTAGACTTGCGACTTGTTGTAGGCGTTTTTCAAGGAACATTCACAATTTGTGAATAATGATTTTTACATTACTGGTGAATCCTATGCCGGACATTACATTCCGGCATTGGCTTCAAGAGTTCACCGTGGAAATAAAAATAAAGAAGGAACTCACATTAACCTTAAGGTCGAATTTCAATCTTTTTTTTTCCTTTTTGTTAAATTGTTTCACCATTTTTTTACTAAACCACATTGGCTTATTTATACTAATCCGGTATACATCAGGGTTTTGCTATTGGCAACGGTTTGACCAACCCAGAGATCCAGTATGGTGCGTATGCAGATTATGCGCTAGACATGAAGTTGATCTCGCAATCTGATCACAATAACCTAACCAGTGATTACACATCTTGTCAACAATCCATAAAAAAATGCAGTAAATATCTCCTAGCCTCTTTCTTTCATAATCACTACAAAAGAATATTGAGAAGTTTTTTTTTTATCTTTATGAAACCTACAAAAAAAAAATTCTTTGGATAACTTTTTAAGTTTATTTTCACCAAATAGCATTTAAGGAGGGAAATAACCAAAATATGTATTATTTAAAGGGTAAATATATATTTATATGATATGGTTAACTAATATAGAGTTAGGGTTTAGAGTAAAAGGGTTGATTTTTGGGGTATGGTTTCAAATTTTTAAAAATAAAAAATAAATATTACAAATTTCAAAATAAAAAAACTATATTGGTTATTTTATTTTTAGAAAACTATTTTGTAGTAAAAAAATTAATAAGAAACTATTTAAGAGGATTATCCAAAAAATAATTTTGTTTATTTGTACACGGTTTTTCAGACGCTGATAAGGGTGAAGCTTGTTCTTCTTCTTATCTTATATGCGACAACTTATTCCAAAAGATGATGCATATGGCTGGAAACATAAACGTAAGCATCAAAGAGTGATTTTGATTCAATGATTCCCTTTATGTCTCTAAGATTCTTCCTATGTTTTGTAGTTTTACGACGTGAGGAAACAATGTATAGGAAGCCTATGCTATGATTTCTCAATCATGGAGAAGTTCTTGAACCAAGATTCGGTTCGCAAGGCTTTAGGTGTGGGAGATATCAAATTTGTGTCTTGCAGTACTGTGGTCTACGATGCTATGCAGATGGATTGGATGCAGAATCTTGAAGTCGGGATTCCGGCTCTCCTCGAAGATGGAATCAAAATGCTTATCTATGCCGGAGAATACGACCTCATATGCAATTGGCTCGGTACGGTTTCATTGCTATATGTACATATGCGTTTGGTAACCAACGGTTTATATCCGGTTGTGATGCTTTTTATGTACATTATTATAGGAAACTCGAAATGGGTTCACGAGATGGAATGGTCAGGTCAAAAAGAGTTTGTATCAGCCGCGACAGTTCCATTCTATGTAGATAATAAAGAAGCTGGTTTAATGAAGAATCACGGTTCCCTCACTTTCCTCAAGGTAAGCCAAACAAAACCCATAAACTGAACCTATTTCCATCTATAGAAAAATGTAATTTAATTAAAACTAGGGAAACTTTTGTAGGTCCACGATGCTGGGCACATGGTTCCAATGGATCAGCCAAAAGCAGCACTACAAATGCTTCAGAATTGGATGGAAGGAAAGCTCGATACACCCACCGGTCGGACTGCTCGGCAGTGATTTTTTTATCAACATTTCTAAGGACTGAACTGATTGTGTTATTTATTATGTGTTTAGGAGATAAGAAGTGAACTTTAAAAATATTATCTCTAAATTTGTTTTAAATATAATTTTTTTTTCTAAAAAAAAACTCATAAACAAGCTTAATAGAAATCCATTAAAAACAGATATGTCCATTAACGAAACGGACCTAAACGGATCCTTATAAGTCTGTTTATTTTTATATCACAATAAACATTAAACCCGTTAGTTCCACGGACTTCAAACCCATTTTAACATCTCTAGTGTATGTTGTGCTGATACTTAAACAAATTTGGCCAAATCTAACACCGTCTCCTTTCTTCTTGATTGAAAGGCAAAAAAAACAGAGTAAATGTTTATTTTTTAACAGAGTAAATATTAAAACCCTGAACTGGCCTATTCGACTCAAATCATAATAAAGACGATAACCTTACATTAACGTACCATGTTAGAGCAGACCCTTTGACAAAAACTTCAACAATCTGGAATCAAGCTGCAAAAACAAATTGATTCAGAAGATAGTACGCTTATATTTTATAAAGATCGCTGCTTTATTCAAGAGAATGATTGAGTAAACTCACCGGGAGACGAAGAAGTGAAAGGCCGAAGAGAAAGAGAAAGCAAATCGAAGGGACAATTTTGAAAAGTGAGAGAGAGTTTAAGAATTAGTAGTAACGCTTTTTTTTTACTCTGCCGAACTCTAAAGGACACTGGTTAAGATCTCTAACCGTGGTTTGAAGATTGGTTTTCTCAAACACGATTTCGGTTCTAATTTACTTAACCGGAATGGGTATCTCTATATTGTGGTATCTCTAATTAATTATCAGACAAAAAGGATTTTTCGATTTTTATTCATTTGATTGGTAAAACTTCTATTATTCTGAAGAAAATTAAAAAACATATAGAAGATAAATTGTTTAATTAAGTAAATATCCTAAGAAATTGATCAAAACAAAAGAAATTGTTTAAAATATTATAGGTCGGTTATCACTTTTCCAATATATATATATATATATTTTAAATATCTTTATATTTGAAGTTATGATTTGGTGATTATTGTTTAGAGTTTAGTATCTACGAGGAGTTAGGTTTATTAGCTTCTATAAATGTTTATAAGTTATTTAAAATATTTATAAATGATTAAGAAAGTCATTTTTTTCTTCATCTCAAATTTAAGGTATTTATGAAAATAAATCAATTTTAAAAGTGATATCAAATTTATGGTAAAATTAAAATTCTCAAAGCGTTGAAGAAGTGAATGAAAATTATGATCTTACGCTCTAGATATAGAAAAGTAAATAAATTATTAAATAAAAATAAAATTACAATTATAAGAAATTCAAAAAAACTGATTTTTTCAAATTTTATGACGAAATCAGAAAACTCTTTTAAAAAGTAAAATTATTAATTTAATATTTAAATCTTAAACTTTAATATCAAATTAAACCATATATATATAGATTAATTAATTCTTTGAATATAAATATTTTTTTTTAATTAAAAATATGTTGGTCATTATATCCTTTCGCTGATGAAAGAGAGAAAACTTTAACAGCTGCTTTCATTGTTTAGAAAACCATAGCAGACAACACCAAAACCTCCTTTACCATAAAAAAACTAACTAGAGAATTATTAGTCATTTATTTAACCTCAGATCTTCTATTCTTTGATTTAAAGATGAGCGTACCAAGTATGTTATCAACCTTGTCTAAATTCCATGTAATAGTCATTGGACCACTGATATTAGTTAGCATGGCGGTCTACGTACATTTTATGGTAGATTGTAGCCACTTTTAAATCGATAACATTTGTTGTCGTGTTCGTATTTTTCCATTCTGGTAGAGTGTACGGTAACCAGATTTGATCATATATATTTTCAGGATAACTACACAACTAGAATATTTACTTTATATTAGTATATGAACAGTAGCGGAGTTAGACTGAGCTTTTTAGGAGGGTCAATTGCATAGTTTGTATACATCATAAGGGTCAATAGGCTAATTTTCACAGTATTTTCCCAGTTTTATTTCATAAATGTAAGCAATTTTTTTTTACATGAAATCCACGTGGGTCAATTGATCCACCTCCTATAAGGGTGGCTCTGCCACTGTATATGAATAATACAGAGATTTAATGAGATTAGAGTGATAAATATGAATTAAGATAACTGTATAGTCTTATTGATATGAGTTTGTACAATATATATAAGGGTACATCGAGGGTTTTTGAGAGAAAGATATACACATAATCTACTTTATATATTTACTCTTTCCAAAAAAATCATAAAGAATCATCAAACTAATTCATTGTAACATTCAAATATTTTTTTTTAAAGCATCATCAACTAAGTGATACTAATTAAGATGAACTAATAACATCTAGAAAATTTAGGAAAAAAATAACAACAATATAAATAAAATATCAAAAAATATAGGGAAAATATAAGGAAAAACAAGGAAAAATATAAAATATAACATATAGACCATATGTTAATTATATGTTTTATAAGTTTTCGTTTATCTATCTTATAAGAAATAATTATAACATTTATTTTGAGAAGATATAATGTCTAGAAATTTTTCAAAACATGTCTTTATTTTCATGTAGATATTGTATATATGACTAAATAATAATAAATCTGATTATTCTATCCTATTTTTAATATTTAGTATAATGATAAGTCTAATTATTCTATCCTATTTTAAATTTTTAAGTGTAGTGGTAAGTCTAGTTATCTATTTATATATAATAGTAATTCTAAAAAAAATATGAATAAAAAAGAAACATGGAGGTAAACACAAAACAAATATATGAAATTGTATTTTCTTTGTTTCTAAACATGTTTTCCATTTATTTTTGAGCTAATTTTATTATATTTATAGATGATTAATTTAGTAATAAATTTTATAATTATTTATTAGAGGTATCAATAACTTTAGTCAATGAAACTTTTAATGTGAAAACTGAGAAAAAAAATAAATCGAAAATAGTAATATAGATCAATCACCATGTTAGGACGAGAAGTTAATTAGCTCAAACCCCAACCCAGAGTTTTAGGGTATTGCTCGTTTCTTGTCGGCCATTATTATTAACTAAAAGTAAAACTATGAAGAAAAAAAATAAACACGAACATATTCCATTATTTACAACAGTATCCCTAAAACTTGTTCCTTTAATACTCTCAAAGAAACTATCTATACCAACCACTAAACCATCCTAAGATAATCTTGATTAATTGATTAGTCTAGCTAAAACTAAAATTTGTATTGAAAAATGCATATTGGACTTAGAGGTTGTGAACAGGTCGTCTTCTTCTAAATTTTGGATAATCCATTGATAGATATTTAGATAGAGCATTCTCCTCTTCCTTTTCACCTAATCTCTTCTCTTCACTCTTAGATTTTCCTGAGAACCAAATAAACATAGAAGAGGATTAATACAATTTAAAAAAAAAACAAAGATTTGTCGAATCTTTGCGTTTTCTTTTATGTTTTTAGGCTTTTAGCTAGATGCACATTGCTTATTTTTATATCTCTGGAACTAAAAACAAAGCTCTGAAGAAGAAAGCAAAAAAAGTATTAATGGCCTACCATTTTCTACTGACATGGTCAAAGATTCACATGTTTGACATAAATATGTATTTTTTTAGAGGCTTCGTTTGACTACATAACTGTCCTTATGAGTTTTGCTAGCTATCTAATTTGTTTTTAGAAAGCGAAATGGTTGATTGACTTCTTTTATTTGAGGAGTGATTAATATATTTACGAGAAGAGCTTATCATTTCCAAATGATTAACTTACCAGCTGAAGAAGTGACTTGAAGTTGTTCGCTTGAACCTTCATTAGCACCTGATGTCACCACCTGCTATTTTTGCAAAGCAGATAGAGATGCCCCGAATGATATTCAATTAGAAACTTTTTCATTTAATTCAAACTGAAGATTTAATTGATAAAACGATGCACCAATCTCTTACACTTACATGTTCATTAGAAATGATCATGAGTTTCCGTGGCGCCATTTTATTAACAATCTTTTCGCTTACACCTGCTGAATCATTGTAACTAAAGTTAGTTAATTCAATCGCTGAGAACAATAAAAACAGGTATACGTTGTAACAGAAGCAAGACTACCACATCTAATTTTTTGCGTATATGTTTGAGTACCTTGGCTAGGAGACGAGTAGCGAGGGTGGAGTTGTAGAGAAGATGTTGGAGTTAGAAGCAATAAAAAGGCCAATGCACAAAGCAAGAAGGTGACTCTAATTAGCTTCATTGTCTTGAAGTGATTTTTAGCTATGAGAACTTAATTTATTTTGTGCTATCTTTCTTTTATCTTCTTATCGTCTTCTTTTATATCAACCAAAAGGAACTTACACACGTACATGCATGTATGATGTATCTATCTATATAGTATAATATTAGTGTGTATGTGAGATAGAGAGTGCACGAAACACAAAAGTGAGAGTTCCAAAACAAGTTGAAGAAACTATTTTATTAAAAACATATAAATTTATAATGTCAAGGTTTAAAAAGGAGGTCACGCCATTGAGGCTCGTTCTCGGGGTCGTCTGTCTTGGGACAAACACAAGCATCTCACTTCATCAAACCCAATTTGTCGAGTCTTCACCTTTCTGTCTTTGTTTTGTCTCTTTTTCTCTCACATATCCTACACGTTATATATCTAATTATCTATTTACTTTTTCATTATATTACTCCTTTTGTTTCATTATGTAGGTATTTTTACTCGAATACACAAGGATTAAGAATTTTTTTTAAGTAGCATTTGATATATCAATTAGGCATAGTTAAACCATTGATAAATAAGTCTATATTATTTGACTGGTCATACTATACCAATAAAAATAATAGTTTTCGAGAAATATGAGTCAGAGAGAGTATTTTGTTATACAGAATGTGTGTATACAAAGAGTTCAAAGTGAATTACAGTGCAGATTGCAGAACCTTTCTTTACCAGTAAAATTTTATCTTCGTTTATTGTGTTTTAAAAATTGGTTCTACTATGCAGCTCAAGATCACATCCTATTGAAAATTGAAATGCTAGATGATTTTCACTAGTATCAATTTTGTCAAGATCCCAATGAAAGTTAGAAGAGACATAAAGGGATGCATTATAAATGCAAATGAGTGGTAATGTGGTATCGCCCATTAATTTTTGAGTTAGAAGTTAGAACAACATGAAAGTTAACAAATTTAAATCAACGTTTTGTGTATATATATAAATAAATAGGGCGATGAGTTTGAAATTAAATACTCATGACTGTTTTGTTCGTATATTCTTTCTATAAACCCAACAAAATTTTCTTTTCTATAGAATTTGATATTCTTTTCTACAAATTGTCAATAGTTGGTATTCTTTTCTATAGAATTTTCTTCACGTCATTAATATTTGGTTTCAAAGATTCAGATTAAAGTTGATGACATATGGTTTATACTTTATATTAATTTATGCTTGCTTCACTTGCGAGTAGGTATAAGTGGTTGAGATTATCACATCATATTTGCCTAAAATCTATGCTCTCTCTCTCTCTCACTTTCTTGACATGCACACACGCCTAAGTTACTTACTAAATAGCTATACCCAAATGAGGTGAAGATGAGAACATCACTTTCTAGTTTGTTACAAAACACCTTTGGTTGATCTTTTCACGTTCCGAAAGCGTTTCAACTCAAAACACTAGTTAATTACAAATCAGTATGGACCAAAAGATTGTAAAACGTTTTATCCGTACCGGTCACGTTTTTTTATTTTATGAAAAGTTATAAATCGAATATAAGACATGCCCGTTGTTCAAAAAAAAAGAAGACATGCCCTGATTTTATTGGAATCAAAGATATCATAAATAGAACAGGTCACGTAAAACCTGTTAATTAATTTTTGTTTTTGATTTTGTGATTTAACAATGAGCTATGAGTATCTACAATGTTAAGCTTGTATTTTATAATATATACTAAGATCATTCTGCTGCAATCAAATCGATCTATTAGGATCAGATTGTTGGCATTTTTCCATTATGACATCTCTAATCACAATCATCATCCTCATTCATATATTATATGTTTATCAACATATGATAATTTTATCAACGGATGATTAACCACTAGTTCAAATTCTGCTAAATAACCAGTAATTGAGATTCAACATATATATGGGTGATGACCAAATAAATCGTACAAATACTACAATCACATAATAAAGTAATAGTATAAAACAATAAAAGACTTGTGTTGGAATAATATTTTTTTACAAAACCATTACACAGCATGTTATAAATTATCTGCTGTGGATTAATTATATTTTCAACACTAACATCACATACGACAATTTTATTTTCATAAAATGTACGAAAGTGATGAAAACATAATTTTAGTCACATTTCCAAAACATGAATAATTTGTATATTAACAGTATATAAACAACACAGCGAGAAAATGGTCTTAAAATCGCCGAGAATCGAGACAACGGTCTTGGAAACAAGAAAAGGTAGATAGTTTGACCAAAGAGGCAATGACCAGTGAAATGTGGAAAGCTGGAAACTCCTAAAGTAATCAAATCACTCAAAGCTAAACCAAAGCATGAACATATGAATAAAAATGAAACTCATCGGTTACATAACCTAGACCATATTGCATCTCTAACCAAACTCAAAAGTCCTAAACTATTAAACCAAAAAACAACACTACCAAAATGCCAATTACATACCACCATGACAAAACTATAAATCATTCCTCTTCCTCTGTGTTTTAGCTTTTGAACTATTGTTGATCAAGAGAATCTGCAACAGAGAAGGATCTCTCTCCATCCTTTGAGTCTTCTCTTCTCAGCTTTAGCCATTCTTTCAGGACTACTGTTCCACTCTGACTGCAATCTGCAAATAAAATCATCAGTAAGATTTCTCTATTTTTTTTAAAAGTCTCACAAAGTGCTGATGAGATGAGACAAAGCAAAAATATACATTGGGAAAGCAAAGGATCTTCCACTAGTTGTGCTTCCATCAGACCGAACAGAGAGGCGTCCAGAGACTACAACCGGTCCTGAATATGATATATGACCTGATATTGAAACTGCTTCTGCTACAGAAAAACTTGTCTCTCCACATCCACTAGAGGAAAGTTTGTCTTCTACCAAAGAGTCTCCCACTAACATGTTTGGTTCTTGAGAGGTTGTAGTAGAAACAGAGGAAAGCTTCTCCTCTGCTCTTTTTGGCTTCTCTGTTTCCTCAAGCTTTGTTTCTAAGCTTCTTTGTTCATTCTCCTGCAAACACACACATCAGTAAGTTAGAAACTTACTTTACTTTGATGGTAAAGATGATGAAATGTATTTTACCTGAAGTTGAGATGGAGATTGTTCATCACTTCTATGGCTATTGTTGTTGTTGTTGTTAAGATGTTTTTGTCCATCTTCCTTTGATAGAATACCTCCCAAAGTTAAGACATTCTCTGATGTAGCCACTTCCTCCTTGGCTTCTCTTGTCACAATCAAATCCTCTTGATTGCAACTGCTAGAACTCTCAGCATTAGCACACTCTTCTCTTGAAGACTCTTCAACGTCTTGGTTTGTTGTATTAGGATCATTACAAAGCTCCAAACCATCAACCTTGCCGTTTCTGTCTTCAGGGGACTTGGTTTCCACCATGCCCTCTGACTTCATAGAAGCTTTCTCACCGAATAAGAACTTCTCATGAACCAGCACACCTTCATCAACACATATATCCTTCACGACATGATAACTATTCTCCTTGTAACAAACTACAATCTCAGACAAGTTACAGGCCGTAACGTTCTTGTCCATATAAAAACCACCATTAGCAGCAGTATCTTGAATCTTACCAGCCACATCAGAATCTCCACAAGAATGGTGTTTCAAAGCGTTGTTTCCATCATTCTCTTTATCACTTTCTTCGCCGCTTCTTGTATCATAAAACAACTCACACGCATTGTTCTTGTTCTTGACATCTTCCCTAATTTCTTCAGGGCATTTATGAGGCTTAGACTCATCTTTGAATCTCTCAACTGAAAGTTCAACAACGTGATCATTATCTGAATTTTGCAAAAAAAACTTGATTGTACAAAACATTTTAAGGATACAACTTTTTTTTACCTGCTATCATTGTTTAAGAGAGGATCGAGAAAAGATATTCTTCACTTTACCAGAGCTATATCTTGAAGCAACAAAGCCAAATCTACATTAACAACAATGAAGTTGCAAAGAGAAGATAAGTATAAGGAAACTTGGTTCTAGAGGATGGAATAAATGTAAGATAATCTAATTTATTTATCTGTTTCTCTCAGAGTTTAGATAAAGAAGCAATCTCCATATGACTAGATACATGAGTTGTTCAACGAAGTAATGGATCATGAAGATTGTGACAGAAACAAACCAAGTTTGAGGAAAAATAATTATATGGATACTACACATAATTTTTCTTTTTATATTGTTTATTTCCTCAAGTCAATAATAAATAATCATGAGGTTTAAAACAGATGATAAAACAGCAAAAAGATGCAATGAACCACTAGCATGACAACTTTCCAACTCTTTGCTAATGTGGAGAAAAGGACATTTAGATAAAAGCTGTGATACCATGATACTGATTGTAATAAGATTTCTTGCAATGAATTACATGAGTGAGTGTGGCAAAGTAATATAAAGAATGAATCTTTTTTGCACTGTCATAGTAACAAGAAGAATAAAGTTATGAAGTTTTTTGCAATGCTTTTGTACAAAACAGCTACACTGCAATAAAAAAAATGGATAAATATCAACAGGCAAATGGAATTTCCAGGACAGAAGAATCCAGAACTGAAAAGGCCAGGAAAAGTTCAAAGTATTAAAAAAAAATTCAATTGGATCTATTGTAAAAGAAAAAAAACTAATACACTAATAAAAACAAAATTCAAACATTGGTGGAGTATATACAGATCTAATAACTAGAATCCAAATGAAAAGCCTAACAATGAATCAAAGATCAAGACTTTTTCAAGAGGAATCTTACACACAACAGTAAAGCACAAAGCAGAAACTATATAAAAAAAAAAACTTACTTGATCAGCAGATAGAGAGATACTCACTCAACCTTCTTCCTCTAACCTAAAATCAACCATTTAAATAAAACAAAATCACAAACAATAGATTGAAGAAGAAAATCTCAGAACCATTTGGAGAAGGAAAGCCAGATACTACCTTTTGGCTATTAAAAACAAAAATCTTGAAAACACGTAAAAGGAATTTAAAAGGTCAATCAAAGATAATTATCTCTGCAATTAATATGATGAGAACAGAGAGTGATAAAGAGATACCAAAAGAGTAGATACAATCTCTCTTTCTTCTTTATTGCGCCCTTTGATTTTTGCATTAATTTACAAAACCAAACCCATAAAAATAAAAATTCTCATCTATTCAAACCAACATTTAATGCCACCACCGTTTATTAGAATCTTTAAAATGGGATTTTATTTTTTGGTTTGAATGAAGCAAAAACAGAGTATTTTCTTTACTTCTTTTGAACTGAAAACAGAATATTTTCTCTGCTAAATTGATTCACTTTCACGGAAAAGGTAATAAACTCTCTTGAATCATTCAAAGATCTTAACAGTTTTCGAGAAATGATTGGAAGTAGAAATTTAAGTTATTCCTAAATAAGGAAAATGCACTTACCGATACTCTCTAGTATCTTCACTTTCACTTGGAAAACTGAAAACTTTCTCGGAAAATCGGAAAATAGCAGGAATCGTAGAGAATAGAGCAACCCTTTTTCTCTCTAGCTGTCTTTTTACGAGTGTGTCTGAACTAAACTGGAAAGATTGAAACTTTTTTTTTTCTCAAAAAAAAATTGAAACTTTTTTCTTCGGAGAAGTGGAAAATAAACAGAACGTTCAGACGGGAGAGAAAGACGACAGCTTTGTAGAAAATCGGATCTATGAAACGGTGCCCTCTAGAGAGTATTTATCTCTTGATTGATTTGACTTCTTAATTTGGAAGATTCAGATTAAATTAAATAAACATAATTTTGGGGATTTACAAAAAAAGTCAACTGTCTTAATTTTTCATATTTTAATTTTATTAAAAGTTTATGTTTTGTCCTAATGAGAATGGTTGTCTAAATTTTTTTTTGTAGTGCCAATTAGTTGATTTAATTTTAATTCTTGTTAATTGTTCATTACCTTAACTTTAATGATTTAGTGATGTAGTTAGTGGTTCATATAGTATCTATGAAAATGATATAGACGTGAGTTCTAAGTCACACCAATATTTAGTAATCTTCCACATGTTTCTTATGATTTCGTATAACAACAAACGTTATAAAAACTATACTTGTAATCCTATTTTCAAATTGAAAATGAAAATTAAACCGAGGCTTGTAGAAGATTTATTTTTGTAACGGTACGTCGCGTTACACCCGATGAACCAACTCGTAATTTTTAAACACACTCGTTTAGGGATTGGAGACAAACAATAATGATGATTCTGGAGGATAAACAACCACAGGTTAGGTGACACGTGTGCACCAAATATTACTTCTGCATCTAGCTAAAGCTTATTACGTCGTTATGTTTTGTCGAGTTGAAAAAGTCGAAAAACAAAAAAAAAACGAAGAAAAAAAGGACAGCTGCGTACGTGGTGGTGTTTTGTATTACTATTTGGTCCAGCTATTGAATACCGTACGATATCTTCGAACGTTTGCGTGTGATTAACTGTTCCTACTTCATCGACGGCTGTGTTACGTTGGACACTTGGACCTACGTTTTACATCTCGAATTACTGCTAGTAAAATGAAACAGTTAATTTTTTTTTCTGATAACTATAAAGATTTAATAAATTTTCTATGTCCATAGACTAATTTCATCAAGCACGTAAAATTCAAAATTTTTTTACTACGTAAAACGTTTATAAGTGGCCAATATTAGTATATTACTCGAATCCATGACATAAATTTCAATTAAAATTCTTCTACCATTAGGACAAGGTGACTTGGTTATAGTTCTTCTTATTATCCTAGCTTTTTAAGTTGGTATCAATTCTTAAAAAGTTTTAATTATTCAACTATGTATTATGTTATTGTTATAGTTAAATACGCCAATGTATTGACCATTGTGCAGTTGTGTTTTTTTTTTCTTCTAAGAGATTCATGACCTATAAATGATCTCTTTTTTTTTTTATCAAGAACATATGGAATATATTTTATAACTTGGATATAGTGGTATTAATATACTCAAATTTATCAATTAAGAATAAGTAACATATATATAGTGGGACAATATACCAAAACTTACCAATTTATGTTATTAATCCTTTCAATATTTACATTATTATATATTAAAACATGTATTTAAGATGGTTCATATGACTCACCTCGAGTCCTTGATGTATGCAGATCCCCTACTGCCTATGACACTGTATCTTGGTGCTGTAAATGTAACAGAACAAAAGGATATCTTTTTTTTTTGTCAAAACAAAAGGATATCTATATATTAATAGTTGGTAGTTAGATAAGTCATCTACTCGTTCGGTTTATAGTGTGAATGCTTGTTGTAGTTCACACACAAAAAAAAAACATATTATCCACTCAAATTGAAGTCACAATGATTTTGAAGATTACTAAAATAAATATGATAATATAAATACTACTAGGTGCATGCATAATGCATTAGATTATGCCATCTATTCTATAAGATGCGCAGATGTCACGTTGTCTACAATTCCCCCTGATTCTACGTGATTTAGCTTCTTTTTTAGCTTGATTAATGGATTTTTATATAGCTTTTGAATGGTTGATTTTGTAACTTCTTATCCAAAACCCATATACAAACACAAGCAGTTCAAAATATGAATCATAAGAAAACTATATACGATAACATAATAGCTTTATGTTATTCGTAATAATGGGAGGTTACCTATGAGTTTTGGTAATGTTATGTTTCGTGGTTGAAAATGGAAATTCCTGATCTCATACTGTTGATGCTCTTTGCTTTTCGGCTTGGGCTATTATATTTGTTTTTGTTTAGCTTGTTTTTCTATGTCAGGGTTTAGTCTTCAAAACAATTCTCTTTGTTTTTCATTATCCCGCTGATCTTGTATCTTTAATGTTTCAGTTTTAGTATTCTAAGGTGAAAAAGTAATATTTCACCACAAAAAGCAGCAGTAATATTAGTTTGTTTGACTTTCACATCACCAAATGGTAAATTGATAAACAACTAAAATGACAGATCTGTAAGTGTTGTTGTAGTCGATCACTGAATGTTGAATAATGTTCTGTCTTAGTAATAGCCAAAAAAAACTTCAATGATTTATGTTAAAAAACATAGCAGACTTTTTTAGTTTTTTCTTACTAAATATTCAATCATACATCTTCCCCACTCTAAAGTTATATAGATGACAAGATAATCAAGTACACACTTCACAAGTAACTCTATTCATAGAAATAATTTAGAAGTGTAAAATCTAAAAAAAACTTATTCACCAATTAAAAAACAACAACAGTAGAAAAACAAATTGGTGCTGCCCAGGATCGAACTGGAGACCTTTTGCGTGTAAGGCAAACGTGATAACCACTACACCACAGCACCTCATGTCTTCTCTAGTCAGTTTAGTTATATAAATAAAATATTTAAAATCTCGAATAACCCTTTGGAACTTGAAGCGAGGAGGATGAGTGAGAAAGCAGACAACAACAGATGTTGAGTTGTTCGTCGGCGTTCCAAAGAGTAGCCTCCTTAATGTTCATGGCTCCCAAGTTAAAACCTCAACGACTCCATCAAAGTAAGTGTCTACACACACTCTCTCCTACGCTTTATCTATCGTCTTTTTTGTGAATATTATAGAGTATATTCGGTAACGAGGGTTTTGGATGTTTGTGTAGTTGCAGAGACTGGTGCTGAACAACTGGCTAAGAAGGCAAGGACGATGAGTACTGAATCTTCAATGAAAGATGCTTTCTCTCAATACGCTGATTATCTCAACAACTTCGTAAGCTTTCTTTCCTCTCTTCCCTGTAGAAAAGCTCAAACTTTTCTGGGTTTTTGTTTCCTGTTAAGAAAGTTTGATCCTTTGCGTCTAGAGATTGAGTCATATAGGTAAAGGAATGATCTTTCAATATGAAAACTTTGATTCTTCTTCTGCTGAGAGTGTGTTTGAGTTATATAGGTAGAGATGTATGAGGTAGAAGACTAAAGGAATGACCTTTCTATATGGAAAGTTTGATTCTTCTTCTTCTGAGTGTGGGTTTGAGTCATATAGGTAGAGATGTATGAGGTAGAAGTCTAAAGGAATGAACTTTCAATATGGAAACTTTGATTCTTCTTCTGCTGAGAGTTGGTTTTAGTCATATAGGTAGAGATGTTTGAGGTAGAAGACTAAAGGAATGATCTTTCAATATGGAAACTTTGATTCTTTTTCTGCTGAGAGTTGGTTTGAGTCATATAGGTAGAGATGTTTGAGGTAGAAGACTAAAGGAATGATCTTTCAATATGGAAACTTTGATTCTTTTTCTGCTGAGAGTTGGTTTGAGTCATATAGGTAGAGATGTTTGAGGTAGAAGACTAAAGGAATGACCTTTCAATATTTAAACTTTGAGAGTTGGTTTTGTGGAGTATATCTCACAATGTTGTCTCTTTGTAGAATGAGAAAAGAGAGAGAGTGGTGAAGGCAAGTCGTGATATTACTATGAACAGTAAAAAAGTTATCTTTCAGGTTCACAGGTATCAACATCAAACCCTTATACTCTGTTTTGTTTTGAGTTATAATGTTTTAATGTGTGGCAGACTCAGTAAAGACAACAAAGAGGAGGTTTTGGAGAAAGCAGGGAAAGATCTAGCAGCAGTGAGGGAGCAACACTTTGCCCGGTTGATGAAAGAGCTTCAAGGGACTGATTTTTGGAAGCTGCGCCGAGCTTACTCCCCTGGGGTCTGTGATTGAGAGATTATAAAGTCATTCATCTTTAAAAACCATTTTAGTTTAACTGATATTTGAGTTAACTTACAGGTGCAAGAATATGTTGAAGCTGCAACGTTTTACAAGTTCTGTGTGTCAGGAACACTCTCTACTCTCGATGAGATTAACTCCACGCTTTTACCTCTTAGTGACTCTTCTTTAGAGCCGCTGCAGATCAACATCCTTGACTATATTCTCGGGGTATATAAACTCTCTTGATTTTATGTTTAACTCTGTTAAAAAGATCTCAGTATTGTTTGCTTACTTGTGCAGCTTGCAGATTTGACTGGAGAGCTAATGAGGATGGCTATTGGTAGAATATCAGATGGTGAAGTCGAGTTCGCGCAGCGGATTTGTCAGTTTGTGAGACAGATTCATAGGGAACTGTTGCTGGTCGTGCCGAAAATGGATGACAGTTATGACATGAAGTCAAAGATGGAAGTGATGCTTCAAAGTGTGATCAAAATAGAGAATGGTACATATCTTAGCAACTATGTTTTCAGTATAGTTTCTGCTTACATGCAATTCATGTTTATGTTTGTTTGTTTGTTTATTAGCTTGCTTTAGCGTTCACGTGCGAGGATCAGAGTATATACCGCTGCTTGGAGATGATGCACCAACATCATTCCTATTGGGAGGTGCTGATGTTGAATGATTTGAGAAGTGAGTTCTTTTATTAGCCTCTCGGACACTACTCTAGGATCTTGTTAAGACTGGTATGATTTTGGTTGTTATTGTGAGAACTAGGCTCACTTTAGTATGAATGGTAAAACATGATGTCTAAGTTTTTCTTTTGTCACAATCTTATGGAACTAAAGTCTATGATATTATTCTCGTAAACAGTCCTAAACCAGGTGCAACTTTGTTAGATGCACTCGTCTTTTTGCTTTGGTTTACAGACAAGAATACCAAACTCCTCTTCCCTTGTGCCCTTTGTCAAGAAGTTTTCAACTTCCACACTCGTCTAGATACTTTCGAGAGAGAGAGGATAGGGTTTTGGATGAGATCATCAAATTGTGTAGTTCTTGATATTACAAATCTCATCATAATCAAATTTGACTTTCTGACACTAGAGACGTGAGAGAATCTCTCCTCTCATGTCTTTTTCTCTCTTTATATATATATTATCTCTACGTGCTCTTCAAGGAAGGACGTTCTGACCACTCCAAAAATAATTATCTAAAGAAACTAAAAGACAGATCCAAGTACAGTACTGCGCTGTTTACTTGGAGAGCAAACATTTCATTCAACACAAAACCTTTATAAAAAAGCACACAAGCAATTACCCTAATAGCTGCAAGTCTGCAACTATAGCTTAAGAAAAAAAAAACATTTATAGTTCCTTTACTACTTAGCAATGTCATCATCATCATCTGTTGTTCCTGACTACTTGAGAGATGAAAAATTGACACAAGAAACAAGAGATCTTATTTCTTCTCTGCCAAGCGAGAAAGGTTGGTTAGTGAGTCAAATTTATCAGTTCCAAGGATATTGGCACACAGAAGCTCTGTTACAAGGAATCTTGACTTGCCAAAAACACTTTGAGGCCAAAGATTCTGACATTATCCTCGTCACCAATCCTAAATCAGGTACCACTTGGTTAAAATCTCTTGTCTTCGCTCTCATAAACCGACACAAGTTTCCAGTTTCTTCTGGTAATCATCCTCTTCTTGTCACCAATCCACACCTTCTTGTGCCCTTCTTGGAAGGAGTTTACTATGAATCTCCGGATTTTGATTTCTCCTCCTTGCCTTTTCCAAGACTCATGAACACGCACATGTCGCATCTTTGTCTGCCTGACACCGTTAAGAGCTCGTCTTGTAAGATTGTGTATTGTTGTAGGAACCCTAAGGACATGTTTGTGTCCTTATGGCATTTTGGGAAGAAACTTGCTACTCAAGAAACCGCTGATTACCCTATTGAAAAAGCTGTTGAAGCGTTTTGTCAAGGGAAGTTTATTGGTGGACCCTTTTGGGATCATGTGTTGGAGTATTGGTATGCGAGCCTCGAGAATCCGAACAAGGTCTTGTTTGTTACATATGAGGAGCTCAAGAAGCAGACAGAGGTTGAGGTTAAGCGAATTGGTGAGTTCATTGGATGTGGTTTTACTGCCGAGGAGGAAGTGAGTGAGATTGTTAAGTTGTGTAGTTTTGAGAGTTTGAGTAGTTTGGAAGTTAACAGACAAGGGAAACTGCCAAATGGAATAGAGACTAATGCTTTCTTTAGAAAGGGAGAGGTTGGAGGATGGAGAGATACTTTGAGTGAGTCCTTGGCAGATGTTATAGATAGAACCACTGAAGAGAAGTTTGGAGGTTCTTGTCTCAAATTTTCTTGTTAAGTTTTTGTGTAGACTTGTGTGTGTGTGTGTGTTTTTTTTGCTTTGATGATGTTTCTTCATCTTGTGACTTTGTTTTTGTTTTGTTTTTAAGGGTTGAGCTGTTGTTGTTGTTCGTCTTGTATGAATAAAATGGATTATGTTTATGTTTTCTAATTTTCCACTATATTAAAATGTCAAAATGATAGTCAAATAGTTCAATATCGATGATAACTATTTGGACCAAGGAGAGATACTTTAACTCCTTTACTAGCAGATGAGATAAGATAATACCACTGAGCAGAAACTAGTTGGCTCTGATTTTAGATTCTTTTGCTAAGAATCTGCTTAAATTAAACTTGTTTTCCCCCTGTTAAACTAGCCTTTTTCATTCTGTATGATTTGGTTTGTTTCTTATGCATCAGTTTAAACATATAAGATTCTATAACTGAAAAAATGCACATACTGATGCAAAACCCTAAGAAACGCTCTCAACTTCCACTTTCAACAAAGCTTGAATGCAACTTTTGACGACCGTAGTTATTTTTGCGGTTCTTGGAGTAACAGCTTGACAATCTCCACAAGTCACCACAACACTATTATAATAATGTGTCTGTTTCTTTTGGTTCTTGAGGTGCTTATTCCTCTACTGGCTTAGGGATAGGGAACTTGACTCTGGTGATCGAGGAAGGAGACTATCTTGATTTAAGCACTCAGGTGTGGCACTAGGGATCCATGAACTACATTCTTACCATGTGTCGATCTATGGTTATGTTTTGAATTATGTCTTTGATTAGGCTCTGATATGTTTTTATCGGTCTTTGTCAGGTTTGATTACCTTTCAGTTTAAGGGATGGTTCATTCATTGTTGAGTCAGTTTAATCCCGATGTGGTAAAAAAAGTTGTTGAGAATTTTGATTAGATAGTAGCATAGATAACTCGAGTGTTCCAAGATACTAAATCACTTCTTTAATTATGTTTTGAAACGTTTGTTGAGATTAAAATATTGTATTCACTAGTTGGTTAATAATTAAAAATTGATATTGAGCATGCAAACAAATAAGATTCTTGTGATGTACCAAACTGATTTGAGTTGGGTAAGCAAATCGAATAATTTATTTATATAATCATAAAAAAACAAAAATAACTGATTTGAGTTGGGTAATCAAATCGAATAATTTATTTATATAATCATAAAAAATAATAATAATATGATAACCAGTATTGAATTAATCCCAATTTATTTATCCTAATTGCGAATAAACAAGAGTGATCATTAGATTTATATGCACACGTCAATTTATTACATAATAGTAACTTATTTCTTAGTTATTTAATATGTATATTTATTATTTTATTATTTCATAATATGTAGAAAAATATAAAATAATAATAAATATAAATATTTAATCTCCAAAAGTGCAGATCTTAATCTAAGTATGTATCTTTTTAATTATTGTAAATCTTAAGCATTATCTAAATCTTAGGCCAAGAAAAATAAATGAAATGAGAATAAACTTCAAAATCAATATTTATATCGAGCAATAATAAAAATGAAAAAGACAAAAAAAAATTGAAGATAGATAGGATTGGCACGTGAAAGTAAACTTCTTATACCGTAATTAATTTTTAAATTGCTAAATCATGATATAAAACCGAGCTGACATAGTTTCATTGTAACCAAATAGACCCGAATTTTTTTGACCTAAACGTTAAGTTCTTTGCAGTGACATAAAATATTTTTAAAATGAGATCAACTTATCAGTAAACAAATTATGTAACTAACAAAAAATTTTAAAAAAAAATTTAAAGACCAAAGTATTAATTCAATCAAGAATATATTTTTATTTTTTCATATAATATTTTTTTAAATAATTTATATATATATATATATATATTATCTTACACAAGGCGTATATCTTATCCTAGTTATTTATATAATGAAGCATATTGTATTCAGTAGTTGGTAGAGTTTTTGCTAGGTCTGGTTTGGTTCCTTTTTGCAGCTCTTGGCTTTCATCCCGTCTTTGGCGCCAATTTAGTCTTTTGGTTACTGGTAAGTGTGTACGCTGGTTTATGCCACATGTTTGATCGTAATTTCTCTATGTATCTTTTCGAACTCCCTCGTTCTATTTTGATAATGTTTTATTGTGTGTGTCGTTGTGTGTTTGTGTATGTAGAGCATGGTCGTTGGTTAAGATACCCATTTGAATTTTCTAATGATAAAATACTATATAAAAGCCACCTTCCATAAGTGGGTTGTAGATTATTCAAAAAAAAACATGTAGGTGGACTTCTAGGTGAGCATCTTATTTTTATATACTTGGTGAAGAAGTATCTTATTATTAAAACGTGTAAAAAATAAAAAAAACGAGAAAGGCAAGAATGATATTCCCTATTTTTCTTGTCATTATGTGTTGGTGTCTTTAGAACATGGTCATCGACTCATCGGTTAATACATAATTAATCTGAATAAAGAAGTTAATATTTATCATTACAAAATTCAAACGGGTATCTTATACCCGATGCCCATATGCTCTACACAAACACAAAATGAATAAAGAAAAGACACAAACGACAAAAAAGGACAATATATAACGTCAGAGACATAGCTTAAGAATAAGACATCTCATAGTTTCTAACGTTTTCAGGATTGAACTATACTCTTGAGTCTTGACAATGACATCATCATCTGTTTCTGTCTACTTGGGAGATGAATATCTCACACAAGAAACAAAAGATCTGCTTTCTTCTCTTCCAAGCGAGAAAGGTTGGTTGGTGAGCAAAATGTATCAATACGAAGGAAGTTGGTACACAAAAGGTCTGATACAAGGAGTCTTGAACTGCCAGAGAAACTTTGAAGCCAAAGATTCCGACATAATCCTCGCCACCACTCCTAAATCAGGTACCACTTGGTTAAAAGCTCTTCTCTTTGCTCTCATTCACCGAAACAAGTTCCTAGTTTCTTGCAAGCATCCTCTTCTAGTTGGCAACCCGCACTCCCTTGTGCCCTACTTGGAAGCAGCTTACCGCGTATCTCCTGACGTTAGTTTCTCCGAGTTGCCTTCTCCAAGACTCATGCAGACGCACTTAACGTATCATTCTCTGCCTGTTTCCATCAAGAGCTCGTCTTGTAAGATTGTTTATTGTTGTAGAAACCCTAAGGACATGTTTGTATCCTTATGGCATTTCGGGAGGAAACTTTCTCCTGAAGAAACCGCGGAGTATCCGATTGAAAAAGTGGTTGAAGCGTTTTGTGAAGGTAAGTTTGTAGGTGGACCCTTTTGGGATCAGGTCTTGGAGTATTGGTATGAAAGCCGCAAGAATCCGAACAAGGTCTTGTTTGTTACATACGAGGATCTCAAGAAGCAGACTGAAGTTGAGGTTAAGCGGATAGCTGAGTTCATTGGATGTGGTTTTAGTGCTGATGAAGAAGTGAGTGAGATCGTGAAGTTGTGTAGTTTTGAGAGTTTGAGTAAACTTGAAGTTAATAGACAAGGGAAGTTGCCAAATGGAGTAGAGTCTAACTCTTACTTTAGAAAGGGAGAGATTGGAGGTTGGAGAGATACTTTGAGTGAGTTCTTGGCAGAGGTAATAGATAGAACCACTGAAGAGAAGTTTGAAGGTTCTGGTCTGAAATTTTCTTGTTAATCTTTAAAGAATTGTTGTTATGTTGTTATGTTTTCTGTTTTTGCTTTACTGGTGTTTCTTCAACCTTGTGACTTTGTTCTGTTTTTTTTTTTAAGAGTGTTGAGTTGTTGATGTTCTTCTTGTATGAATAAAATGGATTATGTTTGTGTTTTCTTATTTTCACCACTAGTAAATGTCAAATGATAGTCAATAAATTTTTTAATAGATGACAAAAATAGACTTTTGCACTCTTATTCATTTCTGTGTGTTCAATTCAAAAATATTGTGATTATGTGTTTCTTGTAATCGTTAAAACTTGCATACACAGCTACCCGCCAGTGTACATGTTTTAAGCACAATTTGTCCATGTGCACAACCCACTTGTCTGATCGATCTGTCCAGGGCAACATAACAAAACAAAAACAAAAACAAATTGTGTGGTTTAAAATGAACCCATAACTCATTTGTCTGATCGAGCTTTCCAGAGAAACAAAACCAAAATCATTCTCGATTTGTCGAAAATAACAAAAAAATAGAGAAGTCGCAAATGTTTCAATCTTAGTTTGAACAACATAATGAATCATATAAAATGATGAGGGCTTTAAAATTCCATGTGTTTTCTTGGATGAGCTTTGTTTATTCGGTTTCGTTAGGTTTTAGGAGTTACAGCATTATAGTTTTTCCAGTACATAGGAATTCTATGTATTTTCTTGAGTGTATTATCAATGAATTTTTTTTTTAAAAAAGGCTAAATCAAAGGATTTGCTTGTCTAGAAGCTATCTACGAGTACAAAAATATATTTGCTCAAAAAAAGAGTAGAAAAATATATTAAGAAGAAATATCCATAAATTTTTTAGTAGAAAAAAAACCATAAATTTTGTCATAAAAGGTAAGCCCATCAATTTTCTTAAGTCAGAATGGCTTATTGCTGGACAAGCCTCTTATTAAGCCACACGCTTTTGGTTATCAAAGGGAAAGGACAAACGCAAGGAGCTTTCCTATTGGTTAATTTACCGGTTTTCCTTTTGGTTAATTTACTTAGAGCATCTTCATTGGAAATTTCTATCTCTTGGAGCTCTAAACTTTTATCTGTATAAAAGTATATTTGTATATTTCTATGTACGTTTAGAGTCCACTATTCCATGGAGAATCACAATCTAAAAGTTTTTAAAACAAAGCTTCAAAAAATTTTAGAGTGGGGTTTTCCACAAAATAGTGTACTCTATACCTACATACACATATACATATATAATATATACTTATACACATATAAAAGTTTAAAGTTCTAAGGAGTAGAATCCTCCAATAGAGATGCTCTTAGGGTTTCAAAAAAGTCGAATGTAATTTTACTATCAAGCAAGATTTTGATGACAAAGAAGAAAAGAGTTAAGAAAACCATTTTAGATAAAGATAGATTGGGGTAAACATAGACATTCGGGTATCCGTTTGGATTCGGATCGGGTATTTCAGATTTACACTCATAGGTCTCATTCTAATATTTTATTAGTACGGATCGGATCGGATAATAACACTTTGGATTTGGTTCAAATTTGTATTATAGCATAAAACCCATAAAATAACCACATACCGTTCGGATTCGGGTTATATCGGTTTGGTTCGAATATATTCGAAGTAAAAAACAAAATTTTAAATCAAAACATTTAAAAACACTTAAATTGAATAGAAAGTAATCCTACAAACATAAAAACTGATAAAAATAAAATAAAATGTTAAATCAATCATGAAAACAAACATCATTTCTTAATCATATGCATTTATAAAGTACTTCTTCAAAACTAATTAGATATTTAAGGTATTTAATTCTATTTTAATATTTGTTGTATGTATCATATCAAGATAAACATTGAACTCAATATTTAAAATACTTATATATTTAAAATATTTATATTGACTATTAATTTGGGATATTTCGGGTTATCTGTCTGGGTTCGGTTAATAACACTTTGGATTCGGATATTTTTTGTACTATTCTACAAGATCCGTTCGTTTATTTTTACATTTCAGGTCGGATAACAGATCGAATTTTTTGGTTCGGATTCGGTTCGGATTTTAAGCCCAGCCCTAGATTTGGGAATGATAAGACAGTAAGACACTTTATATCTTTTATTATTTGAAGAAATTTTAATAGTTTTCTAGATCCGTCTTTTCCATTGCAACATCCAAACATATCCAATACTTCCTTCTGCTCCTCCACAAGTTCATAATCTCATCTTTTCCCCCCTTAGATATGCTGCTCTACAAGGATGTGGCTATTTTTTGAGGACCAAAAGATATATCGCAAGTATATAAAGACACACAACCTCAATGAGACTTAGCTTAAGGAAAAACATCTAATAGTTTCTAAGAATATTTATCTATAGACAATGGCATCCTCATCGATTCCTGTTTACTTGGGAGATGAAAATCTAACACAAGAAACAAAAGATCTACTCTCTTCTCTTCCAAGCGAGAAAGGTTGGTTGGTGAGCAAAATGTATCAACTCGAAGGAAGTTGGCACACACAAGCTTTGGTACAAGGAATAGTAAACTGCCAAAAACACTTTGAAGCCAAAGATTCCGACGTTATCCTCGCCACAATTCCTAAATCAGGTACCACTTGGTTAAAAGCTCTTCTCTTTGCTCTCATTCACCGACACAAGTTTCCTGTTTCTGGTAAGCATCCTCTTCTAGCTACCAATCCACACCCTCTTGTGCCCTACCTGGAAGGAGATTATCGTGTATCTCCTGACGTCAGTTTCTCCGAGTTGCCTTCTCCAAGACTCATGCAGACGCACTTAACGCATCGTTCTTTGCCACTTTCCATTAAGAGCTCGTCTTGTAAGATTGTTTATTGTTGTAGAAACCCTAAGGACGTTTTTGTTTCCTTATGGCATTTCGGGAGGAAACTTGCTCCTGAAGAAACCGCTGATTATCCTATTGAAAAAGCCGTTGAAGCGTTTTGTCAAGGTAAGTTTATTGGTGGACCCTTTTGGGATCATGTGTTGGAATACTGGTATGAAAGCCGTAAGAATCCGAACAAGGTCTTGTTTGTTACATATGAGGAGCTCAAGAAGCAGACTGAAGTTGAGGTTAAGCGAATTGCTGAGTTCATTGGATGTGGTTTTACTGCTGAGGAGGAAGTGAGTGAGATTGTTAAGTTGTGTAGTTTTGAGAGTTTGAGTAAACTTGAAGTTAATAGACAAGGGAAATTACCAAATGGGATAGAGTCTAATGCTTTCTTTAGGAAGGGAGAGATTGGAGGATGGAGAGATACTTTGAGTGAGTCCTTGGCAGAGGTAATAGATAAAACCACTGAAGAGAAGTTTAGAGGTTCTGGTCTGAATTTTTCTTGCTGAACCAATCTTAAAGACTTGCTGTTATGTTTTATCTGTTTTTGCTTTGATGATGTTTATGTAATCTTGTGACTTTGTTGTGGTTGTTGTTGGTTTTGTTTTCTTCTTCTTTATATTGTGACTTTGTTGTTGTTGTTTTTTTTTCTTTTTTATGAGAGGGTTGAGTTGTTATTGTCCTTCTTGTATGAATAAAATGGATTATGTTTGTGTTTTCTTATTTTCATCAGTATTAAAATGCCAAATGATAGGCAATCACTTTAATATATGAAAATGCCAAATGTATCCAAACAAGTTCGAATGAATAAAATTAAGTGGCATTCCAAGAAAAGAAAAACATACCTCCATTTCAAAGTACTCCAGACTGTAACGATGTCTCCACAAAGTATCCCATATTGCAATGCATTCAAACCCATCCTCATGAGCTCACCCTGACGAGAGCATAACGTTTATTTAAAACTGGAAAAATATTTGTTATTCTCATTTACATATTTTTTTTTTTTTGCTAACGGAGTATCCTTACTCTACCGAAGTGGTCTGGAGCGAGCAAGGACTAGAGACCGAAGCGAACAAGGACACTGCCAGGACGTCACCATGTGGCTCACCTATAATGGTCTTCGGTCTCAGATACTGCAGCCCATATGTAAATTCTGCAGTGACCAAAACTCGAATATAGAGACGGACGCTCCAGCTGTATCTCTTTTACCACTAGAACAAAGCAACTCGGTTTCTCATTTACATGTTACATGTGCATGAGTTTAATGGTACTTTCTAGTAGTTATTTAGTTTCAGACATTGTAGACTTGTAATGGTAAAAGAAAAATAAAACATTAACGTGTTCTTTTCTATTAAAAAAATAGTTAACGTTTGGCCGAATGCTTATTCCCGATCACATTTGACCTTTTAACATTCAAATTCCCTAGACGTCTTTCGGATACTCAAGAGTCTCGCTGAAGGCTGCTTAGAAACCCGAAACGAGTTTCAAATTACAATACACAAACTCTCAAATTTTGTTTCCTCGATTTCTCTACTATATATGTATGATCAGACTCACTTTGTTCTATCAAACCCCAAAAGAATCAGAGTAAAGAAGATATTAGATGGGTCTCATAACTATAGTCGTCTTGTGTATTCTTGCTATAATTGGCATCAGCTCAGTCTCCGTTAGTTTTACCATAGCCACTGTCACAACTTCAGTCTTTGCAGGAGTTGTCACCAAAGGATACAGTCTTCGACTTCAACTCGGCCTGGTTGGACGAATTATGGCAATTGGTAAATAATCTCTAAATGTAATATATTTTGTTGAAGTAATACTTCAACATTCTATTCTGTGATAGAATCACATTAATAAAAAAATTAATGGAATAACTATAATATGATATTTTATATATATGTGACTCGTGCTCTGCCTATATTTCTTGTTTTCTTATAATACAATTCACTATTTATATTTGAAGCTTGCAACACAAGAACTCACGTCAACAAGTATGGAGTCTTTACATGAGGAAAAAAAAAAGATGTCTTATAACGAATACATATTGTCAATCATATCTATGAAACATGTGTTAAAAAAAAATCTTTTTATTTAGGAAAAAACAGTTTCGGGATCACTGAGGAGCGATGTAACAATAATTAGGCCAAGAGCCAGAAATCTTTGTGACGTTTCGTGGTGATCAAGTAACCTCCAGTGTTACTCTTCTTTCGCACTGCAATAGCCATACAATCTGAGTTATGAATACAATACTCAATAACTCCTCCACCCATTCCTGCTTTAGTGCGCCACTTCCATATCACACGCCACTTGGAAGTTCTTTTTCTTTGCCCTAAAACCAAAACTCCTGCTCCTTGTTTCTTTGATTCCTCTACTATTGCCTTCCCTTTCTCCTCTGCTGTCTCAACCACCACTATTTCCGTCTTCACCTGAAAAATTTAAACAAGAAACCTTAATCTCAAAAACTGCTTTTGAATAAATTATGTTATTTGTCATCAGAAATTAAAGCTTACTTTAGGTTTCTTGAGTTGACAAAGGTTCTTTAATGGATGTACTTGTTCATGAGCCCTTGAGTTTCTCTCCCTTTGTGTCTCATCTCCACCTATGAAAATGATAAAAAAAACTTGAGTGAAATTGAGAGACTCAACAATGTAGAGATTTAGTAAATCATTTTTCAAAAACAAAAATAAACCAAAAACAAAAACAATGTAGAATGTCAAGCTTCTCAGCCTGGCCAATTACCGAGGGAAAGGACCCAAAACTAACCAAACTAAAGTAAAAAAGCCTAAACCGATTTTCATACGTATTTAATTTATCTCTATGTTTCCAGGATATACATAATTTAGATTTGTTTTCGTGTCTTTTCTTAACTCCGGTCAAGGTTCTATATGCAGTTACAATTTCCCGGCTCCAACCACATATACAATTTTAAAGTACTTTTGACAATTTTCATACAATATTATTTTTTTTTGAATTGATTTCATACAATATTATTAAGAAAAAGTTAAATGTTTTAATAAATCCTCACAATTATCAAATTATTTTGTTCTATTTTTAGTCAATAAATTAATTTTAAGCATGAAAAAATAGATATTGGTTTCTAAAGTTACATCAAAAGTTAATTTTAACCATGAAAAATTAAATATTGTTTTCTAAAGTTAATTTTAACCATGAATAAATAGACCAAAAACTATAAAACTATACATACTTTAGGGGCCCAGTTTAAGCTCAGACCCAATAAGCCTAAAAAAACCCAATAGAATCATTCCTCACAGGATAAACTATAGTTTCCAGATTTGGCTTTAATAGTTCTCTAATATAAAGATTCTAGTAGTAAATGCAACTATGAGTATACATAAAAACTATGTCATGTAAATATACCTTGTCCTACAGGTGTTTTTGTGACATGAAGGAGAGTGATATTGTCTTCATCTTGAACACAATGTGTTAATGCCCATTGAAGAGCATTCTTTGATTGTGAAGTTGTGTCCACAACAACCATCACTTTCCTCCCACCCTCAGCTTGAGCTCCTCCTGCTTCAACATTCTTATTACTTTCCTCTGTTTTCTGACTCCTACTATGTTTTGAACCGCTCTTTCTCGAACCAGAAGCACTTCCATCCTCTGATGATTTGCTCGACGAAGATCCTCCTTTGAAGGATGTTCTAATCTTATTCACCCAATACCCTGCTGGTTTCCCCATTTTCAAAATTCTTCTCTAATTTTTTTTTTCTTTTTTTGTTATGTTTCTTCGAGTTTTTGGTTGTGTATTAAATACGGTGTTGCTTGTTTGGTTTTGGTTGGAGCCATTTCTTGAACGTGCTTGCCATGAAAATAATTAACAACCCCCTTTGGACTTGTTCTCATAAATTTATATTTATAGAAATACAATTATTTGGTCGTTTTAATAATCCTCCACATCACAATCTTGATACAAATGCAGAGCACTACTTGTTTCAGAATCCAATCTTTTGGCATGTAATTTCATTAAACGAATCATATTCTATCCTCCAGATAATTTTGCCATAATCCGACATAATTTCTGTGATATTAAAAATGAAATAAAATAATAGGAAGCCACGCACAAAATTTTGTATGTAAAAAAATTCAAAAACATTGTTATATTTCAAAAAGTAATAATCTGGAGTATGGCATTACAGCTCTTCATTATATAACACAGTTTGTAATCATGATCTATATATGTTTCTTTCACAAAAATTCAGATTACACAAGCAAACTATGTTTCTCTTTCAAAAATCAAATACACAAGAAATAATGAATTGATCTATAACACACACATATGTATACACATATATATATATATATATATATATATATGTGTGTGTGTGTGTGTATATGTGTTATTTTTTCAGACCATCCATCCAGGGAAGAAGCTCCAAATATCGATCCTGGGTGTTGTTGCTGCTGTTGTTCAGCCGAAGAAGCTCCAAATATCGATTTAGTAAACGCTGCATCGCTTTCCTCCAACTGAAATAAAAAGAGAGAGAACAATGTTATAAGAGATCTCAAATGATTTCAATTTCTTGTGCTATAATATTTTGATGGCACTACCTTTCTCTTAAGATCTCTATTGGTTTCCAATAGCATTTCCTCCTGTAAATTGATGAATATTGGAGTGTGTGTTATTGAGATTATTGAACATTTGTGTGAATCTTTATGTATACCTTTGTTGTGAGGTCAGATAGTTGATTAAGCATAGACCGAGCCTGTCGATGAAAACAAAGCCAATATTTGGTACTCTTAGGACCAAAGAATCGGATACAAAGTTGTCCATTTCGTGAGATTGTATATACCTTTGTGGATCTTATTTGTCTTAGTGATGCATCTACTTGACGTTCTAGCTGCTCAAGCTCATTCACTCCCATCCCGGCTATCTCTTCACCTAGCAAATGCCTGGAGAGAAAGCAAATTCCAGAAGAGTTAAGTAGTTGGAGTAAGCATTTACTTTTCGAGATGTGTTGTGATTCAAGATATGTACCTTTGTGAATGTTGAAGGATCTCAACTCTTGATTTGAGCTTTAAGTAGTCTTGGTACTTTTCCTACATTAAAGACTAGGTTAATTAAGGAGAACTTCACAACTTTGAGGTCAGTCTTTGACAATTCATAGAGAGAGATTGAAGATGTACCTGTAGGTTTTTAGCAGATTGATTTGGATCAATTGTTGCATAACTATGCTTTCTATACTTCTCAAACGTCTTGGCCATACCACTAATCCATACAAACAAATGATCATAGAAGTTGTAACATATATTCATCAATCAAACTTTGAGTTTTAAGAATATATCAAAAACGGTAAACAAAAACCCTTGAAAACATTGTAAAATGTTTATGGGTTACAAACCAAGAACATCAAGAATGGTATCAATCTCATGATGGGTTTTCAAGAAAACAAGTTTCTTAATTGCTCAAGAAAAAAAGAAACAAAAAATCTTCGTTTGTGAGTACCATTACAGTTGTCTCGGATTACAAGTACTTGAGAGATGTTAGTTTAAATAAATAGTCAAAATATTTTTGTGTGTTCTTTACAGCTTTGTGTGTATAATATCCGTAGGTCAATCCTTTGTCTCTTTGGAAATTTGAATCAACCCCTTCAAGTCACATGTGTAAAAACTTTCACTATATATTATATAAATCTCATGTACTTTTCTATTCAAAGTCTCTAACTAGCTTTAATCACCATCTAGACCAATCTAATACCCTCATAGTATATATGATAATCTTTTTTTGTTAACTTAATCTCACTCTAGAAGCCAGATTTGTATAAATGAAACCCAGAAACCACAAAATGAATTAAACCCTAATAATTAAATCCTAACAAAATCAAGAGATACTCAAACTTTCACTTACTCTAGAATCTTAATGAATCAAAACCCTAAAATAAGCAAAAAAAGGATAAAAATAGAAAAGTTGGGGAGGGCTGAGAATCAAAGATTAAAGATTATGTTACCTAGGGCTACTGCAGAATTCGTAGAGCTTGCCACGGTTAGAGAAAACGAGAAGAGCAATCTCAGCATCACAAAGCACAGAAAGCTCATAAGCCTTCTTAAGCAAACCGTTCCTTCTCTTTGCAAAAGTAACTTGCCTGTTGATCTTGTTCTCTATCCTTTTCAGCACCACTTTCCCTCTTCCCATCCTTAAGGTCTCTCTTTTATTTTTCTCTATCACCACAGAAATATTTCCTCCTTTTTACCTGTAAACACACAAGTGATGAACTAAAGAAGGTTTATATAATACATACACATAAATAAAGTGTATGTATAAGTGAAATGTGTAGAGTATAGATCTTGACTCAAAAGGATTCTGGTTCTAAATCTAGGGCAAGAACTGGTTTCCTCTCTTGTCCTGTAACTGGAGTGGTGGTGGGCCACCTGTGTTCAGGTTTTTCTTTAGTTGGAAGGTTGTAAGAGAATAGCTATGTGTTTGATTTTTTGCAGATGCTAAGCCATTCTTGGCCAAATAAAAGCTTACACGACCTATCCACCTTCACAAACTTTCCTTTTAAGAAAAAGAAAAAAAAATATACTGTATTTTAAATTATTTCGTGTTATCGATTCCTAGTACTTTTCCAAGGATAGTTAAGATATCTCTCACTCTATCTTGTCCAACCGAAATGCTTCAACTTTTCTCTTTCACCCTCCTCCATTGGATTCTAAGATAGAGAAGTGTCTACCATATATGTATATATATATATAGATTGCTTTCTTTCATCAGATCTAGTTCCTAGTTTATCAATATGCTCAAAAAGAGACAGAAAAAGATTCTAAATATAACCTACAAAATATTCTTTAAACAGACATAAGTCCAAGTCCTATCTATTAGTATTGCATGACTTGGTTACATATTGTTCATGTATTGACACATTTAGATAATGAAAATAATACTAAAATGTATATATATTGTGTAATGTGAATAAAAGTAGGAAAAATAGGCTTCCAAAGATGTGTGTTTATTATGCTTTGCCTCTCTTGCCGACAGTTTCTTTCGTATGACAGCTACTTCACGATCGTTTTAATGCATAAGAAGGATGTACACTAGTAGACAAATTTGTGTCAAGTTGAAAAGGGTAATCTGATATAGTACTACCATCAATAAATATGAAACTAATATATTACTATTTTATATATAATCTTTTACTATATAATCCTTTTTCTACTGTTTACGTACGTATTACAAAGATATTCACCTAATAATTTCCTTTTCCGTATTTGCTATAAAGTGGAATCTATCATGGTTTGTTTTTGTGATTCGGAGATTTAATCATGATCTTAACGGAAATACATATATTTTTGTTTTGGGTGTGGGTTCCCTTCTAAAACGAGGTCGCTTCTTTGATTATATATAATCAAAAATTTAATCGATTTTCAGAAAATATAGTAGAATCCAAGATACATTTCAAGATAATTTAATATTAGCTTTTGATATGCTCAATAAATCACAAACATATGTATATATATAACAATGACTCATAGATGCTAAAAACAAGAATTGCACAACAGTTATTTTGATTTATCTTGGGAAGACAACGGAAAACAAAAGAGAATTTCTTTTAAACAGTTTAGCTCTCGAATCGTAAGGTTTATCAACTTTTTCGCAGGATGCTTCTTGTCAGGTCAATAATAAATAAAATCTCACTTAAAGAAAAGGTCATGCGACTATTTGCCATGCTAATTTGTTTTTCTCATCTCATGGCATCTTATACAATATATATACTTTTCATGCATGATGACTGGAGATGATGATGGTCGTTAATTTACACATGTGATATGTCTCACACATCTTTGTAACTTTGCTTTCTGACTCATATTTCTCTTGGTAGCTTAGTTGTTCATACATTTTTGTCCTTTTGTTTTAGCTAAATGATATGTTTATTGTGATATTTTATTATAAGTTTATAACTTAAAACCAGTTGGTAATTACTGAATTGATTCTAATTTTTTATATATAATTGAAGGTCTTCTTCAATTCTCGATATGAGATATATTATTTCTAATACTTCTTCTCGAAATGATAAGTTTTATCGATTAGAAATCTCGAAATTTTAAGATAGTATATTCGGTTGAACGTATCAAATACGACAATTATACCTAGTTAGAAGGTTAAACACGATATTTTTATCTCATCGGAAGAATTAATTAATTAGAGGGTTTAGAGTTTTTTATGATCTAGATTCTAATGCTATGTTAAATTCGAATTTATTATGGATTTCTAATTTAAACCCAATTGGTGATTAGTATATTAGACCTAAACATGTATATATTATTTAAGGTCCACATGAATTCCCTATATGGATATATTATCCCTAATAATTTTTATTAATCTTTTTGATGGAAACTTGATATAGCATCATCATGCATCATCATGCATAATTTGAATATTTATCTTCTACGTCCTCGCTATTCTCCACCGCTCGTTTATGGTTCCAAGTGGTCACATTACAATATGTACTATATAGATAAATGCTTTAGACCGTCGTATTTTGTATTTTCCCTTAAAATAAAGAATTTCTAAAAGTTAGTTTCAAAAAACAAATATCTATAAAAAGTAACTAATCTAGTCCATAATCCGAGTTAGATACGTAACACGAAGAGAGTTGCCCAAAAGTCGTGAACTTCTTTTTTTATAGTAAACGTTCAATATTGTATTCTGACCAAATCTTTATTAATTAACATTATAATTGTACTTTTCTAAATACTCCTCAATCTTTTCTTTAGTTTCAAAAAATGTAAGATGAGGGAAGCTTATGCAGGTTGAGCCGTTGAGGTCTGTGACAGAGCTCGTACGCTACGTGTCGAACTCTTATTGGATTGGAAACCATTTTCCCTACCTCTTCGGATATGTTGCGATTGAAAGAAACAGTGATACGAACATCCATCACGTTACGTACCTAAATAAACATGTGTCAACATATATATCATTGCCAATATGTGATTCCTGCTGTGACACGGCATTATGGAAGCAATTAAATAGTGAAGAATATTTTGTAACTGCCCATTGTGGTTGTCTAGTAATTTTCACTGGATCAATTTCTTTCCAATGCAAAATTACTAGTTTCCACATATGATGATGTGGACATAGACACATTATTTAGGGTTCATTTGAATATCTAAAATATTTTTCATCTATTGGCAGCACTTCTATTTGGAGATTATTCTAAACATTTTTCATATATTTGAGATATCCAGATTAATCAAAAATAAAAAATAAGTGTCAACTTAACTAAAAGGACTGAAAATGTTAACTAGAGATATAAAAAAATCAGTCTATTTCACTCTTAATTAGTATATCTTTTTTTTGTCATCTCATACTGAACTTGAAATATTATATATTTTTAATATTTAATATAATATATATTTTGCAATTCATGAAATTTTGAAAACTAAGCTATTATAGTTTCATCGGAAAAGGTGGTGAAATTTAAGAGTGAATTTAACACTTGAATATTATCTAAATGAAGAAGAGAGAAAATACAATGAGACATAAACTGAATTTAAATTTTAAATATTAATAAAAAATGAAGAAGACTGAAAATTCATTGAGAAATATAGAACCGGAATATCCAAAGTTCAGATTTCATTATCAGTAAGTTTTAACTAGTGTCTAGCTGTCACATTCAAATATGACATTATGTGTGTTGCATGGTGCATTGGTGATAATAGCAGTCAGAATCGGCCTTGAGATTTTGAAGGTCCTAAACGATTTTTAAAAATTTTTGGCTAAAATTTTTTTTAAACTAACTTGGAGGTTTAAATTTTTTTTGGGGGGTTTATATACATATAATTTTTTTCAAAATTTTCGAAAGCTTGAGACGAATGTTTCAACAGGCTTGGCTCAGGACCGGTCCTGCGGCCTATTAGTAGAGCTTATAATTCCGCTTCTACAAATGTCATACACTGATTCCCATCTCTTTCCAGCTCCTAAGTAGTAACCTTCTGAACATCGAATAATCCAAGTCGCTTCTGAACTCCCATCACCCCTCTTGTAACTGCAATCATAAATTGCATTTAACAATATTATGTAGTGGAGTTCTAAATCAATATCTCGATTGTTGCGGCGTAACGCATTGGAATATCTTCATTCTTTATATTAATCTTTGCCTTCTTGGTGCCGTGCCATATAAACTTATTTGTTCTGATAGACCAACATGTTACGTCTTATGAATATTTTTTTTAAAAAGAGACTCTGTTCAAAAGGAAGAGTGAGTTTTCAAGGATGTTTGTTCTCTCTTATGGCTTTAATACGAAATTTATGGTTGAGTGTTTGATCTTATCTCTTTTCTCTGGATCGTCCTGTGTAGTGTCAGAGCAAGTAGGTCATGCTTGGGATCTACCGGACAACATATTCGGAGCTGCATATGCAAGATTCATGGGATCTAGAAACCTCTCTCCCGATGTCCGTCGGGCCTTAAAATCCATGTAGACATATGAACAAAGCTTACGTAGCAACACAGGCACTCAGAGATCACGACCTGTGGCACACTCGTCGGCCTCCCTACGAACCTTATATGTGAGTGTGTGAGTGGGCTCTAACAGTCATAGAATTTGAGCAAATGTACCTTCCAACGTGCAAGCTTCTTGTGAATGGAGGCAACGAGAAGCAAAAGATCAATGTTCTTGAAACATTACCTTCTCTGTTCGAGCAGGAAGACAGTGTACAGGGGGATAGTCCCTGCTCCTCCTCAACATCATAAGTGATGAATTGCTTGGTGTAATTTGTAACAGGAGAACTCAGCAAGTTTTCTTTTTGACTCAAACGATTTGGCGCAGAATATTATAAGACAAAGAATTAGGATAGATTTGACAAGAAACCGACTTCTTATCATTAAAGGGGAGGCTCACATCAAACAGTTTTTATAGTAAGAGAAATGCAACAGAGACACAAAGGATTACGCATTTGCAATTACACAATGTTTTTTTATTTATTTAGGTATTTTACTTGCCACCAGTGAAGAGATAATCCAAGGATGATCCACCTCCAGGAGCTGCATGAACTTTGGTCGAAGGACGGTCCTGCAAAAAAAAAAAGCCATTACATTAAGACACCATTGTATTGAGTAACGGAGACAAAGAAGCAAAACATACAGTGAGGAAGTTTCCGGTGTTCTGTCCTTCAGCTCGGGCATAGTTGTTAACCGGAGTCTTGATCCCAGCAGGAATCTGCTTATTGAGCTCTGCAGGCTCAACACTCGTAGTAGCAGTGGTGAGAGCAGTTGCAGTCACAGCAGCTGGTGCAGGTGCTGGAGCTGGTGCAGCAGTGGCATTAGTTGGCTCAGCAGAAGGAGCTGGAGCTGGCTTAGGAGGAGGAGGAGGAGCATCACCACCACCACCAAAGAGATAATTGAGTGAACTTTGACCTCCACCACAGCTGTTTCCACGACCCATTGATAAAGAGATTTTCTGAAAACAAAATAAAAAAATCATATGACTTAGAATCATTTTAACAATCCAAAAACTGTTCACTAGAAAAAAAAAAAAAAAACTGTTGAAAATTTGCAGTGAATAGTTTGCTTATAGTATCAATAGATCATAGTTTCGCTAAAATCACAAATCAGTGACGGAAGTAAAAATACTATGATTCCTCTTCTTCTAGAAGATATAATCCAAAAACCTTATCAACGTCTATAGATGCAAAGCAACTGATGATTCTCGAAGAATCTTTACATTGAGAACACAAATCAGATCTAGAACCAATCGAAATCGAATCAACATTTCTTAAGCTCTTGATTCTACCTAGAAACCATATCTATCCACAAGCTACGAGATCTAGACTCGCTGTTCGACAATAGAGAAACGACGGAAGAGAAACGATCGGGGAGTGTGAGGAACAAACCTTCCGGCGAAAATCGCGATCAGATCTAGAAGGAGGTAACGGACGGAGAAGAAGAAGCGATTACGCAGACTCAGTAAAACTGACTACTCAGTCATATGCGAACCAGGATATCTATATAAGCTTAAACCGGTTTTGATACTCTCAGGGTTCCGGTTCAATTGGTCGGTTATTCGGTTAACCATCAATTTCAGATTAACAGTTTTCATCAAAATATCTGAATTCAAAATGACTAGTTTACAAAACCGGTGGGTTAATACGATTTATTTTTCTGGTCAAATTAATACGAAATTGAAAGTTAAGTATTGAAAAATTGTTTAAAATACCACAAATTAAGTATCACTTTTCAAAATTATAAATTAGGCTTTAATAATTATTATTTAGAATTTAGTATTAAGTGACCGGATTGGATATAGAAATATTTTATAAATATTTAGAAAATTAATTTAGTGTTATTTTATCACTAATTTTTGATATTTACGAAAATAATCATTTATTATGATAAATTTAAAAAATTAGCGTCGAACAATATTTCAACAATATTTTGGTATTTGGATTGGAAAAAAAAAACTTCAAAGTTATTCAGTCGGTTAACACTTAACCAGTGTAATTAATTATTGGTGCTTTTCACTAAATTGGACGTTTGTGGGGCCATTCACTGTTAGTAATTTGACAGTATCTTTGTCATTTTTCGAATCTTATTCTTTCCGTTTTTAACATTTAAAAATTCGAACTTTGAAACAAAAAGATACTATTCATTTTATGTGATGGCCACTGTCTTTGTTCGATTTTGTTTTTTTGTTACATTTTAAAAATCTCAACTTTGAAACAAAAGGATACTATATTGAGAATAAATAAATAAAAAGACTTAGATTCATGTAGCAGCAGCAGCTAGTTCACCATGTTTAGACTGGTTAAAGTAATAGTTCCCAGTAACAAGCAACACCAAGCTCACAACACCAAACTTCCATGACAACAATCCTAACCCCAAAACATTGGACTCATTCACTTTCTTTCTCTCAACCGCAACCGTTCTTGAATCCGAACTCTTTGACTTCCTGAAAGATGCATAACTCTCAACTTCTTCAACCGTCAAAGCCGGTTTAAGCGACTTCTTTGCGGTTAAGAAATGGCGATTAAACACACCGCTTGCTGCAATGTTTTCTCTTAGCGAGACAGTTCCACTTTCTCTGCACAGACCTTCAAGCTCTGCACCTGTGAAGAGATCCGTCTCCTCAGCTATTTTTCTGAGGTCAACGTCGTCTCCTAGTCTCATGTTCCGTGTATGCACTTGCAGTATCTCTAACCGAGCTTCTACATCAGGCGGTGGCACGTAAAGCACCTAAACAAAAGACATTTTCAAGAAAACGGTTAACAATTAACAATCCGGTTTACTGATATCAAAAGTGAACCAATGTGAAGTCTTACGAGATCGAACCGACCAGGTCGCATCAGAGCTGCATCTATTGCATAGGGACGGTTTGTAGCCGCCAAGACAAGAATTCCCTAAACCAAAAAAAAACACATCAGTATCATTTGTATTTTAACATTATCGCGTAATTTAACATATGTAGACTAATTTAGATCGATTTAAACCGGTTTAAACCGATTTGAATTGTATAAATCGGAGCCTAGACTGATTTTTAGAACAATGAGTATCATTACAGACCGAGAACAGAGATGAGTTGTTGTTTGTTTATATACCTTTGCTTCTTCAAGACCATCCATTTCGGTTAAGAGTGTTGACAAAAGTCTTTCTCCAACTGTTGAGCTATTGCTTGAGCCCTCTTCACCTCTAGAACCATCCACGGAAGTAAACATGTTAAAAGAGTCCATAACACAAAAGGCAAGACTTTGGAGAGATAGAGACAACAAACCTTTTACAAGCGACAACATCAGCTTCATCAAAGAATATTATACTAGGAGAAGCAAGTCTTGCTCTTTGAAACGTATTCCTCAACAACGCTTCACCTTCTCCAACATACATAGAGAACAGCTCCGCACAGCTTAAGGAGAAGAAGGAAGCTTGAGCAGCATTTGCAGCAGCTTTAGCAAGAGTTGTCTTTGAACAACCAGGAGGACCATGAAGGAGTATTCCACGCATCGGCGATATTCCCATTTTGGTAAATGCAGATGAGTGTTTGATAGGCCATTCAACTGCTTGCTGTAGCTTTTTCTGTCCGCAAACAAAATATTAACACACTAATGGCAATGGAAGAGGAAGACAACAATGTTAAAGCTATTTACCTTTAAGTCTTTAAGACCACCCACGTCATCCCATGTCACTTTAGGTATTTCAACTGTGATCCCTCTTGTTATACTTGGACCAACCACAGATTTTGCAACCTTGAAGTCTTGTGATGTTAAGATAAGATTATCTGAAGATCTTTTGCTTGCGGATATGGTCGCTTCACGACATAAAGCTTCCAAATCTGCTCCAACGTAACCGTTGCAAGACATTGCTATGGCTTGGAGATTGAGACTAGAATCTAAACTGACTTTCTTTGTGTACAGCTGAAAAAGAATAGCAAACATAAATACAAGAAACAACCTCTCATTTAAGAACTCACTATTACCTGCAGGACTTTTAAACGATCCTCCTCATTAGGTGTGCTCACTTCAACTAAAGTATCAAACCTCCCTGCCCTTCTTAGCGCTGGATCAATTGCATCCAACCTTTTGACAAGAATCATTGCATTCAAACACAAAGGTTTTAAAAGGTATAATAGTGTTTTAAGGCTAAGTCAAGAACCTGTTTGTGGATGCTACAACAACAACTCTTGGTGCAGATGATGAAGGCTTGTTTGAGTCCATAAGCGTAAAGAGCTGAGAAGCAATACGAACACCTTGCTCTCCTCTACATTTTTAAAGAAACTCAAACTATTCTCAAATCTCTTATAAACTATAGGAGTAACAACAAATGTCTGAGTGATACAATACAATACCTAGAACTACGCCGAGGACAAAGAACATCAATCTCATCAATAAAAATCACCGATGGCTTGTCTGAACCAGCATGAGAAGAAGCCTCAGCGAAAGCTTCCCTCAAGACTTTCTCACTCTCTCCAGCATGAGCTCTATGTACAGAATGAGGACTGAACAACGCATTGCCACAGAACAGACAAACACAAACAAACATATTAGCTTTCACCTATTTCCTCCATACCATACAATGTTCAATAAAATCTCTAGGCAGTAGTTAGGCGTCTTATAGATGATTACTGTTTAGGCGGATGTCTAGACCAATTTAAAAAAAAAAAATCGTTATAGATCATTATTGTTTAGGCGGATGTCTAGACCGATTATTTTTTAAAGAAGTTTTAAAATCGTTTTGCCGACTATGGCATCTAGCAGCTGACTAAACCGATTTTTTGAACATTCATACCATATATTATACATAAGCTACAAAGAAAAGTACCTCAAAACAGTCAAATGTGCATCACATTCCTGAACAACCGCACGGACCAAACTTGTCTGCAAAGAAAAGTTGCAATTAGTCTAATTAACTTATCTTACACTACAATACAAAAGTTTAGAACTTTGACAAACCCAACAGAGTTTTGTCTGAAAAGTCTCAAACTTGAAACAGAGTTTTACCTTTCCGGTTCCAGGAGGACCGTATAAGAGCAACCCTCTAGACCACTGCAACAAAGAGTTTAAAACAGAGGAAAATTAATAAAACAGAACAGAAACAGAGAAAGCTTAAGTTCAGGTGTGTGTATGTTTTACTTTGAGACCAAGAGTTCGAGCTTCGAGAGAGTAACGAAAAGGGAAGATGATGAGTTCTCTAAGCGCTTGCAAAGCCCTCTCGTTGCCACCGATCTCTGTTTCTGCTCGCCATGTATTATCATCGCCGACGATGTTGTTGCAGACGCTGGTTTGGGTCTCCATCAGATATGAGAGGGAAAAGGGAAACAAGTAAAAGAGACAAACTTTGTGGTTTTTGCAAGGGTTTATGCGTCGCCGGGGCACGAGAGACGGAGACAGTTTTCCGGCGATTAAAATTTAAAAAGAGTATACAAAATAGTGTTAGGGCTTTTCTTTTCATGTGATTTTACGATTTTACCCTATCTTCTAAGCAGTTTATCATAGAATAGATTTTGAGTTATGCTGGGGAAATGGATTACTGGTAGGTAGCCTTGAGCATTTGGATATAGGATCGGGTTTAAATCGAGTATTTTGGATAGTATATAATTCGGATGTAGGAAAACTAGTGCTGATTAGATAATTTTAAATTTTGGATTAGATTCAGTTTGGTATTTGTTGGATTTGGATATTTTTGAGTTTATAGAATGAGCCAAAAAATAATTCTTCAGTTTCAAATTAGGTGTAAAAATTGTAATGTAAGTGTATTGAATGTAGCTGTATATTTACTAAAGTAAAATTTTCTGCAGAGATTTTGATGTAGTTATGATAACTGTAGCTGTAAACTATTGGCTATACTTTTGTAAAATAAAACATGATTGGATAAAATGTACTATACTTGTAAAAAAAAATATTTTCTATATTAAAAATAACAATTTAATAAATTATTTTAAAATAAAATAAAAACCATTTAAAATAAAAGTCAAAGGAAAAACACCATCTAAATAATCTATATAATAATAGTACACTTTTGAAGCTCCTCAGTGTGTCCACGTCAGCAAGTTTGCGGGCTCTGTGCGTGTTATTAGGGGAAATAAAAACGTATAAGATTTTGTAAAATTGAATGTTATCGATGAGTGATGAAATGGCCCAATGGTGTAAGTTGGTGATGAGAAGTTGGTACCGCGAGTGCGCGGATTCGAAATGCAGTGCTTGCATGTAAATTTTTTTTTTATAATTTTGGCTTTTCGGGATACCTAAAAGCTTAGGGAGATTCAAAATGATTTTTTATGCTGGTTGTTGGGATACAAAATGGCTTAAGGATTTGAAACTTTATGAGACCATCTTAGATACTTTTATAAGAAAGGTTATGATGTTCTAACCTCCAATATCATTTCAATTCAGTTATAATCATCAAATAAAATAAAAACATATTTTTCAATAATAAATATATACCCCGAACCATTCAATCCGGCCATAAATCTCATATACATCACAACTAAAAAAAAAATATATATATATATATATATATATATATACAACATAATTTCAAAAAGAAAATTACACTAATAAACACATGTCTTTTTTTTGTCTTGTCTCCATTAAATTATTTTTTTTACATGAAAGCACTAATAACAGTAATGCTCACTAATAAAGGGAATGCTCGATAAAATCAATACGAAGATAAAATATGAAAATATCAACCCATATGAATTCGATTTTTATTTTTTTATCAGACTAATCAAATTGTGTGACTTCTAAAGTTTCATTCATCACCATTATAGATAAGCCAGATAAACAAATGTTAAAACAAAAACAGCAAAGTCGCATACACAAAACTACACAACACATCAACAACGTATCCAACCTCCACGCTTGCGCGGGGATTATGCATCTAGTAATAATAAAATTCTTCTACGAAAATTCCATAAATTCATTACAATCTTATCTCGAAAACCTTTCATTTATTGTCGAAAATTGACCATTTGTTGAATATACTAAATATATGGCTTTAAATTATTAGTTTATGATCAAGGATTATCATTGTTTTCAATATATTAAATATTTGACTTATATATACATATGTATGTCGTATGAAAAAGAGCACGTAGTTTTCTTTTTTCAATTATGAGATTATTTTGGGATGTAGAATTTTTGTCTAAAACAAATAGAAAAATTAAAGTTCTATTTTTTTGATGTATCTTAAAAAACTAAAGCTACATTCTGATTGGCAAAAGGTTTTTAAGTTTTGTTGTAGATTTTAATTTTGAAAACTATAACTACAATATAATTGATAAAAATTAGTGATTTAAAAAAATAAAACTAAAGTGCTAAGTTAAATCTCAACCAATCATCCCCATTATATAAAAAAAAAATTTTGTTATAAAATAAGATTGTAACTGGATCTATTATTGGAATGAAATGCTTTGAAATGACTAATTTTTTTAATTCCGAAAAATATTTTACCTGAATGGAATTGAAAGTTCATTCCATCAATTCCAAAAACATTTAAACAAAATACAAAGCAAATCATTCAAAAACAATTTTGTCAAGGAATAAAATGGAATGATTGTATTCCATTTTTCTACTGCATTTCATTCATCTTATTCCATTCCACTTTATTCTATTTATTTCATTTTTAATTTATCAGTTACAGTAGTTTTCAACATTTAAAACAAAATTTATTTTTTATTATGATAATTAATTTTTCTATCGGTTAAAATATAATTAGGTGAATAGATAATTGTGTGTTTTATTAAAAAAATATAAAATTAATTATTATTTTAATTTGTTACACTTAATATGAGAGAGTATATAGTTTTCTACGTTTTAGTTTAAGCTCTCTTTTTAGACTCTAAATTATAAACTCATTAACAATATACACCATTTATTTCTTTTGTAAATCATACACAAGAAAAGATTGAATAAACCATTCAAGTCCCCTAAAACCTTCGCACGGCCACTGGTCATACATGACTTGTACCTGACTCAAGTCGAGCCTAGAACAGAGGTGCTTGAATCAAAAGTGTGGTTAGTGAAGTACTGATGAGTTACTTTACACTCATCGATTTAGATGTCATGATTAATTATTTGTATAAATAATGTTAACAATTAATAGTCGCTGTAAAAAAAAAGTTCAGTTTTAGGTGTTTTAAATTGAAACTAGTTGTTGACCAAAAAAAAATATTCTTAAACTATTTATTCAACAGGCATTAAAGTTTAGGAAAAGATCTTTATTTATTATATTCCAGTAACATAAGCTTGAATCCATGCATCATAATTCAATAATATGTTTTGATATAGTTAATTCCAAGCTTCATCGGCATATGAGACTTGAAGCTTCGACACTTCGCTCTCAAGCGACTTAGACAAAACAGAGGAAGTGCAGCTTTTTGGGAGAGCAGCCTTTCCTTTGTACGCTTTGCAAATTTGGGCCACAAAATCATCAGGACTTTCTGGGTCCTGCATCGCCACAAACCAAAAAATACAATCAGTGATAAGTAACATTTTCAGTTGATTAAAAACATTAAAACGCATGTAGTTAGATTATTCATGCAAAGAAGAGTTTAAAAGGGAGTTATACGAGTGGTTTGGTGTTGATTGTGACCCATGGTACGTATTTATGTTGCGGTTTCAAACTGAAAGTCATGTTTGCATACTCGAGTATGAGCTGACATAACCAAAAATAAAACTGTCAAGGTTACGATTATACAATTTGTATAATATTTTGTGTGTGTTTATGTCCTACCGTTTTAGAGAGATCACTGTTGTAACAATCATTGATGGCCTTTTTTGTCTTCGAGTTCGTTAAACATGATTCCCAGTTTGTCGTGTTCTTTTCAACGCACCTTATGAACATGTACTGCGTTTTCTGCGTTCCAAAACATTCATTTTTCCAAATTAAATTTAACAATAATTTTATATGAATAAAGAAAATAGTATAGAAAGTAAATAAATGATTATACCGGATCAGGGAAAGTTCTTATGACGCAAGCTTCAATAGCGTTTAGTTTGCATTCCTCTTCACCATGCTTCACAATATATATATATATATATATATATATATATATATATATCCAAACATGATTAATAACAAAAAAGTATAAAAACTTAAATATACAAGTCATATATATAAATAGGAAGGACTAATAAGATAATTTATAAACAAGAAGAGATAGGGAGAGAAAAATGAAAATAACCTGGCAAGTGATGGTCAGATTATCGGATACTTTGGCGTTACCAAATGGAACGAGCTTGAGATCAGTGATTGTGCCGAGATCAGTGTAAAAGATTCTGACCAGATAGTTGACGATGAACTCCTGACATGCCGGACAGAGTGATTCGTAGTAAAGATTGACCTTCACTTTGTCGGATTCTTCCCCAGCTACGTGTTTCTCTGAAACTGTGAACAGAAGGCAAGCAAAGAAGAGACATGGGAACAACACACACTTGTCTGAAGAAGAGGACATTGTTTTAAAGTATTCTTACTAAAGAGTTTGAGTTGCGTGGCTCATGACTACTAACCTTGTGTATGTATTTATAGATACTAGTTTTATGTTACGGTAACTGTATTTTTTTTTACTTATAAAATCTTACAGTGAATCATGGTTATTAAAAAAAAATGGCGTGACATAAATTAATAAAAAACAGGTTACACCAGCTGTAGGTTCTACTACTTTTACTTGTCTTATATTAGTAGGTCATGATGCATTTTTCAAATTGCGATATTTAGGTAGCTAAACTTTAAAGAGTTTTGGGAAACATTTTAACGTCAATAACCTAAAGAGGGTGTAAGTTTGAACCAAAATAGAGGTAAATTTCTTTTTTTTTCAATTAATGCCATTAAATGAAGTTAAACTTTCTGTTTCATTCAAGAATATTCGCTAAATAAAACAGAAACAAACAACTTGTAACTATAGTAGGTTGGTGTTACTAACAAAAATTGAATCTTGTTGCAAGAGTAAACGCGTGAGAGAGCAAATCATCACTTACTTTATTTTTCTCTGATGCGACTAGGTCTGGGCGTTATTACCCAATACCGAACTCCCTACCTAAATCCGAACCAAAACCGGATCCAAACCGTTATATAAAAATATCCGAATGGGATTTGAGAACTTGGTACTATGGAGTATGGATATAACCCGAACCGAACCAAAATCCAAACTTGGATTTGACTATATCTGAAATTAGTGAAATATGTTACTATTTTTATATATGTTAAAGAAATTTGGATGTTTTAGAATATTTTAAGTTTTTAATAGTTTATTTTATTTGTTATTTTGAATAACTTTTAACTAATTTACGTAGTTTGGCTTGTTTTTAGTTAGTTTTGTGAATAGTTTAAATATTTTGAGTATTTTTTTTAACAATTTAAAAATTTTAAAATATATTTTTGGACGATTTTATACATTGGTTATAACCGATCCCAAACCAAACTTAGAGGAACCGAACCAAATCCGACCCGATAATTAGTAAAATCCGAATGGCACTTATGCACATGGTACCGAAAATCCGAAAACCGAATCGAATCCGACGGGGTCCCGAACGCCCATGTCTAGATGCTACCCTACAAAATAAAGAACCAAGTGAACCAGAAGAAAAGGTAACATCTAAATAATGCATCTCCATTATTAGGTAACATCTAAAATAGAGTAGCTATAAATTAATAGAACCAAATATCCAAATGAGAAGTATGCATGTAACATTCGTTCCTGATCACATTGAACCCTAAGTTTCTCGCCCTAACTTAAACCAAAAGACACAACTGCACATTCGAATCATACCATACAAGAGTATAATTCAACAACCAAATATAATAAATCTAGAAGTTGTCATGCATCATAGCATTTATCATTTGACACAATGGAATCTTATAATTAGAATATCTCAAATATCCACCATTTATTTTTTAACATACACAAGAAAACATTGAATAAACCATTTATTGTTTTTGCCATAGGCCCCCTAAAACCTTCCCACGGCACTGTTTGTATGTATACCATAGAACACACAAAAATGTGATCTAACAATAGGTTTGACTAGTGATAGTCTGATAGATAGATATGAGCCTTTTCAGTCTCACGGTGCGTGGAATCTCACGCTCCCAGCAGAGGCCTGGTTTGCTGCACGGTTACTTCCAAAATTCTTCCGGTTTGATTCACGAGCTATTCTTGACCCAAACTAAAAAAAAACACAACACACAGCTTTCAACTTTACTGTTTTTTTAGTTATCTCAGAAAGTTATCTTGAAACCTTTTTCATACCTGTATTGCTCTCTTAGGCATCTTTGCAACTTCATGTAAGCCAAGCAACTTGGCTACCTTCAAAATTTTAACAACCATTATCAGGTTTATGAAGTTTCTTAGAAGTTAAAAAAGTGGTGGCTTTTACTCACCTGTCTAAGAATCTTCTTGTCTCCGGTTCCACTTGGTTGCTCAAGATCAGCTATTTCCCACAAGGGAATGTCAAGGAGAGTCTTTATCACATCTTCATCTAAGAATGGGAATCGCGCCTGCAAAAAGTGTACAACATTAAACATTTGAAAATATAGCACAAAGAGCAAACCATTTGAGTTTCCAGTCACACAACATGTATACCTCTTTACCATTATCTGCAATGCATCTATCATCTCTACCTAAGTTTCTTTTCCAAATCCTCTGCATATCCAGTTTCATTTCTTGATCCAACGCAACCCAACTGTAAACAAAAAAAAAGAACAAAACTTGTGTAGTGAGTTAACTATTAGTTTATATCCATAGAGAAAATTATGCAGACATGTATATATATACCTCCCGTTTCTATATTTTGTTCTGTGTCTACCATAACCAGCACATTGTTCATCTGCACCAGCGCCAACAAGCAGAACTCTAGCCTCAGACTTATATTTTATTCGCCTGTTATCTATTTCTTCTGTTTGATTGTCAATTTCTTCGTGAATCCAACCATCACCGCGAGAAGCAAGCCAGAGTGCAGTTCCAATGTTAAGGTCCTAGAACATTGCACAACAGAATGTCTAGATGTAATCAAGTTTTGAAGAATGTAATGAGAAATCCTCAAAAAGATTCTGAAGTTTACCATATAAGTATCCGCAGGATTTATGAGTGACATGACACGCTTTGTCTCCAATGCTAGTTTTGATAAATCAGCATCAATCTCCACAAGTCTCCACCTTGAATTTGCATTCACAAAATAAGAAAGTGGATAGAATAGTAATAGACATATGCTTCAAGGTTTTAAAGTTAAACCTTCTCAAAGGTGCAATATTTTGAAGTTCCTTTATTCCAGCCTTGGCGGAGACCCTATCAGGAGCATAAGGACCATCAAAACTGACATTAAGCAGATCAACTTCATCTGAAGAAACATATATATTTTAATTAGTTTCAGAAGTGGCGGTAGAAAACAATAACAGTGAAAACAAGAAAATGTTACATTTTGGATCAAGGCACTGATCCAATAAAGCAGCTAGAATCATTGAATCTAATCCACCAGAGAATAGAACAGCTACTGGGACAACCTCTTGTTCTCCCTGTTCATGCCAATAGTATAAACATGAATCATTTAGTGTAAAGCATATTTAAAAAAGCATCATACCTGAAAAATGCTATGCAGTGAAGTTCGGCGCCTCACTGATTCCTTTAAAACAACCAAAACTGTCTGTGCAAATCCTAAAGATAAATCTTGTCAGGCCTATGACAATCATTTGGACAGAACTAGCGGACTGTGAGGAACTTAAGCAGTACCTGAAAACGTTGAAATAGCATTGTTTTTCTCATCTTCAATTCGGGTATGAGATGGCATTGACTGATCTTCAGGTCTTGGTACAACTAAACTCCTTTCCCATTCAATCAACTCCTTCCACATTGTATTTCTCCACTCATGCTTCGTGACTTCACCATGAATACATAAACCAGATTCTGAAACCCCGAAAGAAATGCTGTACACTCCACACGGAAGCTCTTCCCAAAATCTATGAATACCATCACCATTTCCAGCATCCAATCCTGCCAAAACAACAGATGTTACTTAGCGTTGGAGTGTGCATACAGAGACAAACTTATACTACTAAGCAATACAAACCAGACCAGAGCCATTAGCAACAGAAGAAGCCGGAGAAACAGACGAGAGAAGAAAACGAGGGTCTTCCACAGTTGGCCAGTGAACAAGAAGACTCCTCCTACCAAAAGCATCTTTACCAAACCACAGCGTTCTTGAGCTCTCCTGATAAGAGTAAAAAAGTTTTTTTTTTTTTTGAAAAAAGCAAGGAAAATGCTAAGGGGGCCAAGTTACAAAAACTAACCTGCCAATATATAATGGACCAGGGACCTTTAATCAAAGAAAGAACATCTGGAACTAAATCATTTGCTTTCTCTAAAGACTTCAAAAGAACTTCAGTATCATTATCACATCTGTCAAGTTCAACTCCTCCAAATACTTCCCCTGCAGAGAGACTATACATTATACAAAACTAGTGTAAAAGAAAATGCAGCAGATGATTAAGAAGCTTTAAGAAGAGAACCACACCATTGTAAGTTAGAATGTTTCCAGAAGAATCCACCATAGGTTGGATTATAGGAGTGGTTCCTCTAAGCTGCAAAGTAGAGCCTATAAAATGCAATTCACCAGAAGTAGTAGTAGTAGTATTCTCAAGGTTATAAGTTCCTTGGGTAGAATCAAGAACAGAGAGAGTCACAGATTCTTGATCACAAGTTGGTTGAAGAAGAATCTTCTTTTCTCCTACACTATCAGGACCTCTTTGTCCTAACGAAGATTTCACATCTTCAACAGAGAAATGTGACTGGTTTAACCAAAAAAAAAAAACACAAAATCAGAAATTCTAGTAAATATCAAAATAAAATAAAAACAACAAAGTAAGAGCTCATGTATGAACAAACATGTGACAACCCGTCCTGTGATTCACAAGCGCTACAGCGCATCGAACCTAACCCCTCACCGTTGGAGGAACTGCCTCCACATCCATCCATAGGTTATTGATGCGTTTGGCGTTACTCGAACCCAAGACTGCCACCCTTTAACAACCTATCACCAATTGAATTGAGTTCGAGTAACACCAAACGCATCAATAATTTACCGGTGGATGGTGAGGGATTAGGGTCGGTGCGCTTAGCCCCTGTGAGCCACAAGATAGGTGTCACAAAACAGTTCAGTCATCTCAATACATTATCATTAACACATCAATAAAGAAACTGAAAAAAGAGTTATCTTTATTTCTACTTAGGTTTCAAGAACATAGTTTGAAGGTTCATCCAACAAAGCCCTAACGGTAAGAGATCTAAAAGCATCAGTCGGAGAAGAGGTTTTTTACATGTTCGAAAGGAGGCTCAGAGAGAGACGAAAGAGTCGAGATTTCGATACGAACGCCGCATATGATAACTGCAATTCCGCACATATTCTCCGGCGGCGTCTCTCTCTCTCTCTCGTCTCCTCCTTCCGGTCAAAAAGTTGTGAGAACGAAGCTTCTTTAGTCTGTTAGCAAACGTATGTTCGCTTTTGTAAAGTGACGTTTCAAGCAATGGACAAATTGCCTCCGTAGCATAGTGGTATTGCGTTCGCTTCGTAAGCGAAAGGTCGTGAGTTCGATCCTCGCCGGGGGCTTTTTATTATTTTGGACCCACGAAAACATTAAGAAAATTCTCAATTGTTTTTTTGAGTAAAAACTCTTCAAAATGTGTTTGTGTAGTTTCCAAATGTTAAAGCACTATAGTTCACTCTCCAGGTATGTTTTTTGCTCATCAAACTCTCAGTTCATTCCAAGTTCTTGTTTTGACAGTGGGATGCAACTAATAGGCTCACAAGAATCAGAAGGCGTGTTGTTGTCTCCAAGATGATAACTTCATGAAAAAATATATAGAAACAAGAATCATAAATGAGTTGTGATTTTTGAATTCTTCTGCAGCTAACAACAATGAAAATGGCAGGAGATATCTGCGCGAAACAATGGATAAAATAGGAATGAGTCTAGATAGGCCTGCGACTTTAAACAGAATCGAACCGAGCCGAACCAAAATTTTTGGTTTTCGGTTTTCGGTTCGATTCGGTTTTTTAGATTCAAAAAGAAAATTAAAAATTTTAAAAAGCGAAAATATCCGAAAATATTCGAAAATAACCGAAAAACCGAACCGAATTAAACCAAAAAAAAAGCCAAAAATATCTGAACTTAACCGAAATAATGGAAATAACCGAAAATATCCGGTTTTTTTAAATTATACCGAAATTAACCGGAAACCAATAAAATCAGTTATTTTCGGAAATAATTTTGAAAACCGAAATTAACCATTAACCGAACCGAACCGAAATTTAATTCGGTTAATTTCGGTAGGTTTATAAATTTTCGGTTAACCAAAAACCGACGGTTCAGTTCGGTTTCTGAAAACCGAAGTCGCATGCCTAAGTCTAGAGGCTCAGGGAGTAACGGTGATGCCACTGGTTAACGGTCATGACAATGCTCAGGTTAGAAACTAGACGTATGCCTGAGATTAAACCTTGCTCTCTCACACTAACCTAAACCATTTGATTCATTTAATTATACCTAATTTACTTTTGTTAAACATAACTTTTAACATGATTTTTCCATTTAACTGGTTTATTCAACCGGTTAAGAGGGGCCAAACTAATCGTAAGAACACACACAAGCCAAAACGAAATTCAAGAACATGGAGAACGTAAAGAACAACACCAAGGACACTGAGGAAACCATGAGAACCAACCACACATTGGTTGCTTCTGTTTCTCTGCTTCTGCTGGTTGTTTTGTCTCTTCTGATTGCTTTTCTTGTTTCTTCTGTTCCCCTGTTTCCACACTTGCTGAATCACTTGCAGCTCCTGCCAAACTATATCAAAACCAAAAAAAAAAGAAATTACTAAACCAATCAAACAAAAAATAACCAATGAAGAAAAGGCATAAGAATAGAGATTATTATTACATGGGGAAAGAGAAAGAATGCGTGCTGTTCGAGCTACGGTTAGAACGGTAAGACTTTGTAGGTGTTTTCCAAGAAACGGCAGGAGGTTGTTCTTTCTCATCATCATCTGAATCATCTGAATCATCAACTTTGGAAGACTCAACTAAAGGCTCTGATTCTCTTCCTGGTGGAGGAGGCATAGGAAGCTCAGGACTATAAGCAAGCAACTCTCCTGATTTATAAAGCTCTCCTGATTTCATCATATCAACAGTGAAACTGTTTCTCCCTATATGAATACTAAAGAGAGATTCATTTGAAGCACAGCTCCAATCAGCTTGTAAATTTGATTTGCTTGTCTCAAAAACCGAAGATGGGATCCTATCAGGGTCATAGTCTGTTGTTGTTGTTCCTTTATAATCATCATCATCATCATCATCATCATCATCTCTGTCCATTAGTTGAACAGGAGGTGAATCTGTCTCTGGTAGATGTTTTGGTGGTGATAAATATGAAGATGATGATGATGAGGAGGAAGATGAGGAAGAGGATCTTGAATGTGTTTCTGAGTGGATGATTACAGTATCTTCTGAAAGGATCTTTTTAAGCTCTCCATTTTCATCTTCTAATAATGGTTTTTCTGAAACTTGTTTGTTGTTTTCATCGTGATCATGTTCTGACCCCATAACAAAAACCTAAATTTATTACAATAAAAAAAGCAATAATCATTAATGCATTCTTTAAAGCCATTTTCTAGGGTTAATCAAAAACAATAAACATCAAAAATCTCTAAGATAAAATACATCTACAGAAGAAAAAACATACCTGGAAAATGATTTGATCAGACAGAAACTAGACCGTGATTTTAAGTAAAAAAAACGATCAGTGGTGATTCTTCTTCACACTTGAATAAGTTGTGAAAAATTCGATTATTTTTCTTTTTCAGACAAAACTAAGATGGAGGAAAAGGGGATCTAGGGTTTGGTTCTGTTTCGTTGTATCTCTATTTGGGAGGGGGATAACAGAACGAAAGGTATGTCTTAAAGTTCGGAACTTTTAACTAACTCATTGCTGCGTTTCGCGCCATCTTATCTGTTTTTTTTGTTAAGTTTGTTACCACTTTAGAAGCTAATCTCCTGTGGCATGGTCTATTTTAAAAACTGTGTTCCCATCCAATAGATTTGACTTTTTTAACACGTTGGTCTTGAATATACGTTGGTTTTGGCACTAGTTTAAAGAACAAAGCGTTTTTTAATTACTTGCTGTCCAAAACAAAGAAAATCATTCTTCTTTTTGTTTTCATCACAAGTTGATTTCATGGACTAAAATTATTACATGTTCATGAACTAATTGTGATTCTTTTAGCAGTTAAACTTGTAGATGTTTTCTCTGTGAACTCCTTTTTTCAAATCATTTTCTATGTCCTGATGAGGCCATAAGAACCGCAACAGCAACTATGAACATGAAGAGCATATTGATAAGAAGTACATATGTTTTTCTTGATGATCTTCTGTATTCTCCAAACAGCAATATCCCCCAAAACGTGCTCACAAGTGGAAGTGCCTGAAACCCATCAAAAAAATATATTTGTTTACTTATTTTTTTTCATTAAACAGAGAATAATAGTTTTTTAAAGTTTAAACCTGAACAGCATCTGCAGCTGCATAGCCAGCTGCTTGACCACCCATGAACTGAAGACCGTTACCAAATCCACAGAGAAAACCAGCCAAGAAAGACCATCCTCTACCGTTCCAGTCATTTAAATAAGCCTTGAAAGAAGAACTTGGGAGACCAAGTATTGGCCAATAGAGAAATCTGATGTTTAGTATCAGAGCAAGCAGAAATGCAGAGATTGAGAAGTAGAAGAAAGCTGTGTACACATTGAGTTTTGGAACCCCATGTTTCAATGTGTGCCATTGATCATTTGTGGCTAAGTTGAATGCAGGTGAGAACATTGAGAAGCATATACCAGCAAAGAAAGTTATTGCCAGTCCAATTATTGTGCTTCTCCCAAAGACCTATCAATGCAAATCTTGATTTTTTTCAAGAAACTATAACCACATATGATATCTAATGGAAATCAAAAGATTGTTTCACCTTTATAGCTCTTTGTTTCTCAAGCTCTATAAGAAAAGCTGCAGTCCCTTCTTTTGCAGGATTTGTCTCTATTTGGAAAGAAGAAGTAGTCTCTAAGCTGAAACAAGATCACGATTAGTTTAAAACCTAACCTAACCAAACCAGAACAAAACTAAAGAACTAGTTGTGAATCTTGTTTAACCTATTGAAAATTTGGAGTTTGGATTTGTTATCAGCTGCATTTGACTTATGAACAGCAGAGCCGAAACAAACTGCTATCAAGAAACAAGCAGCTCCCGGGAAAAGGATCTCAGCTCTGTTGATTCTATCATCCAAGAAATAGTTCAAAGTTGTGCCTATACAAAAAAGAAAACAAAAAATGTGCATGAGAAGAAGAAAGAAACAATTAGTTTTAAAATAGTTGAAAACAAAACAAGAGTTTACCAATAACTACAGTGATACTAGATGTGATGACTTCAGTGACTGATAGACCAACAAAAGCCCAAGCATATTGTGTTGCTAAGTTTCCAAGGCTAAGAACTATTCCTCCAGCCATTGCAAACATCACAGACTGCCAATTATCCTATAATTAAAAATATATATTTGCATTTTAACAAATATTTCCCAACAAGGTGTTAAATATGATATATATATGTCTATATGGATATGTAACTGACTTGAGAAAGCTGTGTGATAAAATTTGGTCTGCTTGGACCTATTTGGCCTAGTGTTAACGCTATGATCACAGCAGCTAACAGATTTGTGATTGTGTAATCAAGATAAGTGTGTTGTGGAAGGCGGCCGCGTCTTTCCATTAGAGTCATGATTGCTGGCCATGTCCCTAAGAAGAGAAGAGCCAAAAGCATACAAGTGATTGCTCCTCCTTTGCTCTCTATCATATACATCTTTTCACTCTCTATGTATATTATAAAATCACAAAAAACTGCTGCAGAGAAGAAGATTCTTAGGTTAGTAGAGTTCACGGAAGGTCCCAAGAATAGAACACAAGACACATGTTGATATATACAAGATATAAAGAAAAGTAAAACCTCTGTTTCACCAAATTTCACTACTTTTCTTGATCTGAAGCAAACACTCTTGACTATTCTTGTGTGTACAGAAACAATACTAAAATATTTAAGTGGTATTGTATTTTACCAAAAAAAAAAAAAACAATACTAAAATATACCAAAGATCTAGACTGAAAATATACAGCCATACAAGAGACAAAAAAATCTTTAGGATTACTAGAGAAGAAATAAGAAGAGAGGCCAAAAATAAGAAGATCTTTGACTAGTGAATTTCTTGAAATAGTTTACCTTTTTGAAGCTTTTGTCCTCAAGTTTGATGTATAACAGATGATAACAAGAGAACAGAGAGGACAAGAAAGAAAGAAGTTACAAGTTTTCGTTTAATTCTTTGCTTAAAAATGAGTCCCATTTGATTGGGAGATTCAGAATTTGCTAGTGGCTATGATACTACTGGCAGGCTAATTTGACAGAGACAACTCCTTTTCTATTAATTTAAATATATACTAATTTTGTACAAAATTGAATTTTCTCGATTTGTGTTCAGATTAGAGACTTTTGCCAGTTCTGTCAGTCAATGAGTGACATATTCTATTGGGAAATTCATGCTAAATCATTCGGAAATCAAAAACTTAGAAAAGAGAACAAGTCAAATATACATAACAAATGTGTTAACAAATGACTGCATGAGCCTCACGTTGCAACCTTAGCCTAGTCCCCTTTTGCTCTTCTTTTATATCTGCTCATTTATCTACTAATTTACTTGAAGATACACTTTTGCTTATATTTTAGTCATGACTTTAATACTGACATGCACACATGCATATATATATATATATATATATATATTTTACACATGCATATATTAGTATTACCTGAAGATATATAATATAGCTAGATTAGGAGCGGAACAATTATTGTATATCTCAAGTAAGGTACTTAATTAAAAAATCGTATGCATTTGGGAGTAACTGAGTAAGCATAGCTTATATGTAACGGATACATATCAAATCATCAAGTCGTTACTTATTAATAGATTCTGCAATTTTCTTCACAATTCGACTAGCACTATCAGTATCATGATTCTTTAAATGATGAACATGATACTCACCTTACGTCTTCTTCCCATCCACTCTTCTCCAGCTTCACAACGTAACCAAAACCTTGTCTCACAAGTGGGTCATCTCCTACCTCCTCTTTCTTTGCTCGAACGGCTAGATGATGCATAACACGCAATCTTCCAACTTTTAAGTTACATTTTCTTATAAAACTGTCATGCATATATAACACGCATTGTTCTTCAGATAAATCTATAAGTAGAATGAGAAACTATTTTTTTCTTTTAAAAAAAAAACTATGTAAAGAGTACTTCTAAAATATACCCGATATTTTCCAACTTGATTAGAAAAAAATAAATAAAAAACATTCGATATTATTGGTATTCATAACAAGCAAGCTCAAAAAACGTATACTAAAACTAAGAAACTGTCTTATCATTTCCGATGACCACGTCGACCAGAAGACGCCATGAGAATGGCCACTGCCGCCACAAACATGAGCAACATGCTCACCAGAAGCACGTAGGTTCTCCTCGACGATCTCCGATACTCTCCAAACAAAATAATCCCCCAAAATGTGCTCACAAGAGGAAGTGCCTAATTAAACCCAAAACAAATGAAACTCATAATACTCAAAAATCAACCAATATAAACAAAACAAAACCAAGACATAAAAAAAAACACTAACTTGTACAGAGTCTGCAGCAGCATATCCAGCAGCTTGACCTCCCATAAACTGCAAACCATTACCAAACCCACACAAAAATCCAGCAAAAACAGCCCAACTTCTACCTTTAGAGTCATTTACATATTTTTTAAGCGATGATCTCGCTAAGCCTGCCATAGGCCGGTAAAGAAAGATGAGGTTTAGAATCAGAGCGATGAGAAAACCCGCGATGGAGAAGTAGAAGAAGGCAGTGTAGACAACTAGCTTAGGTACTCCTCTTGGCAATGTGCTCCACTGATCGTTTGTTGCTAAGTTGAATGCAGGAGAGAATAGAGAGAGGCAGGTTCCAGCGAAGAGCGTTAAGAAGAGTCCGATCATTATGCTCTTTCCAAAGACCTGTGAGAATGACACGAGGTTTTAAAGACCGACTAGTAATATATATATACTCCTTTTGCAAAAGAGTTTCGAAGTTTGAGTTTGGGTTTCACTTTGGTCAATGTAACTGAACCTTGATAGCTCTTTTGTTCTCTAGCTCTACAAAGAATCCTGCGGTCCCTGCTTTCGCCTTTCCTACTGGTTTCTCATGAGACTCGAGATCAGGTTCCTCTGTTAATTAAGGGAAAGAACAAACATAAGAATAGATCATAAAGCCATCTGCATTGGTGAGTTTCTCACTAATTATAATAATATTTAATTAATATTAGAATAACTGATAAGAGATTCTAGTTTATTATTGCGGATGTCATAAGAGCATCATTAATCCCGGTCTCTTAACCATAATTCTTAACTTATGATTTAGCATTTTTTAGTATTTTGCGTCTAAGAGACGGTTCTTATTTAAAAGACGGTTCTTAGTTTTTCTTAGTTTTTCAGTTTCTTAGCCGAAGCTAAGAATCCCAGTTAAGAGACTTGTGGTTAATAATGGTCTAAAAGATAATCACACAAAGAAGTTTCTCAATTTTGTAAACTATATAGGGGTTACCTTTTTCAGTGTTGTCTTCACCTTTTTTAATGGAAGAATAGAAATCCCTGTGAAGGTTAGATCTTTGTTAATACAGAACACATTTTGAAAACATGTATGGGAACAGAAGTAAAGAGAGAGCAAGAGAACATACTGTGTCCCAGCTTTATACTCGCTAGGTAAAGACTCGAGTTTAGCTTTGACATCAGCTGCATTAGAAGAGTGAACCGCAGCGCCAAGGAAGACAGCTATCAAAAAGCAACCTACTCCTGGGAAAAGAACCTCCGCTCTGTTTATCTTGTCGTCCAAGAAATAATTCAACGTCGTTCCTATAAAACTCAACGTGACATTCAAGAAACCAAAGCAACATCAGTAATTGATTCATAACGTAGAGAATGTAATTAACCTTTCTGTTTGTTTTTGCCGATTGCATATACATAGGATAATATTTTTTGAAATAAGAATAAATATTTGAGAAATACTCTCACATAGTATATGCATACTAAACATTTTTTTATTCAAAATATAGTGCACATCAAAAATTTCAAAATAGCATTGATTAATATTTTAAAAATATTTTTATTTTATATTTGAGTTTAGTAATTAGGATTTAATATTTACTAGATGAGTTAGGGTATAACATTAATATTTGAAGTAATTTAGTCATTTACCTTTTAACTAATGGTATTTTAGATATTTTTCTTATATGCTATTTTGTTATAATTTTTGTACTATTTAAGGGATTTTGCCTTAATTATTTCAGATAATATTGATCAATTATACTTCACAACCTAAACGCAAACGCAGAAATGGCATTTCAAACAATAGAGACGTTGATCGATTACTGAAAGAGGGAGCATACCAATGACAACGGTGATGCTTGCGGTAATAACTTCGGTAACCGGTAAACCGACAAACGCTAAAGCGTATTGAGTCGCTAAATTCCCAACGCTCAAAAGCACGCCGCCAGCAACCGCAAGCAATACCGACGGCCAGTTATCCTACACAAACGTAATTCCTTCCATAAAACAAACGCAAACGCAAAAAAAAACTAGCCTATGTAGTTTAAGGAATCTAAAGAAGAAGAAACCAAACTTGAGAGAGTTGAGTGGTGAAGTCAGGTGTTTGAAACGTGCTTTTCCCAACCTCACCGAGTGTAAATGCGATCACAACTGCGGCCAAGAGATTAGCGGCTGTGAAGTCAAGAAAAGTATGTTGAGGAAGACGACCTCTTCTCTCCAAGAGAGTTAAAATCGCTGGCCAGCTTCCTAAGCAACATAACGAGAGTATCATACATCCTATAGCTGCTGTTTTGCTCTCAATCACATACATCTTCTTCTTTTGATTCTTTAAACACAAAGACTCTTTCTTTTCTTTTGATATTTATGGGCTTTGCCTCTTACCCAGTTAACCCCCACCGCTCTCCTCTGTAACTGCATGTATGTTGTGATGGTTGTGTGGAGAAGGCTACATGTGTGTTAATAGAGAACTTTAAGACACATCAGCATGTTCAGCCTAATAAGACCAAACAAGAGCTCACACAAATTTGGACTTTGAGTCTGAATTTGACAAGTGGTTCAACTTTGTCTTTTACTAGAAAGGAGAATGTCTGCAACCACATGTTTGATACTCTGTGGCTCTTTAGTTTAAAGTGTTATACGAATAGGCTTTAGTCCTAATGAGATTTATTTTCACACAAAAGCATGTCTATTAAGAGATTAAGTTGCAGTAAAATAATCGCCACAAGAGATGTGTGTCCAAGTAACTTATGCAATAACAGAAATTAAAAGAAGTTTTTGTTTATGGTGATGTTCTATGAATCAGTGGCCAGTCCCAAGTCTCTATCATCAGATTTGTCTTTTATCGAATGGTTGAGGAAGTTCCCAAGTAGCCTTTGATCCAACACCATGTTAGGTACCTGCACAGTAAATATATATATATACTTCTTTAGAACAGCAGAAACAGAGAAATATAGGAGTTGAGAGTTAAGAAACGAGAGAGTAGTGTAGAGAAATACCTTGTCACCGAAGAACATTTTGGTGTTACGTGCAATGGCATCGATGAATTTAAGTTCGAGAAACTCAGGAGTGAGCTTCAACTTGTTTGCTTCAGCTTCTTTCAGTACACTAAGTGACATTGACAAGAGCAAAAGTAATCATTAGACCCCACTGGTTTTGTAGTTATGTATATTCTTTTTCGGAAGGAGGAGAGACTGGCTATTACCGGTAGTAATCTGCATCAGCGAGACTCTTTTGACGATCAAGATACATTTGATTCTCGATATCTGCTTCTCTTCGTGCACTGTCTTTCTCAGTCAGCTTCTGTTCCATCAGAATCTTACTAACATTGGCGTTCTTCTCGGCTTCACTAATGGCCATTATCTTCTTGGTCTCTGCTTCTTTCTCAGCAACTCTTTGTTTCTCAATAGCAATCAAGACCTTTAAAAAAAGTCATCAGGTTTTTAATTGTGTTAACAAGTCTTAACCCGTTCTCTATTGCTAATGAGATTCCAATCTCATGCTTTATAAGGGGATCCAAAGGTCAAAAAGAGTGTACCTTAGTGCGTTCTTCTTCCATTTGCTCAAAGTTGCGCCTTACACTCTCTGGAATCTTCGGCTTTGTGACACGAACACTAATAATCTCAATTCCTGGAGCATAACGTGTGCAATCAGCTTGAAGAGCATCTTTCATTCGTTCATCAATCTGAAACACACATTTGATTATAAGTGAATTACCGAAGATATCACACACAATGTAAACTTTCTCCACTGTTATGAAGCATACGATGAAGCTTCCACACCGTTAAGATTACATGTTCCCATGAAGGTTACTATGGCTTTCAAATTTACCTGGTCAAAGATGTCAATGTAGACTTGCTGAAGAGAATGAGAGCTGCAGAACTGGTTGATCTCATGGTGAATCTTGTCATATATCCATGTGTTATCATAATTCACACCATAGTTGAGCAAAGTGTCATAGACATAATCCTTACGCAGACGGTTAACAACCTAAAACCAAAATTTATTCTCGTCAATACATGTAACTACGATCAACAAACTGTAATCAGTGGAAGAAAACAGAAAATCTCTTACTTCAATCTTCTCAAAGGTAATCATGACACCTCCTTTGGTACCACATGGTATATCCTTCACCTAAGGCAATACAGAGAAGTAATTAAGTTTAAGAAAAAAGCTAACAACCTAAAACACATGGAAGCTTTCTAAATGGGTGGAAAGACACACTTGATCTGTTTGGAGAGTAACTTGAACAGGCTCATAGTTGGTAATGAAAGGCAGCTTCAAATGAAAACCTGAAGCAACAAGAAACAGTGTTTTCATTCACAACAACAAAAACATACACTGAGGAAAAGGGATAATATTAGTAGTAACAATACCAGGCTCTGTAATGATGTTGAGAAGAGCACCACCTCTCCAATACGCTCCAACATGACCTTCAGGGACTTGGTGAACCAACGATGAAGGAGACATAACCTGCTTAACACACCGTAACACTTTAAAAAAAAAAACATGAACAAAGCTCAATGATAAACCAAATAATGTTAACTAGGTGGACAAGCCCGCACACCTGTGCGGACTTTAATATAATCTATACATTGCATGAATAAAATATAATATAAATGTATAAATATATTGTAACTTTCTTTTTCTTTTACATAGATACTCTGTTTCTATCTTACTCATTTCGTTTCTCCTTGTATTTTTTCACACATTCGTTTTGTTTCTTATGTATCTCTCTTTGCATTATTTTTGTATGTTTTTGTACAGACCACACATCAATCAGTAATGACTTAGTTATCTATCAAAGCAGTGTTTGGTAGTATCAAAAACACACAAATCTAAAAAATCTAAAACGAAACTTAGATCAAATCTAGGGTCTGACAGAACAACAAGTGAAGTCAACTACGGTTACAAAACTCCAGACATTTTCCGACAAGGAGTGGTTGGTTATGAATCCGATTCGGTAGAGGATCCAAAGTAGGATTGCGTTTTTGTAAACATCATAGAGAGAAGAGAGAGAAGATATACCAAAGCGGCGATAGCGATGAAAAGACCGAATATAACGAAAATAGAAGTCACGTCGCCGCCGGGTTGTCCGACGGGAGGAGGACGTGGACCGGTTTCGGTTCTCCGTTGCTGAGGATCCATGATGATTGGGGAGAGATTTGCTTGGCTTGGCAAAGGAGGTTTGGTTTATTTTAACTTTATTATTAACCTGTGAGGTTTTGATAAAGTGTTGGGAGGAATCGAGGAAAGACTGTTTGTGTGTGTAATTTATGTCGAGCCGTTGGATGGAGTTTAGGGTCAACGGGTCGGATTACTTGTGAAGGAGTCAATACATATATAGATTTTAGTATTTTACTATAGTAAGACTTAAATAAAACGGTATCTAATGAGACTTTGATTAGCCATAGTAGTTGTGTTGGACAAATAAATTGGATTCAGAAATCTGAACCAAACTCATACCGATAAAAATGAAATCGAAATTATATGAACTCAACATAAATATCGAATTGATCTTTGATATTTTGAATTATAGATTTTATTCGAACCGAACTATGTAAATTTTTATTTTATACAAAAAATGTTATAGAAGTTTGTCTACTGATTAAGTATGTACACACATCCACAGTACAAGGAAGTATGTAACACACTGAATATCTGATTTTAAACAAAATTATCTAATGGAAACCGACTACAGATTTACAGAAAATGTAAAATCTTGGAAACTATGTTGTGAAAATGTGTGGTTTATGAAGAATGATTTTATGAAGGCATTTGGACTTTAATAACATAATCATAGGGAGGATTAGCCATGAGTTGTTATTGGTCACAAGACTGACACTCTCAATATTGATACCACATATAATACAAGACCAAAGAGATTACTATGAAAGAAGAAAATAACAAATCTTTTTGTCTGTTATTGAGTGAGGCTTAATATGTAAAAGCATTTCCAGTTCTTACTATCAAAATTATTTCCCTGTGTAAAACATTGTAAATAAACTGAGCAATGTTTTTGACAAAAAAAAAAAAAGACTTGAGTATTGGTTGAGAAAAATACAATTATGTGTAATTACTACGAATGAGTACTTGGGGATGTAGCTCAAATGGTAGAGCGCTCGCTTTGCATGCGAGAGGCACGGGGTTCGATACCCCGCATCTCCATTTGTTTTATTTTTTACACATTCCGACAATTTTTTGAAAATAATTTTTAACTTCTAGTTGCTCTGGCATAGATAAACAATCAAAAATGCATTACAATTACACATCCTAAAACATACCCCTCCTAAAGGTTCAGCACATTCACATTCTTGCTAATAAGTTGTGTACAAAACTCACTTTTACTATCATCTTCAAAAAATACATTAACAAGAAATAATCAAGTTTACAAAATTAAAGACCAAACAAAAATTGGAAGAATGTAAAATATAGAAGCCACAGTTCTGTTCAAGAGCAAAATTATAAAAGAAAAAGAAGAATCAAAGAATATTGAATCTAACTTCTTTTTTTTTCCTTCTACTCATAGCTAACAGCTTCCACTCATTACAAAACCTTCTTCAAGTTCTTCTTTACAGAGAACTTACCCCGTGAAACGACTGTGTGTAGTAGTGACTAGTGAGTGTTGTTTATGTGTAGTGTGAAAGAAGATTATATATATTTTAAAAATATTGCTTGCGTATTACTTTTTTAGAAATGGTTTTTGACAGACAAGAAGTCTTTGGTCGCTTCCGTCTTGAAGATCAATAACTCGTGCTTCCCAACGCACTCTTGTTGCCAGTGCACGTGCCATCTCTATTACTCCCACCTTGTCGCTTATTACAACCCATCCCTATTAAAATCAATCACACAAAGGTCAAGTTATCTTTTGGAATTTTGTGGATAAAAAAACAAGAATGCTAGTTTATAATATAAACCTCAGGGCGAAGAATCCTATCCATCTCCAAGAACAAGTCCATTAAGCTACACCGTTCTGAGCTAAGAAGCGTGAGAAGTTCATTAGCATGAAGCATGTCATATGTTCGTGGATACGTTGGGAATGGTTCACACCTGCGCATAGTATATATCGTTAAGGGTCTTCTCTAACGATTATTAAATGTGAAAGGAAACGTGTAATACACTCACCAATCATGTAGAACACCGGCAAAGCCACGGTCAAGTATAATAGGAAGAGTGTTAGGTGCATTGACAGGGACAACGTTCATCACCCAAGCAGACTTTCCTTGGTCGAGTAAAGCAGAGTTTAAGTTACCAAAACGAGCATTCATGTCCATCACATTGCGTATCATGTTGAAAGGAGGGAGAGGGTCTTCATCACCGGGTCTCTTTGGGTGGTCAGAGAATATCAAAGGTGTAAGTAAAGACCAGTAGTTTTTAAGTGCTGAAATCCATATCTGTGTATCCTCTAAGAACTCTTCAGGTTTTAAACCTGAAAACATTGAGAAAATATAAGTACCAAGTGAAACTGAACAATGAATGAGTACGAGGAAGAGACACTTTCCATGGATCTCAAGCTCAGCTGAGGTAGTTAATGAAACAGAAGATCTGTTCTGTATAGGGATCCAACGTTTACTAGTGGTTCCGCTTATACATGGAACCAATGGGTGGTAATAAGGAACACTATCTCCATCTTTGCAAAGAGGTATAGAAGCTTGTGACCTAAACACAAGAGAGAAAAAGCATCAGGCCATCAAGTAGAAAAAGCCAAGCATACACTTTAACAATCATACTTACCGAGACGAATAACAATTTGAATTTGTAGTTTTCTGCCAAAGGAAAGTCTCATCCTGCTGCCCTGTTAAACTCCAGCAGATTTTCTTAGACAACTCATTAACCCTTGTTGAGATGCTTGTCTTCTTCGTGTCTGGCAAGTTTCCCTGTGCTTTGTTAGTTGGAGAAGTCAAAACAAAGTACCCTCCTGGTTTCAGAACACGATCCACTTCCAGAAGTAGCATTGCATCTGCTTAAAAACGTCATCATGATCACCTAACTTCAAAGACAACTAACCAAACATGAGAGACTTGTTATTCTAATTACCTTTAATGTCCCAAGTAGTGCCACATTGAGCACAATGGACCATGTCAAAAGACAAAGCTGGATAAGGAAGCTGTTTTGAAAAGAAGTTGCCAATCATTGCAGGAAGACCTCTCTCTAAAGCTAACTGGACTTGACTCCCTGTTGCCTCATACTCTGCTATACATATAGGCATCAAGTTCAAAGACACTAGATGTGCACCAAAGCTTCCAAATCCACAACCAATGTCCAACACTGTCCGTATCTGCAAGCAAGAACCATAAGAGATCTCAGAAGCTGAAAAGTTAATGCATAAAGATAATAAGACTTACACCCGCTTGAGCAAACTCAGTATCACTTCCTAACCCTATCATCTCAGCAATTTGACGAGCATAGTCTTTAACCCCATCAAAGATCAAACCATCTTCCGAGTGAAAAGTTATCTGATTCTCTTCAAGCAACATTAACCTCGTTGTAACGGTTCCTGAAGAAAGCAACTGATCTTTAGTTATCTTAACGTTCCCACTCCATATAATATCTCTACCAAGTGGCCACCTAAGTGGTATCTTATACTCTCTCGGAGGACGAACTACACATCTCTCATTCTCTCTCTCAAACTCGCAATGCCGATCCAACTCATCACCTTCTTGAAGCCCAGCAAGTAAATTCCCTGTCACGTTATAACAAGGCACGTAGCTCTCTCTTTCTTTACCACAGAGAGGAAACTCTTTAAGACTAGTTCCTAAAGAGAGAGACCTCAGATCAAGATAATCAACAGCAGCTTGCTCTTTTATCCTCCTATAGTTACTATAAACGTTGGGAACTAGCGTTGAAGAAGTAGTAGAAGCATCGTATGACGTGGATGTAAGTGGTGCTAAAACGGTAACTAGAGCTACAACAGCGAGTATAAAGAAAAGTAACCCTCTGAGACCAAAAACAGAGGATACACTCTTGTACCAAGGAGGAGTCATATCAGAAACCAAATACTTGTGCTCATGAGATGTAAGATTCTAATAAAGTCCCAATCTTGAAGTAGGACATAGTCTCCCCATCTGATCAAAACCCCATTTGTGGAAAGCTAGAGGCTCACAATCCTAAGAGGAAAGGTTAGGTTTTTCCACACTGATGATCCAAATCAGGAAATGGGCACTCTTGATTTTAGCTCAATTGAAGATAAAGTCTCAAGGCAATGCCAATTTCGGTAAAAAAAAAAAATCGAATCTTGGCTTAAGCAAAACCAAACCACCTGCAGACAAATCTAGCAGATCAGACATAATTGGAAATAAAAAACATTACTTAAACTAGTTATAGTGAAAAACATAATCCAATTTTGGTTTTTTTTGTGTGTGTCGGCGAACATTTACGTTATCGTTAAGAAAGCTTCAGAATAACTTTAATAATGAGATCTCGAGAATGGGGAAGGAGATGAGAGAGATCAGATCAGGAAAGGGAAAAAGAAGAGGAATAATACACGACAAAGACGGTAATGAAACTAGGGTTTTTGAGATGCGTACCTGTGTAATAGATTTGCTGAAAAAAGGATTTAGCTTTTTCGACCAACAATGGCAAAAGTTAGAGGCAAGAGAATAAAAGAGTGAGAGAGATTCCGATTATGTATTAAAGTTTTTGTTCTGCTGTGCTTATAGAGTTCGTTTATGGTTTTTTTTCTTCTGTATATAGGTCAATTATTAATAAGTAGTACTGTTAAATGATATGATTAACAAAAGGCTAATTAATAAAAGTTATTATAAGTTTTTAATTACATCTGGAATAGTGTTTAAGTAACATTTTAAAACTAGAAAAGTCTTTTTTCTATTCGAGCAAAAAAAAAAACAGTAATGAAAGAAGCAGCGGAGGGGAATAATTGCGACTCGTGGTGCACTTTTTCTTTTTTTCCTGGCATTTAATAGATTGGTCCCTGTGTCTATTGGTCTCTACTATTTTATTATTTTCTGAAATTCACCACAAAAAGATCTTTATTAATTTTTTTTTTTGTTAAAGGGTTTATCTTTATTAATTACTGAGTGAGCAATAACAATCCACTAATAGAAATTCATGTTCTTTTAACTATTGTATACGTGTTAGGTTAAAGTTATAAATGTTCAGTTTTTTTTTTTTCAGTGATATGGATGAAATTCCTAGAAAGGATGAGTAATATCTGCGTTTGAAAATTCCATGTTAGTTTATTCATCTTTGTTGTTGTGATACCCAATATGTTTTTTTTTAAGTCTTTGCATCTCTAGATCTGCTTTAGATATATTGTGAGAACTGTCACTTATATATGTTTTGAATTTCTAAACAAAATTATGTTACTAGAGAATACTGTGATAAAACATTGATTTTAACTCTTCTTAATACTGTTTAACCAAAAAAATTTTTATACATATTAAGATTAGAAGTTTTTGTTTTGGATAAGGTGGTGGTCTAGTGGTAGACGAGTTTTAAGATTGATAGTCCGGATTCTTTATTATATTTTATTTTGTGGTCATACGGATATAAACATATCTTACGGTCCATTTGAATATCAGAATGAAAATCCATATGTGAGTCGCATCTCCCATTTAAAAATTAGTATGAATCTCTACATGAATCTAAGATATAAAAAAAAAACAAAATTTGTTTTGAGTTAATAAGTAGAACAACAATATAAATGGATTTCACATACTTTTCTTTTAAATTATTTTTTAATTTACTAAAATTAGCTTCATGTATTTGTAATGGTTTATGAAAAATGTTGAATGTACATATGCTCTAGGTTTTAATCCATACAAATGTCGGTACATTTGATTTGTCTATAATTCCAACAATCATGTCTATGTAATTAACTGAAAAAGTTTCTGTTGCAGAACAATAATTCAAGACTAGGATAAGACCTGCGCCTTGCGCAGGGTGAATATATGTAATTAAAATATAAAATTTTAGTATTGACAAATTTAAAATTTACATATGATTGTTTTTGTATGTATTTGAAATTTAAGAATTTTGAAATTTTTATATAATTATCTATACGTATGATAAGAAACAATTTTAGTTAGAAATGTAGATCAAATCTTAGAACTTAATGGATCTGATTTCATATATCTTTTCACTTTTCAGTGTTCGAGTGATGGAAAATAAATGGAGTGTCACTGGGGTTGATTGGTAGAGTATTAGCAAGTTCCCTAATGTTTTTTAAGAAGCAATTGGTAAAATATTTGCATTTAAAATATATAAAGTTTCAAAACTAATTTAATATAATTTGTTTATCTGTCTATTAATATCAGAAAATTATATTTTTTTACAAATTATTATTTAAAAAAAAATATTTTAAGTTTTTCAAATACAAATAAACAATTTAAAATTAATTATAGTCATGATTTAACATAACCATTATGATTTAAAAAAATTAAAAAGGTTAAAAATTAACAAATTAAAAATTAACTCAGTTTTATATCATGATTTAACAATTTAAAAATTAATTATGGTTATGAGAATTTTACGTTCACGTGTCAGTCCTATTTATCTTCCATTTTTCTCTTGCTATGTTTTTTTTATATTTTAGTTATTACTCGATATAAATATTTATTTTGAATTTTATTCTCATTTCGTTTGTTTTAGAAAATACTTAAGATTTAAAATAATTAAAGAGATACATACTTAGGTTAAGATCTGCACTTAATGCACAATAAGTATTTTATATTTATTATTTATTTTATATTTTTATGCATATTATAAATAATAAAATAATAAATATATATTAAATAATTAAGAAATCAGTTACTATTATGTAATAAATTGGCGTATGCATATAAATTTAACTATTACTCTTGTTTATTCACAATTAGGGTAAATAAATCAAAATAATCAATCTTATATATTGTATATGATATATAATTAAATTTAAATGATATAAACATANCAATTAGGGTAAATAAATCAAAATAATCAATCTTATATATTGTATATGATATATAATTAAATTTAAATGATATAAACATAGTAATATAACACATTTTTAATATGGATATTTATTAAATGAGGTTTCTACTCATATGATTTTATGATTATTTTCATATTTGTGTAACAAAACTTTACACCAACGAATATTTTTTAATGTGAGATGTTTAGTAGTTTCAATAATTTATAATCATTTTAAAAAAACAATGACATATTTCAAAATTAAATTATTAACTTTTCAATATATGTTCAAGGCAAATATCAAAATATAAGTATGTATTTTCATATTATGTATAGTTTAATTAAAATGATATTAAATATATATCAACTAAAATTATTTCTTCATATGGTCTTATAATCATTATATTTTAGTATAGAAAAAAAAATAAAACCTTGATCTTAAAAGTTTATGTGGGACTTTTAACAGTTTTAGTAATTTATACTCATTTTGAAAAATTCAAAATACAACATACACAAAAAAAATCAAGAATTTTATTATATGATTACTGTAATTATGTAATTTTTTTAATAATAAAGAAAGAAACAAAATGAAAAAAATATACAGATTGTTATCAAATCTTTATTGTTTAAAATCATTAATTGTCATATATATATTTTGATCACATTAGGTAATTCCGTAGGTTTTATTTAAGGAAAGTATGCGAAATAATAAATATTTGATATATGCGACCAACTATAACCTACGGAATATTATATTGCTAGAGAATATAATTTTTAAACTATACAATATATCACATGCTCTAGAATCCTTGGGATTTGAAATAGAAGCCAAAGAGCTATGCCACGTAGGATTGAGGTTATTTTTAATTCTTACAAACTTAAGGTTACAACTTTTTAAATGATTCTCAAATAATATATAGGGGATTATCAATGGGAACATAAGTCATGCTGTCATAGTATCATTCTTCAAAACATATATAACTGTTTCTTTTTATTTCCCAAACTAAGAGAGGGGGAAAGAAGGGGGGGGGGGGGCAAAGCATTGTGATGGTTATAAGTTTATAATAATAATTTAGATGTACTTTAATGTAATAAGAAAGCTTTACAAAACATGTGTTGCAAACAAGCAAAAACAAGCCAGTTGTATGCCTCTTCCTTTTTCACTGGAACCCAATGGCCATTATTAGATGATCCTATATTCCTATGACTAGAAAACCTAATAAAATCACTCCCAAAACCATTACACTTGCTCCTTGAGTGTAAGTAACATCACCACATTTCAATTTTAGATTTAGATCCAAAAGGAAGTGAGATAATATTGGAAACAGAGGAACTCGAAGGGGTGACCTGAGAACACAAAACTCCATGGTTTCATTTGAAATCTTACAAGAAACCAGATGATCCGTGTTCTCATGACACTCCTTTGAGATTTCACCACCTGTTGTTACTTGTTGTTCTTCCCCTCTCCATACATGATACATTACATAAATGTTTATTCCTTTTATATAATATACATAGTTTCTTCTTATTGATCTTCGTTTTTGTTCACTTATACAATGTCAATTAATGTCATTACAATGTCGTCATCTTGTTGACAGAAAAAAAAAGATTGTAGGATTAGTGTGGTCATCTTCACGACACCTAAATAGAATAGTTGAAACAACGTAGGCCTCAGAACAAATAATCTACAGCATATTTGGTCTCTATAGTAAGCCCATTAAGCGAAGGGTTGGGCCTTTTGGGCTAGAAATTAAGAGAATTATCACAGAGTTTAGAAATAAATAATCACTTATTAGGTCTCTTCCTCTGAAACGAAACAAAGCTTTTTTAATCAAATCCTCTCTGACAAGACAAGAAGCCATGGAAGTTGAAACCGATGCCACGAAGCAGATCAGAGACGAGGAGCTCTTCATAGCGGCGGAATCTGGAGATTCCTCGGTGTTCATGTCTTTATCTCCTCAACAGCTCACCAAATCTCTCACTTTCAGAAACGAAGACGGTCGCTCCCTCCTCCATGTCTCAGCTTCTTTCGGTCACTCTCAGGTTTGTAAGTTAAAACAGAAGCATAACCTGTTTGGTTCCTGACACGCAAAAGAAACTAGAAGGAAAAATAATGTGTTTAGGGATTAGTGTCAAGTTTAGTTATTGTAACTGCATTAGGCTTATGGATTATGTTGTTGCAATTTTTTTATTTTTTTTTGGTTTTAAAAAAAATTCGATATTGAGAGATTATGGTTGTGGGATTTTGCAGATAGTGAAGTTGCTATCAAGTGTAGATGAATCAAAGAATGTAATCAATGGTAAAGATGATGAAGGATGGGCTCCTTTACATTCTGCTGCTAGTATCGGCAAGGCAGAGGTCGTTGAAGTCTTATTGACTAGAGGTTTGTGTTGTCAATCTTGTTAGATTCCTGTAAACAAGTTGTGTAATCTTTTTCATTAAAAGCAGGTTCTGTGTGTGTTTATTTTATGGTTAGCTCTTGTCTAAGTTACTCAAGTGATTCAAATTCTACTTGGATGATTGATCTGACACTGGAAAAATATAGATTTATTGCATATAAGTTCCATGTTAAAGTGTGTTATACTTCTACTGATTAATTTTGAAATTATTCTGAAGATGTGAAGTTTGATGATGGATTTTTGTTTTTTTTTGTGTTTTTTTTTGTGTGTGTTCAGGTGCTGATGTGAATGTGAAGAACAATGGTGGTCGCACTGCTCTTCACTATGCTGCTAGTAAAGGATGGTTGGAAATTGCTCAGCTTTTGCTAGCACATGGCGCAAAGATTAACATCACTGACAAGGTTTGTGTAGCTTTTATGTCTTTTTATGAAACTTCAGCTCTAAAACATATATTATGGTGATTTTCAGGTGGGTTGCACTCCGCTTCATAGGGCAGCAAGCACTGGAAAGACTGAAGTTTGTGAGTTTTTGATAGAGGAAGGAGCAGAGATTGATGCTATGGATAAAATGGGTCAAACTCCACTCATGCATTCAGTTATCTGTGATGACAGACAAGTAATTTTTCAATCTCTAACATGACATTTGAAGTGGAAGTTTTCTCTTCAAGCTGAAGTCTCTCTGTGTTTCCTTGGAACAGGTTGCGTTTCTTCTTGTTAGACATGGTGCAGATGTGGATGTGGAAGACAAGGAAGGTTACACTGTTCTAGGCCGAGCTTCCAACGATTTCAGACCAGCACTAATAGATGCTGCCAAGGCTATGCTTGAATAATTTATTTACTCTAAATACAGTAGAACTTAATAAGGATGATTCTTTGTTTGTTCAAGTTTGCAAGATGTTTCTGCTTTTTCTACAAAAAAATGTTATAAAAATCTTTGTTCTCTCTAGAAATATTCGCACGTGCATTAGCTGTTTATATGAAGCTATGAACTAGACACAATCTTCTGATCAAGCTCGAATTAATTGATATTTTATTTCAGTTTAGAAGCCTTGAAAATTTGAAAACACATGAGAAAAAATAATATTTATTTATTATTTAATGAAAAATATATATATATATATATGCTCTTCCCTTATCTCCTAACAAGTCATTTACCATCCTCACAAAAAAATCTAGAGGCAATGACGCAAACCAAAATCTCTGGTTTCTCTCGGCCAAGCTTCACTCTCCATGAAACAAAAGTAGCTCATCAGCCTCGTATCTCCATGGTTTTATCATCAGCATCGCCATCACCGTTTAAGCACCTTCTCTGCAAGTCCACCTTCCCTCTCGCTGCCTCACTCACCCTTCTCCTCTCTCCCTGCACCGGTAACAACAGAACTATCCTCAATCTTCCCCTCATTCAATACATATCTCTGTATCATCGATCACAGTTTTGTATATGTTCGGATCTTGCTATACAGCTCAAGCAGGCCTAATGTCTGGAAGTCCCGGCATAGAATCAGTCCCTGGTCCTGAATTACCAAAGCTCGAGTTCCTTGAACGTTTCAATGGTACTTAACCACTAATCTTTCAAGTTCTTGCTATTCTTTCAGACAAAAGTATGCTTCAAGAACTATGCTTCTTAATTGCAGCTAAAAACCAAAAGTTCTACGCTGAAAACGATTCCAGATTCAGAGAATCTCCAATTCTCAAGAAACTACTCGAAAACTCCAAACTAAACAAAGAAAAGTAAGTACAAACTCTCATCATTTGAATCCATTCATACACATTTGGTCTCTATGTGACACAGAGACAAAACTTTGAAACATGGTTTTGTTGTGTCTGTTTGTTTCAGGAATGAAAGAGCGATTCAAGACAAGTACTGTCTAAGAGGAGCAGAATGGGGAGTAGGAGACTGTTCAACCAACGGAATGACAGATGAAGAAAAAGAACAATTCATCACAATGTTGAAGAAGAAGACTGGCATTGAATAAAAAAAACTTTCGGAAAATCACATTTATGTATTTAGCGTTTTTTTTTATGAGAACGTGATGAATCTATGCTAAAATGAAATACACAAAACATGACAAAAACACAAACCATTTTCCACTTACTGATCCGTGAGTTTAAGAGAAAGTGATGCAATCACACTCACAACCAATAACTTATCAGCTTCAAACCCTTCATCTTCCTTCTCAGGTTTCAAATCAGCAAACAACCGAAGAATCTTGTTCCTATTCGCAACGAGAATCGCCACAATATCCTCTGGTTTCCTCTCGTTGGCTACAAACAGTTTGAAGATATGAAAGGCTTCTAACTGAATGTTCTTTGTTGGTTCTCTGAGTAGATTCATCATAATCCTCAAATGCTCCAAACTGCTAACATACCGAACCATCACACCCGAGTTAGACCGGTCCATCAACACATCTCCCAACAGTTTCGAAGCTTGTCGCTTCGTGAAATAACTCCCTTTCTCCAATAGCCTCGTGTTATACTCCGCGAAGAACCAATCGTAGTTCTTGGAGAGATAGTCGGATACTGTTGATTTGTGCCTCGTTAGAAGCTCGCGGAAGATCTTGCTCGCGTCCGTGGCTACATCGAAGTAAGGGAGCTGGACGTAGTCGAAGAACCTTTCGAGGTTCTTCGACTCGAGGATGTACTTGGCAACAACCTGATGACGGACGCATTCTTTGAGCATTCCTGTGTAATGCAATGCTAATTGGTGGTCTTTACCGATTCCTTCGACTAGGGTGTCGATCACGTCCAAATTCGATTCGAGATATTCAGAAGCAACGAGTCGGCTTCCGACTTGTTGCTTCTGGAGATTCGCTACGATCTGAGTAGCGTCTTTCCTCGCCTCTAGGTCGAGTTTCGGAAGAGACTTGATCAATGGGCGAAGCGTGTCTTCTCTGAAAAACTCTTGCGTCAACGAGAGGCACGCTTCGGCGACAGGCTCGGCCTCGCTGTTTCCGTATAATATCGATTTCAATTCCCTAATGTTTCTGCAGATCTCCGGGTAGATCCCTAATCTTTTCGAGTGTTTCGTGTCGATTTCTTCGACGTTGTTTTCGGACAAGGCGATGAGATCTCGTGTCTGACGGACTATTTCACCAGGAGGACGAGGCTTGTGTTTGAAGAGACCTTTCATCCTATTGCTTCCTCCTCCATGGTTGTTTCCTAGGTTACCGCTGAAAGTGCTAAGCTTCCCGCTGAATGTAATGCTGACTTCATCGTCGTAGGCGGTGCTGGAGACGCGTAGATGGCTCCCTGTACGGTGGTGCTTTGACGACGGAGAGACATCGGAGCCTCCGTGACGCCAAGCACCACCGATCTTGGAGACACACGCACCTATTGTTTCCCCCTTGGGGTTTAAACAGCAATGAAAAAGAATCAAAAGAACACACAGACAAGTAATCTCTATCTTTTTCTAGGGTTTTTTTGTTTTGTTTAAAGGGTTTCGCTGCTAAATCAACATTGTTTCTCTGAAATCTTCAAAAAAGGAGAGAAGATTGATGAACAAGGAAGAAAGAGACAGCGCTAAAATTGGGGTCTTGATGGGCTAATTTTGCCGCGCGGATTTTTCGGTGTTGTTTGTTTTAAGAATATCTTTGGTGTCTTAATTAGATTAAAAGGTTAATTTTATTTCTGTAAAAAATATATTCAACGATTATTATGCGTGTCCGTGAAGTTATATAACGGATTTGGTCAAACATAAACTAAATTTATTTGACTAACAATAAATGTATATACATAGAATTCAAATTTATCTTCAATTGAGTATCAGAATAAAGACTGTTAAATACTCTCTCCATTTATTTTTATTTTTTTATTTTTTTTGTCATCGTCTATCTTCTAAGATCAAGTGGTAGTCGGTCTTCAGTCGTTCCGAAGAGACACTCTGTTCGACTGGGTCTGATCTATATGGGAAAAAAGAACACCGCTGCTTCTCGCCTCCTTAGTGAGAGAATCTGCACGTAGATTCATATTGCTGGGTATGCGGGTAATGCTGAACTCCGAAAAATCAGCTTGTAGATGTCGGAAAGAGACTAGCTCAGAATTAAAGGACGGCCAGTCAGTAGGATTTGTAATCATGTTCACCAAGTCGGAGTAATCCATCTCTATATGGATCACGGTGCATAGTAACTCTCTTATATTTGACATTTTAGAGAAAACAAATTATTCCAAATTATTTGACGTTGAGAAGATTTGTAGAACAAGATAGATTAATCTCATAAAACTTTATTTAGACATAAATAGTTTCTTAAAGATTTATTTGATGCAAGGAAGATTAAATAAGAAATAAACTTAGAGATGTCACCAAGAGATTAAAGATGAATTGATTTCATACAATGAAAGGAGAATGCTTAAAGCGTAGGGTTATGTTATTACATTGCCATTGAAGATAAATGATACTGTATTTCTTTTGAAACAGACCCTAGACATGAGGGCTAATGGACTTTTTCTATGATAAAATATTTTCAGGTGTGTTCTAATAAGCGTTTCTAATTTTCTATATAAAATTTATTAATAACTAATGCTAGATAATCAATGATGTAATAATTTTTATTTTATTATTAGTTGAATTGTGATTAGGTAAATAACTAATACTAGTGTTTTTGCTTAGAAAATAAAATAAAATTAAATATTTTTTAATCTATGTGCATAATTATAAAATGTCAAATATAAAAAAATGGAAGAGTATATACTAATCTACAGAAATATTGGAGAGAAAAAATAACAGGCAAAAATTGGATCATATGCATTGGTCCTTAAATGGGCTTGAGGCGCAATAAGAGTTGGAAAGGATAATTGATTTAGTGACTGTGAGTTCAGCAAATATTGACTCGCTGCAGAATGGATGCGAATCGAACAATTTACAAAAATTAATTAGCAGATACAGATATGGATTATGAGTATTTTATATGGGACGGATACGAATTGGTGAATTTTGAATGATGGTCACCCGGTATGAGTTGAACTCTATACCGGTCTTGATCAAACAACCATGGAACCACTTCCCTTTGTGTAAAACACCAAGCTTTATGCAAGCCGTAACTATTGATTACTTGTAATTTATGTGTCATTTAAATTTATGGAGACTTCCATTTATATGACATCAATCAACTTCTCATCTTGCTTTCAAGAACAAAAAAAACATAAGAGTAAAATAGTTAATTTAAATGCTTGAAACAAATTATGTCTTTACTTTAACTAGTTTGCTAATATATGATTTCAGTATCTGTCCAAGTTTTTTTTTTTGCTTATCAAAACAACAAATGAAGTAAACATGTAAGCGACTAACCGAACACTACATTTGGAATATATTATTAATTAGAGATGTTCGATTACAATCTCCCCATGCAATCATCATTTTATTATTTAAAAAGTCTGTATATATTAATTAATAAAAAAAATTATTTTTGTTTAAAGGTTTTACCAATTAAATTGTTAGTCACGTAGCGGCTGGCAATAAAATAAAGATTGTTGTTAGAGAATGTCTTCTCTACATATATGCATATTCTCTCGTCTGCATTTTGTGAATCTTCTTAAAATGTTTGTCTTCTTTTCTCCTCCATTGAAGGACACCTAAAGACTATATATATTAAGCATCAATCGAATTTCTATACATATATTTGTTCTTGCACCAAAGAAGCATGGTTATGAAAACGACAGAGAGAAGCTATTCCGTGGCAGCAGTTGCCTTGGTCGTCGTTATGACTACGTATCTTGTTGCTCTGTTCTCCACCGTGTCCGACCTTAAGTTGATTCCTTCGCTAACTTTGTCTCAAGGTATGTCAAATATCATCAAACCACTTCTTCTTCTTCTATATGAATGGACGACCAAACCTTTTTTACAGAAAATAATAATGAGCGTGTATGTTACATCTTTTTTTTGTTTGTTATTAACTCACAAGTAGGCAGTTTTACTTTAATCTTTATGCTAAATCAGACTTTATAAAATCAATAAATGGTATACGACTCATCGGATTAAGAGCATGATTAATGGAAAGGATATTCAGATGATTTTTTGAATATAAGAAACCGTCTCTTAAGTTTTAATTAAAAACTAAACCGATTTTTAAATGTTTTATTTAAAAATTGGTTCTTAGTTTTTTACTAAAAGTTAAGAAACGATTTCTTATATTTCGATAAGAATCTCATCCTAAAAACTTCCATTAGTCATGTTCTAATGCCTTTTTATTTCATGCAGTGACGGCCAAAATAACTTTTGGAGCGTCGATTAATAAAAAAACGTTTACTATGTAGGAACGTTACAACAAACATGGGAATCAATAAAAACGCTTACTATGTAGGAACGTTACAACAAAAAAGGGAATTAATTAAAAAACGTTTACTATGTAGGAACGTTACAACAAACATGGGAATCAATAAAAGCTCCACAAGCGATGACTTCATCAACAATCATATGTGATCGGTCCGACACTAACTACGACCTCTGTTCAATCAACGGCTCGTGTCATCTAGACCTAACAACCCAAACCATCAGTCTCCTGGACCCCACTTTCACCACATCAGCACCGATTGTCGAAAAGATCAAACCATACCCAAGAAAAGCAGATAACTGGGTCATGTCTAAAATCCAAAAACTAACACTGACCTCAGGCCCAATGAGCCTGACCCGATCATGTAACATAACACATGATTCGCCGGCCATTGTTTTCAGCGCCGGAGGTTACACCGGAAACATCTATCACGACTTCATGGATGGTTTCATTCCGCTTTTCATCACGGCCAACTCGATCTACCCTGACCGCGACCGCGACGTCATCCTCGTGGTAGCGAATCCTAGAGAATGGTGGATGCCAAAATACATCGACGTTCTAGGTGCGTTAAGCAAACACAAACCCATATTACTCGAGAATAAAAATGCTTCTATTACACATTGTTTCACTTCAGCCACTGTGGGCCTAATATCATACGGGCCAACGTTAATGGACCCAAACAAATTACCCAACTATGGTTCATTAGTGGGTTTCCACAATCTTTTAGACAAAGCGTTCAACACAAGTCTATCCACGTTCAAACCCCAAAAGCCTCGTCTCGTGTTGCTCAGTCGATATGGCAACATTGGTAGGGTGATATTAAACGAGGAGAAAGTCAAAATAATGCTTGAAGACGTTGGGTTTGAGGTTGTCACATTTAGACCAACGGGGACAACGAGCATGAGAGAAGCGTATAAACTTATAAAGTCGAGCCATGGGATGGTTGGGGTTCATGGTGCAGCATTAACCCATTTGTTGTTTCTTAGACCAGGTTCGGTTTTTGTTCAGGTTGTTCCGGTTGGTGTAGGTTGGGTGGCTAAGTGTTATGGATCGCCTGCTAAGGCGATGAAGTTGGAGTATACGGAGTATACGATTGATGTGGAAGAGAGTAGTTTGGTAGAGAAGTATAGTAGAGATGATTTGGTTTTGAAAGATCCTATTGCTTTTAGTAAAAATGATTGGGGTGTGACTAAAAAGGTTTATTTAAAAGAACAAGATGTTAGATTAGATGTTAATCGGTTTAGGAGTCATATGAGTAAAGCTTATGAGAAAGCTAAATTGTTTATGGACTTGAACGGTTGATTTTACGTTTATGGTTGTAGTAATGTGGTTTCTGAGCATAATATGTTTAAAATATATATATATATATATATATATATATATGTATATATATATATATCCATTTGTTTGATGGTCAGTTTGAATGAATATACAAATTATTTTGTGTGTTTATGTGCGTATATACTTATAAATTATAATAAATCACAATATGATTCACCCAAGAAGGTAAAATCAAAAAATGATTTGAACTAAAGTGAACCAAAACTAAACTGAAATTGAGATTTAGCATCGCTTGGCCAAAAATGAAACTGTTTTTTTTCTTTTTAAATGCTTTGTTAATCCGCTGCTGAGCTAAGATGGTGTACTGATTGTCTAAATTCATATTTGATTCAGTAACTGACTAACACAATTTATGAGTATCATTATCTGTCTTGTGCTCATAGGCTTTGTTAAAGAAGAAGACATGTGAGATTTAATGAATCTTTCTTTTTGGGTTAATGAACATGTTCTGTTTCATGGTTACTTAGTTACCACAAGTTTCTATCAGACAGAAACTCGAGACAAATTATACTTTCAGTAACATTTTCTTCCACGTTGGAATCTTCCGTGTAAACTTAAGCTTTAGGATGTAATGTCAAAGCAAGATTCAAGAGTCTGGTCGTATGTGGATTCTTTTGGTTCTTAAGACAATGGTTGCATTTTGTGGATGAAGTTTCTTCTTGTAATAATAATGTTTGTACAAAAATAGAATCTTCCATGGAAGATGATTCCGCATAAATCTTGATTATAATATGCATTTATAACATATTGTACCACAAATCACTCATAATCCACAAACTAAAGATCATTCATACACATTACCAAACCTTAGAATCATCAAGACACAAACACAAACCCTGTCCGATTCAGTCAAACACAAAGGAAGTTAATACACAAACTAGCTTTATCATACACAGACTTTTTAAACCCTAAACCCTTAAAAAACCTTCATTATCATCATCATCATAAACCATCATACATTGTTGTAAGCCACAGAGACCAAATGAGGAACTTTCCCATCATCAAACGGCAAACTCACATACTCAGCAATCTCCCAAGCAAGCTCTCCACGCACAGCTTTACAGTACATATACATCACAGTCGTCGCCGCCACATAATACAACATCAAAACCGTTAGAACCGCTGACGTCACCACGAACTGCACCACGATCCACAGCTTCCCACCATCATCCATCTGACCAGAAGAAGCAGACACAGTACTGATCCAGAAAAAACCAAACTGCGCCACGGCGAAGACGAGGATCATAGACATAGAAACACTCTCCATCCCTTCGATCAAACTTCTGCTTCTCTTCAACGGAGTTAAACCCCAAGAAGACTCGATAACCACAACGGCCCAGGAGAGGATCCATTTAACATAGAGTCTGACTACGACTGCGAGTGAGATTACTATTACAACAGTTGAAACTTGATCGAAATTGATTAAACGAGTTAGCAAGAAAGCTGCAAACCCTAGAATCGAGAAAATCGCAATTACGATTAAATTGGAAGTGATTAGAGTAGCGAGAAGAGGGAGGAATGATCTGACACTTGATCTAACAGCCGAGATGAGTTTCACGGGGCGGCCGTAGAAGCCTTGGTACACGCTGTAAGTGATTGATCCGATGGCTAAGAGGTTGAGGACGGTGACGAGGAGGATGTAAGGGATTAGGAGGAGGAGGAGGGTTTTGGTGTCGACGGCGTCGTTTTGGAGTGTGGAGCGGAGGAGGGAGACGCTGTTGTGAGGAGAGGAGGATTGGTGGAGGATGAGGCGGGAGACGGAAGGGTAGACGGTGACGGAGAAGGAGAGAGGGAGGAGGAAGAGGACGGAGAGGGCGAGGAAGTGGCGTGAGTGGGCGTTGATTATCCGTTTTGATTCCGTTAAGACGGTACAGAGATTCACTGTTGGAGGAGGGAGAGGAGATGGCGTCGCCATTTTAGAGAGAAGAGTTGAGAAATGTGAAATGACTATGACTGGCTACTTGCTTCAAGAATCAAGATGATTAGAATGGATAGGGTCGAACCGGGTCGGGTTAGGGGGGTGGGTCGGGTTAATTTCTTTTTTTTGGTTATTTTGGTCTAAACCGGAAGAGGCTTGTAATAAATTCCAAGGATCAAATATGAAGACTCAGTAACACACGATTAGTGAAATAGATCAGAAGAGAGATCATAAGAGCATTTGCATCAAGAATTTTAAAGAGGGAGTCACACAAATTCCAAAAAAAAAATTAATATATTAATCTAATGCAGATGAATCCACGTCACGTGAGTTCACCCCAAACCCGTATCAACACTATTTACGGGTTCCACTAACACGTGACGACCTACGATTGATTGGTTGAGTTTTTCTTTTTAAATGTCAAAGGAAAAAAATAAAAAATAAATAAAAAATTTTGGGAATCGGGAATTGAGAGGTTTATTAATGCAGATGCTCTTCGTACGCATATTTGTTAACCATTTTTACAATCTTGGAACCATTTTTTCATAAATGATATAACTATGCATGCCATTTATATCTGATTATATCCGTGCAGCATGAAATAACAATTATGCATAAGCACTAAATTTATCAAAAATACATAACACAATTCATCTTCTTTCTGTTTCACTTTAAATGATGTTTTAGAATTTTTTCTATGCAGAAATGAAATGTTATTTGGTGTTCGTAACAATTTGTATTCGACATTATAACATATTTATTGAATTAACTATAGTGATTATTATTTTCTAAAACTAGATTAATTAAATAAAAATTACTAGTTTATTTAACTAATGTATAAGAAAACTTTAAACATCATTTATTTGAAAATACATTTATTTTGAACAAAAAGAGTATCACAGGAGCATTTCCCAAAGTTGCAATGAATATGAAGTTGATCCGAGACTTCTGAAGTCTATGAAATCATCTTTACCAAAATATTTATAAATTTCCCTCCGAAAGTAGAAATACTAGAGACCAGTAGTGTCATTATCAGTATGTCAGATATTTATTCTCAACTAGCAAAATATCTTTACAGGATTTTTTTAATAAATATAAATTACACCATATATATAAAATCCCAAATAACACATAGCAGAAGAACATTATCCAAAAATTATGAACAGAAACGCAGAGGCAGAGCAAGAAGAAGAGTTCAGTGAATGGGTAGTGATCCAAACCTCACCCACAATCTCACTAAGTGAAGCATCTAGCCCTCTAAGCTCACCGATATCACAACCAAGCCAAGGCCGTGATGATGATGATGAAGATTCTGTTGTCCCCGTAGTAGAAGAAGATGATGATAAATCCTTCTCCAACGTGAATCAGTCGCTTCCGTGGCGGATGATTGAGTCTGCCAAGAAGCGTTTGAAGGACTCAGGAATTTTCGAGAGGGCGCCTTGTAATTACCTGAGTAGTACAAGGGTGTTCTGGTCATTGACCCTCGTTTGTGGCTTCTCCGTGGTCTCGAGTCTTGTTTATGTGAAGGTCGTGAGGTGGTGGAGACGTTTACAAGAAGAGAAGATGAGATTTGTGCTTCTTCAGCTCAGAGAGAAAGATCAGGTTTGTGTAAACTGATTACTCAAAAATACACTTAATCTTTCCATTTTTAGTAATATTTTTAAAAGTTAGTTTGATTCTGAATGGAGTTCTGTGATTTGTAGAAAATAAAGGAGCTTATACTTGAAATTGGGAGATTGAACGAGTCACTATTATCCCGACGCAGAGTTCGAGTGGTTCGGATCGTGTGACGAGACGAATGTAATTAATTGTATTTTGCTATTTGTTGTGTGACTATTATACAAAGTTACGGACATATTATTGCTCATGCGTATGTAAGTAATGTAATGAGAAATACGAAATCAAAGGAATATAGAGTGGAATACAGTTTACGTTTGGTGTTTCTATATATGTTTCTTTAAAATATCATTTGACTGAATGTTTACAAAGATATGTGTTTATGAATTTTATATTGTCAATAGAGATATGATGTTTATTGGGTATCAAACACATAAAGATTTGCATTTGAAACAGTATATTAAGCTTTTGCAGATTTCAAATTACAAAAAATGCATAGCTGCTCACAAGAAAATGGTTTGAAAAGACCAACTTGAGGGTTTGTAAAATGTAATTTTGATGCATGTTTGATTAAACTAACACAGCAGCTGCTGGTTGGATTGTTAGAAATGGAGACAGTCGCCCTCAGGTCAGTTGTTGTTCTTATAACATCTACAGTGTTGGAAACACGTAAAGCCACTCACTATTACTAGATACGCATCATGGGGATGCCTTCACTTCATTTGAAGAAGACTGTAAAATGTTTGATTCACATATTAAATGGAAACACTAAGGACTACAACATTGAGAACATTTGTCATGATATCTATTTATGAAGTAAAAGATTTAGAGAATGCTATTTTAACATGATACCTATTTGTACGTAAAACATTGAATTGGTACATTTTCTTGTTAGGAACTAAAACATGTTTAGTCAAAAATAAGAACTAAAACATGTTGTAAAATAATTTACGAACTTCAATTTTTTGACTAAATACTTCAAATCGTGTTGGTGAAGTAGATGAAAAAGTAATAAAAAAACAAGAGAAAACAATCAAATAAATACTGAACTTATACAGTTTTGCCACAAAAATGAATTCTTCATTAATCCAAAAAGTATCTTTGACTGAGAATTTTGATAGAGGATACCTACTAAGATAAGACAATGGTTGGAATGATGTTTGTAAGTACAAACTTGAGGAAGATACATAATTAACACAATTGGGGAAATGCTGGCAAAAATTCAATTCCATTATCAGCAAGCATCATCAGCCATGCTTTTGGTATCTCTCGAGTGGAGTTAGAAAGATATGTAATTTGTGTTATTTGTCATTCAATGGAACGATTAGAGAAAAGTTTTAGAGAATCTAAATCTCTTTATGGGATTTGCAGATCTTTTTCTTCATAGAGGTTTTATAACTGTGTGTAAAAAAGAGGTTTTATAACCCAAACTCAAGATACTAATGCAAATTAAAATTTGTAGGAATTGCAGCCCCAAATACGAATGTAAAAATGGGCAAGATGGTTCTTCGAATGATGGTTTACTCACAAATCACTTCTCGAGAAGTCAATAACTTCTTCTTTATGAATCTTTTCTAGGCAATCGATAACATCGTTGTTGAAACCATTGTATTTGTTACACAGTAAATAAGACATATTATTCTACTTTTATATATTACTAATAGACAAGAAAATGCAAAACTTATTTGTTCTTAGAAAGTTGTTTGCACAGAGATTGTCCATCTTCATCAGGCAATTGATGATAGCCTACTTTCTTGCATTTTTCTTACCCAGAAGCGTCAACACTCTTCTGCAATTATCAAGCAAAATAAGGAAATGATATATTCATATCATTAATAAACTTACTAAAAATCGATCAAACTGATTACTAAACTTACCAAAAATCAACTGAGGTGCTTAACATATTTGTATATCTTCATCAACAAGGAGTCGGTGTCATAGTCAGACCGACGATAAAGATGGAAAAAAATTCCACGGTAGTAATCAGTTTCACCAAGATTGTCTTTTTACCTGAAACTATAAAAATAGTTATTAATCAAACACCGACATAATCTGAATATTATATAACTATATACAAAGTTCATTAACTATAAATTTATATAACAATTAATCAAACACTGACATAATATAACTACTTACAAGTTCCTTAACTATAGGAATCATGAATACAAGATTGTCGAGCACACCAAAATCGATTGAAAGATCAACAAGACAAGATACAAAGACATAAGGGTTGATATTTAATTGAAATAAGAAAATAAAACTATATTAAATCAAATAGAACTCTCTCGGCCCTCTCCCTTGATTTCTACCCCTCAATGATACAAGTTATGGCATCTACAGTGTTGGTAAACGGAAAGCCACTCACTATTACTAGATACACACAACATGTTTGGAGCATGGGGATGGATTCACTTCATTTAAAGAAGACTGTAAAATGTTTGATTGACATATTAGATGGAAACACTTAGGACTATAACATTGAGAATATTTGTCATGATATTTATTTATGAAGTAAAAACATTGAGTTGATACACTTTCTTGTGAGAAACTAAAACATGCTTACTCAAAAAGAGGAACTAAAACATGTCGGAAATAATTCATGAACTTTAATTTATTTTTTTTGACTAAGAAAGTACAAGTAGACAAAGTAGTAGAAAAAAAAAAGAAAATAGTCAAATAAATACTGAACTTATCCATTCTTTCCAAAAGGAAAAACACATTTTTCATCAATCCAAAAACATATAAATTTGTGTTGACCGAGCCAGATCGAAATCTTGTCAAGGGTCTTTTAAATTTTGTTGAGATTTTGGTTTTCAGTTTTTCTTGGACTACACAATAGATCAAATAACATTTTGGATTCGGATATGCTTTATACAATGCTACAAGATTCATTCATGATTTTACATCTTGGTTCGGATAAAAATTCATGTTTTTGTTTGGTTTGGATTTTTGGTTTATTTCTAATTTTTCTTTCAACCAAAATAAGTTTATAATATTGTGTTGGATTAACGAAAGGTTTATGTCTTTTTAGCAAAACTGTGCAAGTTCAATATTTTTACGAAGAATTTTAATAAAATTTTATTTTAAGCAAAACAACATCGTTGTTGATTTCCATTTAAAAAATGTTGGTTAGATGAAAATTAACCATTAAAACGACAAAATTAGTGTATACGATTGCAATATTCTTCAAAGCTCCTTATTTAAGTGAAACAAGCGTTGACCATCAGATCGTCAGATGACTCAGATTCCTCCTTTGTCGCTCTTCTTTTCCGTAGTTGAAGTTTCAAGAGTTCATCTCATTTCAAGATTTAAGAGTGAACTCTCTTGTAGTTTCAGAAAGTTTTGCCTAGTGTGTTATTGTGATTATTTATGGGTTAGTTTGTTTCTTTTGTTTTGAGTTTTTTTTTTTTTTGCTTGTTTATGAAGGGTATGCTTTGAGCGGTATCCGTCTTACTATCTTCTTGGAAACTCGTGAGGGTCAATGATAGGTATAGAAGCTGAGTTGTCACAAGAAGACTTATCGAGTAGAGATGAGCTGAGCTGGCACTGCTGCAAATGCAGAGACACTCCTCTTATTTGCCTAAAGATCCCAATTACAAGATGCCTTGACAACAAAGGTAAAGAAGTCTATTTATACTATCTCATAACCGGCTCTGTTTCTTGACTCTCAAGTTGTTGCAGCAGTGTCAGCTCAGCTCATCTCTACTCGATGAGTCTTCTTGTGCAAACTCAGCTTCTGTACCTATCAATCAACACACCTCAGCGCTCTGCTGGACGACTAGAGCTGAGAATTGCAATCTTCAACCTAAGCCATTAAGGAGGAGCTTGATGGACTTGAGGAGTATGTACTCATTCAAGGAACTGGACTACTTTAACATGTATGATTGGTTATTTTTGCTGTTTGGTAGTTATGTGGAGAACTGCAAGGTGATTAAGTGTCCGGTGATGATTAAGTCTATCTTCTTGCATATCCCAGATGGAAGTGAATGGGAAGAGAAGCTTCAAGCAGCCCTGCCTGGTCTTCTCAAGGACATATTTGTTGTGATGAAGACTAAAGAAGTGCTACTGCAAAAAAGTATTCTAGGAGGAGACAGCATGTGAGAATTAGTTAATTAACATGGCATTATGTCAACTACATTGCTCCATCCATGAGATTTGAGATGTTCCCTGATCACGACATTGCCAAATTCTCACAACTTGGAGGTGATGAGATGAAACATTCTCAAACATGAATCACAGGTTTTGAGCTCTTTCTCACTCAACTTAAAATAGTTTATATTCTAGCTTGCAAATTGCAATAATACAGTGATTTCTAGCTTCCAAATTGCAATTATACAGTGATTTGGTAAATTGAAACTTTGAAAAACTTCTTTAGTTATCAGGAAGGATGATCAAAGTGATTCACAATTACTTATATTCATTTTTTACTTTACTATACATACTTTTTTTCTTTCTTGAGAACAAATTCCTACTGTTTTCTCTCTGGTGAGATTGCCCACATATCGAGTTTATAAGAGATATTCTAATAACGTGCATACACTTGATATAAAGATATTTACTAAAATTAAGCAGAATTTTGAATGCAGTAAAAATTGTATAAATTAATATTTAATAAACTCGATAAATTAATAAAATTTTCCAGTTCCATATTGGTCCGGTGTGACATCTAGCATAATTCGGTTAATAATAAGATAATAATATGTAAAAAAATTTTAGAAAAGATATACCTTATTAAAATCATAAATTAATAATTAGAAATATAGACATAAACAAAGTGTTTTATTGTTTATTTGTCTTCAAAAGGAATTATGTCTCAAATTTTATTTATATTTAAATATTTTGTTGTTATTTTATCGAATTACATATAATACACATTTTTACTATAACATACATAAAATATATCAAACAATATAATTACAATAGATGGAAATTCAAATCTATAAAGTTTAAAATAACATATAATATCATTAGTAAAATATTTTGTTCATCCATTTAAATAAAAGATATGTTAAAACTATAAATTTTCTTTAAATTAACTCTATAAATTAAAAAATTATTATAGGCTCAAAATTATTAATTTATAGAGTTTTTACATATAAAAGAGTTAAACTAAATGCCTATTTGATACTACACTCAAATATGTAATTCAGTTTCATAATATTTTCTGTAAAAATTACAGAAATTTCAGTAAGTATTAATTTAATAAATTGACTTAAACATGTATATTAATTATTAAAAATTAAGATATTTAATTTTCTTTCAGATAGTTTTTGCTCGTCTGATTTGATGGAAATAATAGGACCATACAGTTTACAAAGTAATTATTTAGAAAGTATTTCTGTAGTGTTTAATAGTTTCGTATCACTTA